AACTGTAAAGCCTACAAACTTGAAATTTGCCACATACATTCCTCTTGGCTTCTAGGTGCTCACTAAGAAAGGATTTTTCAAAATGACCATCAGAACATTAGTATTTTCTATATTATTATTAACATGCTCTGATGCTAAGGAGTTCTACTCCTCCTCCCCACCTGAAAAGAAATTTGTTCCAAATGCAAAACACAAGCAGAGGAGAGGAGTTTCAGTTTCAGTTTTACTTTCACAGCAACCAGAGGATAGGATAGGGGAGCCTTCTGTGGAGCAAGCCTGAGGGAGAGAAGGGAATAGGATGGGGAGGCTTCTGTGGGGCAAGCCTGAGGGAAAGAAGAGGATAGGATAGGAGACGTTTCTGTAGGGCAAGGCTGAGGGAGAGAAGAGGAGAGGAGAGAAGCTGATCGTAACTACTCATTAATTTTCAAGCTGTAAATATCGATTTATCAAGCCCCATCACATAGTTTCGTAGCGAAGCATGGGTATCCAGCTAGTAACTGTATATTTTGTAAATTGCCCTGGGATTTGGGGTGGTGGTGGGGGGGGTGGTAGTATAGAAAAGATATGCATTCATAAATATCTGGAAAAATTGACACTAATATATCAAAATTGCAATTTACTAGCACAAGTAGCTTAACAAAAAAAACCCCCACCTCTTTATATTTAAAGTTCCTGCGTACGTTTACTTAAAGATATGAAGCTGGAACTTGGACTATTCAAGTTTGAGTACTGAAAAACAATCTTCCTTCAAAATTTGCTACATTACATCTTTAAGCATCTCTCAGAAACAACCATGGTATCTTGAGATACTGGTCCCTTATGAGTAAGATGCAAAGATCAAGACACATTTTACTCATCTGCACTAAATGCCTATTTGCTTCTGGGATTATTTCAAAAGTGTTTGTTTTGTCTTTAAAACACTAATTTCTTATATTTTCTCCCATTCACTTGATCGCCCTAGTTCTTGTTCTATATTGTATATGAAATTTGTAAGGAGCAAATAAAAAAAAACTATTTGCTTTATGAAAATAAAGGAGAAACACATTATCAGGTAGGTCCAAAGTCTTGTTGGAATTCATTTGCATTTTAGAAAATCACATTCCTTCTTGTGGAACATTCTGAATATATAGCCATGATGGCGAACCTATGGCACACGTGCCACAGGTGGCACACAGTGCCCTCTCATGGGCACGTGAGCCGTCGCCCCAATTCAGCTCTGCCATGCATGCGCGCACACCTCCCGTGGTCAGCTGGTTGTTGGGTCTCTGCCACACATGTGTGGGGTGCATGTAGAGGGGGCGCACATGTGCGGGAGGAGGCAGGGTGCATGCGGGGGGCCATGCGTGCATGCACCGGGTGGGGTACATGCAGGGGGGTGGGATGAATGTGCAGGGGCCACACGCACATTGCATTTTGTGGGTTTGGGCACACGCTTGCGCTTTGGGCACTCGGTCCGGAAAAGGTTAGCCATCACTGCCCTATACCCATGATGATGAATCTATGGCACGCATGCCACAGGTGGCACATGTAGCCATATCAGTGGGCATGCCAGCTCAGCTCTGGCACACATGCGTGCACTGGCCAGCTGATTTTCGGGCCTCCTGGGCCCACCAGAAGTAGGGAAACAGGCTGTTTCCTGCCTCTGGAGGGCCTGGGGGGGGGGGGGGGGGAAGGCCCGTTTTCTTTTTTCACCTGGCTCCAGATCCTCTCTGCGTATCTATGGAGGGCAAAAACAGCCTTTCCCACTCCCTCGGAGGCCCTCCGGAGGCCTGAAATGGCCCATTTTCCAATTCCCGGTGGGACAGGAAATGAAGTTTTTTTGCTGTCCCCAGCCTCTAGAGACTCCTAGACAGCAAAAAAAACCCCACTTCCTGTCTCACTGGGAATTGGTAAATGGGCCGTTTCAGACCTCCAGAGGGTCTCCAAGGGAGTGGGAAAGGCTGTTTTCATCCTCCCCAGATACACAGAGAGGATCTGGAGCCAGGTGAGAAAAAAAAAGGGCCCTACGGGCCTCACGTGGCAGGAGCGGGGGGGGGGAGGGAGATTGTGTGTGCATGTGCAGGGCGGAGCGCATAGAATTATGGGTGTGGGCACGCACACTAACCTCTCTTGCCCACCCACCCCGGCACACGATGGCAAAAAGGTTAGCCATCACTGCCCTATACCATTTCAAATGATTGTCCAATCTTTTCTTAAAAACTTCCAGTGTTGGAACATTCACAACTTCTGGAGGCAAGTTGCTTCACCGATTGTTCTAACTGTCTGGAAATTTCTCCTTAGTTCTAAGTTGCTTCTCTCCTTGATTAGTTTCCACCCATTGCTTCCTGCCCTGCCCTCAGATGCTTTGGAGAATAACTTGACTCCCCTCTTCTTTCTGGCAACCCCCGAGATATTGAAACAGTACTATCATGTCACCCCTAGTCCTTTTCATTAAATTAGACATACCCAATTACAGCAACAACTCTTGATATATTTTAGCCTCCAGTCCCCTAATTGTTGCTCTTCTCTGCACTCTTTCTAGAGTCTTTTTTATATCGTGGCAACCAAAACTGGATGCAGTATTCCAAGTGTGGTCTTACCAAGGCATTATAAAATAGTATTAATACTTCACATGATCTTGATTTTATCCCTCGTTAATGAACTGTGTTGGCTTTTTTGGCAGCTGTAGCACACTGCTGGCTCATATTTAAGTGATTGTCCACTAGGACTCCTAGATCCCTCACAGTTACTATTATTGGGTCAGGTACCACATATACTGTACCTGTGCATTTGGTTTATCTTGACTAACTTTTTTCACCATTGAATTTCATTTTGTTAGATAGCACACAATGTTCAAGTCTGTCAAGACCCTTCTGCATCTTGACCGTCTTAGATCCAGCACTTTTTAACCCTTGCTGCAACCATGAGACTTAGGAAGTATGTATGTGCATGATTGTGTATCAATCAGATTATCTCTGAAAAAAGAGGCTTTAACCAAAACACATAAAATTCTAATTAAAGCTCACACTTCGTGACAATTTATTTTTTTCATCTACCAGCAATCCTTGACTTATGACTGGAATTTCTGTCGTAACTCATTGCGGTTGTATATGCTGGATCCAATTGTATGACAATTTCTACGGTGATTTTAAGCAAATCATGCAGTCTTTAAGCAAGTCTAGCTTCTTTAATGGCCTTTGTTGCCATTTTTTTGGGTCAGGAATCAGCAAAAAAGGTAGCAAATTGTAATTATGTTAGCACAGGAGGCTGCAATCTCTAAGAAATGCAAGACGGCTGTCAAGCACTAAAATTCTGATCATGCAACCACAGGATTGATGCAATGGTTCTAAGTCCAAGGAAATGTCATATATCAGTTTTTCTAAGACTGTTGTAACTTTGTTTGAACCATCATTAAAGAGTCATATGTCAAGGATTACCCATATTATGTCATTTCCAAGAATTAGGGGCACTTAATCTATGGAATGATATTTCACAGAAGATGTATTTTCTAATTTTATAACTGGCTAAAATGTCTCTTATTAAATATTTATTTGATCATTATTGATTTTGCTAGCTATAGTTTTATTCACTTTAAGATTATTTGTATTCTATTGCATATTATTTTACAAAGATTTGAGTGATACTGAGGCATCCTATAAGATCTCAAATAAAAGCAATCTAGGATTTTTTTCCTGTAGAAATAGAAAAAGCTTGTTAAGTGAAAAAAGAGATTTTTCCATCTGTTACCTATAAAAGCATTTGAAAAATTTGCTCCTGGTCATTCAACCATCATACTGGTACAAGACAGTATTCAAACCCAAGTCAGAAGATTAGAACAATTAATCTTAAAGCTGATTATAAACATTTTTTTACCCTTACTCATACCAAGCTTTGCAAACTGTATTGTAGCCAAATATCACCCCTTATGCCAACATTCTTTTGAACTTTATGATTGGTGCAGACAAAAATTTAAGCTCCACTTGGTGTGTTTTCCATATTACCACACTAATTCCTTACAGCTTCCCATTATTTCATTAACATTTCTTCAATGCTTCTCAATGGCAAAATGTTAATAAAGGTAGTCCTTGGCTTCTGAACAGTCATTTAACAAACCTTCAAAATTAACATAGCCTTGAAAAAGCTGCTTACAGTGCTCTTCTGGCAACTGTAAAATGTCAGTTCCCCCCCTTCCCCCCTGCTTTTTTGGTGCTTGGTAACCAGCTCACATTTACGATTGATTGACAAGCTTCCCACAATCATTTGCAATCTTCTCTGCCAGATTCTCCAAAAAGCCAATATGGAAGCTGGCAAGGATGGTTGCAAGCGAAAGGGAGCTGAAATCCTTTAGTGGGCTGCAAGAAAGAGCTGAAATCTTCAGGATTTCCACTCCATGCACAGAAGAGAGGGAAATCCTTTGGTAGGCTGCAGGAATTGTTCTGGCAGCTCCACAAAGAATTTTCCTGCAATCCACCAAAGGATTACTCATCCATACACAGAGGGAAGCATAAATCCTTTGGTGGACTTCAGGAGCATTCAGAGTGAAAGGGCTATCTACCAGGAGGATTTCTGCTCTGTGCCTTTAGGTAGCTATTTTGCTCTGTCTGCTTAAGAAGTGCTGGGATTGCATTCATTGAGTAAAGCAGTCATGTGAGTGTTTTGCTTATTTACTGCTTCATCAACAACCAGTCCCAATTGTGGTCGCAAGTAAAGGACTGCCTGTATACCAACTTTTAATATATCTGTATTATTCATTTCAAAACCTTATGTTATAATGTTTCTGGTGGCTGAGTAGTATAGCATTAGTTTTTATTCATACTGGATTACTCAAGTTGTTAATCAAAATTTAGAGCAGCCTTTCCTGATTTATTGACTTGTACACCCATTGGAACTACAACTCTCAGAATTAGCCACATGGGTTATAATTCTGGAAGTTACAGATTCAGCAAATATAGGTGGTGTTAGCCAGGAGATAGCTAATTCATCACTATAAGTTATTAATTTGAAAGAATAACAATCCATACCTTGTGCTGTTCAATTGCATCTATCCATTGCTGCCTATGATCTGGATCCTGAGCACGTAGATACCAAACACTATCGTTTACACTAATATCAAATCTGCATTCATCAAATTCATGAGGCTGTTGGACAAAAAAAAAAGATAATTAGGGGCACTAGAACTACATTTTTAGATGAACCATGAACCTTTTAAATAAAGAATTTTATTTATCAACATATTCATTAGTCCCCATTATGATCTAACCCAGGCCTACCAAAATCTGTACAGGGGACAGGGCCACTGACAAATTAAAAATAATTGTAGGCCACAAAGAATAACTAGCCTGCCCATCAGTTGTTTGGTAGATTCCGGGGCAGTGACAGAACTGACAATGTTGATGAGCCTGGATGCACCGGAGAGGCTCAGCAGCATATCTTTTGGGGTAATAGTGGCAATAGTGGCAGAGTTATTGAATAGTGGCAATAGTGGCAGAGTTATTGAATTTTTAAAAAAATACTGAGAGGCCACATGAAACCTGTAAGCCTTACATTGTATAGACTTGATCTAACCAAAAAGTTTGAAAAAATGACTTTTTGAAATTAGGAAAGAAAAACATATGATGTAAACATACAACAAAGATCTGAAAAATAATTTGCAAACACTAGAACTTACAGGTTGCTTTTTAAATTGAAACATTGAGTTATATACAGTTTAAAAACAATACTTCCAAGACAGAAATGACAAATATAACATGCCTTATATGTTTCAAACATTCCCAATAAGTATTTCCACAAAGATGGTCTTTGTGCATACTATGCACAGAAAATTGGATGCCAGAGTTTCTTCCTCTTCTGAAGACTAGGGAGAGGGGGGGCAAACAGAAGGGCTTTGGAAGTTAGGTAAAGTCTCATGCATAGAGGCATTATATATTGTAACACCTGTATCTATCTCCTCTGAGAGCTAAAGGTGGATTACAATGGATATAGAAAGTCCATAGCCTCAAAATGTCAAGTCTTTGAGATGTAAAAAAAAAATCAGATTACGATAAATCACTTCAGAATTTTTTCTACCTTTAATATAAGATATAAGCTATACAGTGAAATTGTAAAACAAACTAAAATCTTTCAGGGGAAAATAACAAGCTTATAATAACATGGTTGCATAAATGTGCATTTCCTCTTCTAAGTAGAGATGTGGAAATAACCAATCACGTTCAAATTGATGTTAAATAGTTGTCAATACACACTTGCCATTATTAAAATGACTGTGATCAAGTCCATATAAAATTCAGCTGTTCTAGTAGGATTTGTCTGACATTACTCAGTTGCCTCTTAGAACAAAAGCCATGGTCTGCAAAGAGCTTACAAAATATCAAAGGGATCTTATTGTTCTAATGTATCAATCAGGAGAAGGGTACAAAAATATTTCCAAGGCATTGGATATACCATGGAACCCAGTGAAGACAGTCATCAACAGGTGGAAAAAATATGGCACAACAGTGACATTACAAAGAATTACCAAGATCCCTCCAGAATTGATGACAAGAAGAAAACTGGTCTGAGAAACTGCCAAGGGGCCTACAACAATATTAAAGGAGCTGCAGAAATTTCTGGCAAGCATTGGTTGTGTACTACATGTGATAACAGTGCCCCATATTCTTTGTATGCCTGGGCTGTAGGGTCAGATGGCAAGATAGAAGCTTTTTATACAAAGAAAAACATCCATGCCAGCTACATTTTCCAAACCCTACATGGAGTCTGACAAGGGCATGTGGGAAAATGTGTTATGATCTGATGAGAGACCAAGATTGAACTTTTTGGCTGAATTCCAAAAAGTATGTTTGGTGGAAAAACAACATTGCACATCATCAAAAGTACATTATACCCAAAGCAAAGCGTAGTGGGGGCAGCAGTATGTTTCAGGGCTGCTTTTCTTCAGCAGGAATTGCGGCTTTAGTCAAGGAGTAGGAATTATGAACAGTTTCAAATATCAGTAAATTTTGGCACAAAACCTTCAGGCCTCTGTTAAAATATTGAAGATGGAGAGGAATTTAAACATCACAATGACCCAAAGCAAATCAACAAAAGAATGGGTTCATGAGTAGTAGATTAAAGTTTTGGAACGGCTCCAAAAGGTGCTTCAAAGAAGTATTAGTTTAAGGGTGTGCACACTTATGCAATCATGTTATTTTTATTTTTTCCCCTTAAAAGATTTCAGTTTGCTTTTCAATTGAATTGTACAGTTTATATGTTATATTAAAGGTGGAAAAATATCTTTATGTCGTATGTTGTGTAAATGTTTTATTTATGTTTTAATAAAGTTTATAATTTTTTTTTTTTTAAAAAAGGTGGAAAAATATTTGAAGTGATTTATCTTGGTTTGATTTTTTTACTTCTCAAAGCCCTGGCATTTTAACAGGGTTGTATAGACTTTTTATATTGTATGCATGTGTGCGCACACACACCAATCTGATAGCACATCTAAATATCTGCAAGTGCTGAGCACTAGTTTCAACTCCTGGCAGAAGGTTTGAACTCAATACAACAGCAGCTGATGAATCCCAATAAGGGGGCAAAACTGGAACTGTATAGAAATAACTAAAAGCATTCAAGCCAGAAATTTATACTAGGTTCTTGATTTGTAGATCTGTGTTGTGCTTGAATCAAAGTATTCATTATTTCTCTAAATGTGCCCTGCTTACTGATTTTGTTATTTTGAGCCATCTCTGTGTACCTGCTCATAGCTGCCACACACACACACTTTTCCTGTCACAAATCTTCCTGAATCTTGGAAATTTTAAGACAAATTTCTTAGCCTCATTTATTAAGATGAAGTTTCTTTGAATGATTTAAAACACTTCTCCCCAGATTTTGCTCCACTTGGGCTAGGCTGCCATTTATGAGATAAGGTGTCAACTGATTCATCTATTACTCTTAACTATGTGTAGCTGATCACTCTACTGTCTACTAGGCTACATAGGCTGTTGACCATTTTCCCCACCTTTTCAAGTTAAACTTATTATACAAAAGCAGGGTGGATAAAAATCAATGATTTTTTTAAAAAAAAATCAAAAAAATCAGATTTTTTTTATTTAAATCGGATTTTTTTGATTTTTATCGAATTTATTTTAATAAAAAAATTTTGGGGTAAAAATCTATCGTAAGATAGTCTTCTATTTAAGATACATAAATAATTTAGTTTATTCAGCATGAAATGGAGCTTAGTTATGTAGCATGAGGCTGTATATTCTGCAACACTGGGACCATCGGTGAGTCAACAGTGGGTCAAAGGAGTAGCAGAGATGACAGTTGCTCTTTAAAAATTAAGATTTAAATCAAGTTGATTTAAATCAAGCCTTTTTACTAGTGATTTAAATCATGATTTAAATTGTGATTTAAATCAACTCGATTTAAATCAAATCCACCCTGTACAAAAGATAGCTTTAATGTGCTGAACACTTTATTGAAATAGCTGCATATTTAGGAAATACTATTAATAAACAAATTATAATCTATTAATGATTTTAGAATTCTAGGTGCTTTGAATATTCAAAAGGAAGCAATTTTTATAGCTAATTTATAGAATGTATACATCTTAAGTTCGAATCTCACCAGGCTCAAGGTTGACTCAGCCTTCTATCCTTTCTAAGGTAGGTTAAATGAGGACCCAGTTTGTGGGGGCAATAAGCTGACTTTGTATAAATATACAAAAGTATGAAGGCTATTGCTTAACGCATTGTAAGCCTCCCTGAGTCTCCGGAGAAGGGCGGCATATAAATCAAATTTAAAAAAAAAAACTACTGTAAATCTGTGCCTTTTCAGTAAAGAGAGGTAAAATTTAATATTCAATGTTAATATTCAATACGATTTTAAAACTTCCCTTCATAATTCTTTTGCTGTAAACCACTTAGAGAGGGCTGTAAAGCACTATGAAGCAGTACATAAGTCTAAGTGCTAGCGCTAGTGCTATTTCCTTTATCCTTCCCTCTCTGTTTACTAAAATAGCCAGAAAACAGAATTATGAGAACTGTATCATGTCTCTAAGGAGTCGGTTTTACACATCAATGTATGATACTCCATCAGTTATGAGGTAATTTCACAAGGGCTTTGAGTTGTTTCTTCGAGTTGTTTGAGTTGTTACAAGAATGGCTGCTTATTCTAAAATTATGCAGACCAATGACTAGACTTTTAAAAAATGTAACCGCACAATTACAAATTACTGTGATCATACACCATGCTAATCTTTTGCTTTAACAATGGTTTGTTGAATGAGCCAAAAAAAAAAAAGTGGTGAGACATGCGAACAAGCAACCCTGGTTTGTATGGACAAGTTTTGATTTGATCTGTTTCTTTTTTGCAGCTGCGATTTCCTTATATTTCTGTGGATTAGTTAGATATTCAGGTAAGATACACAAACAAAGTGAGAAACCACAGACAAAACCCGAGTTTCTATTTACACATCATACTGAAAACTTCTTTAGGATTTAACAGGCAGAGCTGGATTTAAGTTAAGGCTGAATAAATACTTGTCTAGGGTGCCAAAGCTTAGGGAGTGCCAATGCCAACCCTCCTTCTGAATCATTCCAAAAATGCAAATCTTCACAATGGCAGGTGGTGGCTTACCAGTCAATGTAGCCTAGGGATGCCCTATACCTTGAGCCAGCATTGACAACACCTCACTGGTAATCACAGTTAATGGCCAGAATGAAGAAGGCAGTCCAAAATATATGAAGGGCACCAAATTAGATAGTCCTGGTTTGATCTTTCAAATAATTGACATATTATCTCCAGAATGAATTCTAAGCCTGTAAATATCGCAAAGAAATATGGGAAGGCACTTTAAAACTGGTTATACATGGTGGCTTTGCAGAAATTTTAAAATCAATTTTAATTTCTCTTCCAGTAAAGTCCTACAAAACAATTATAATAATCATCCATTAATGTCTATTACCTGGCCCGTTTCTTTGATATGCTAGCCAAAGCTGGATAAAATTACTATTTTGGAATCTAACAGGAAGACCAAGGGTTTTCAAAACACCTAATTTTTCAAGGAGATTGCAACTTCGTTTAAAAACAGAATTATTCTCTATTCCTAGGTCAATCAATTTATTGACAAAAATATTTTCATCTTGCCTGGAAAAATCTTTATTTCCTATGTCCACCTGACTAATGATGCAAGGCACTAGTTCAGAACTCAGTCTCATTAACTGAGGAAGAAAGCTAGAAAAGAACTGTACAGCATCAGTACATTGATACCTGCAGAATTTCAGTGCTTCACAAAGATCTCTTCTTCAGTTGTTTCATATTTAATTTAAATTTTCCCTTGTAATATTCTCTAAGCTTTTAAATCATTGTTTATCAAAAGTTCCTAGCACTTTTAAAAATATTTTTTACTTTATTCAGAAAATTAAGATAAAATACAAACTCCAAAAAAAGGAAAAATAAATTTTACAAAAACAAAACAAAGATAGACAAAACATTAGAAAAGAAAAAATGTGCACTAAATAAGACAAAAGGCAAAAACACATACTTATATTATCCCCTCTAGTTGAATATTGATAAATATATTGGAACAATATGAGTCCCCCCACTCCCTGGTGAAATGTATTAACTTCTTCCTCTATTTGCAACCAATTTGACTGTCATCTATCTACTACATATAAAGGCAAAGTAGTTAACAGTTGAAACAAAAGCAAAGTTCTCTATTAACAATTTATTATTATATTTAATCTATGATTGTCTACAATGGTTTTTTAACTACCATAAATCACCACAATCATTATGTATGATCAGTCTGGGATCAAATAACCTCATTTGATTCTTAATAATAAAACTTCTGCTTGAGATTTTGGTTGAAAACATTTCCAGTAATTGTGTCTTATTCCCCAAAATCATAAACCTTTCCCCAAAAAATCCAGCCCAAATTGTTTTCCAGATAGAATAAATCCATTCCCCAATCACCATCAATCTTCTTAAGAAAGACCAGTTCATCACTAATCGATTCTGTTAACTCCAAATCTGTAAAATCCATATCCCCTTCAACCTTCTCCAATGAATCTGAAGTTTCCATATCATGATCCTTCTCCTTTAAATCTTTAAACAGCTATTTAGATTCCAATCCATCCAGTTCTGAGTTTGGTTTGGGTATACTTGTTTGTGTCTGGATATTCTCTTTAAGTTGATTTAAAACCCTTGTTATTTCATCAAACATTTTACCAAAGTTTTCAATTTGAACTTGTAAGTTAAAAAGCATTCTTTTTTCCAAAGTCTTCCCAGAGGGCTTCATCTGGAAATTGGTACATTGTTTGCATTTTCAATTTAGCACTGTAACTGGGCATTCATAACGAGACATAAACAGTTCCTTTCTAACAAAGTAGTATTGAGCTAATATTTCTCACAATAAAGAATGGAAAGAATTTCCATGAAGCATTAAAAAAATTAAACCAGAGTTTTTTTAAAAAAAAAAGTAAAGAAAATGCGAAATCCCTGTAGTGAAAATCCAATGCAAATGAAAATCCAAACAGGTCACTTCCACTACCCAGGAAATCTCTATTGACTTCCATATGGAGAAAGAGAAAGTAATTCAGAACAGCAGTGAAACAGTGAAAAACATTAAAGAATTCACATTAAAATCCAGCAAGGGGTTAAAGTAAATTAGCCTTCAACCAGACAATTAATTTTAAAGAGAAAACTCAAGATAAAAAAGAAAATTCAAATAGTATAGCTAAAACCCAAATTTAAAAAAAAAAAAGCAGCTGAGAGGAAAGACAGAGACACAAGTCTCTGACCATCCCTATCGGGAATTGCAATCTTCTCAGGAGGGTCCACAGTCATCAGTGGGTTATCTTGGTTGTTCCTAGCAGCTCCCATTCAGATCTAGAGGGCCAGCTGCCAAAGAACCCATTTTGGCAAATCAGCTGTTTGTCAATACAAAATCCACCTGCTACTCAGGATGGCATCTTGGGGGAAATATGCCTCTAACACTTTTTTTTTTTGAAATCCATAAAATTTGGAGAGTACTCCTTCATTTCAATATAGAACTATGTTTTGGAATGGTACTATATAAATGACATTAAAAAACCTTAAAACAACAAAACAGCATAACTGGCATGATGCCTGGTGAGATAAGTGCATGCATCCTTTTTTTAAAAAAGGTCTTTTTATGGAGTGCTACTGGTTTATTTGCATGTAAATGTATGCAAATTTAAAACTCATTGCTCAATTAAAATGTCTTTAATCAGGTCATAGATCTATTTAAAACTAATAAACTTGCAGTGTATATTTATTTGTTCAAGACCAATAGCAATAGCACTTAGACTTATATATCGCTTCACTGTGCTTTACAGCCCTCTCTTTAAGTGGTTTACAATCAGCCTATTGCCTCCAATAATCTGGGTCCTCATTTTACCAACTTCGGAAGGCTGGAAGGCTAAGTCAACCTTGAGCCTGTTGAGATTCGAACTGCCAAATTGCAGGCAGCCAGCAGTCTGCAGTAGTAGTCTGAAATACTGCATTCTAACCACTGTGCCACCATGGCTCACGATGATTTCATTTCTGCCTTTAAATAGTGTTAACTTTTAAAAATTAAACATGTTTAATTTTTAAATTAAACATGTTTAATTTTTAAATTAATAAGTGTAATAAGAATTGAAAAATGCTTACTAGTCAATAAAATAATTATGAAAAATATATTTAAAATTATGTGGCTCAAATTAGAACCAATAACTTCTAAAACCAAAATTCTCATTCAGTGGATCATCTATAATTTTAATGCAAAGAACAGAACAACATTTGAAATTTGTAACTTCATACATACAATGTATGAAGTTACAGCAGGCTATCATAGCAATAGCACTTAGACTTATATACCACTCCATAGTGCTTTATAGCACTCTCTGAACGGATTATAAATGTCAGCATTTGGCTGAGGGCAGTGTTAGCCTGTAATACTGCATTCTAACTATGGCTCCTGCTTATCATATAATGCTTACATGCCTCTATGTCTGATGAAAGTAGCAATTTACCCATGGAATAGAAATAATGGCAAGATATTATGCTATTTTCAAACATTCATAAAATACCAATGGGGTATATTTTTTCCAGAAAACCTGAGCGCATACAAATAAATCTGCCTAAGTTTTATTTATTTTATTTTATTAAATTTATCCAGCTGACTGACATGACTTTACGTAACAGATAATAAACAATTAAAACAAATCTTAAATAATATTTAAAACAATTAACATACAAAAATAAGTAAGGTTATAAGCACGTGAAATCATCCCTCCCCAGGCTGTGGAAAAACTGTCCTCCATGAAATAGGTCTCCATGGCACCCAAAATGTTATGGGTGTGTGTGTGTGTGTGCTGCCTTAATATATAATGCACATGGTTATAACTGTAAAACCTTGAGGCGCAGAACATTATCATCTTATCCTGATTCTGTAAAATCATATAAGAAATATAGAAGACCTGTATATTGCAGTTATTGTCCTTTTCCTTGCCAATAAAAGAGCAGTTGATACTGCATCTTTATTCTCAAGTTAGCCAGTTAGCAGATCAAGGAGGCAATCATAATGACAGAACAAAAACAGCTTTTATGTTATTATTGCTGTTCCCAAGGCAAGCCAGCAGTAGCATGTGAAGTAATCATCTGATCATTAACACATAAATACTTCCTGATACATTAGCACAACCAAATAGCACCACCAATACTTCAATAACTGTTATGTTTCTGTTGCCAAAACGTTAATCATGCTTCTGATATCTTTATCGAGTGTCTCTTAAAACATACTGAAGATTTAAAACAAAAATCAGCCCTATTTAATACAAGTTTAAATGCCTTATGTTTTTTTTAATGGTTGCATTTACAATTATAGCTTATTTGTTGCTTTAATTTTATAGTTTAAAAGAGACAAGTTGTCTCTTTAAATTGTAAAATACGTCTATAAGCATCTTTTTTCCACATGTATATTTCAGAAACTTGATCTACATGAAAAAAATTATATGATCAGTTTAAAAATTATTACCACTTTGTCCAATGTGAGATTAAACCAATTTGTTGTTTCAAATATTATTGAGAAATATATTAAATATATCAGTGAGGAAGGCTAATCAAGCCTTAAGAAAACACTTACTGTGATGACAGCTTTACTCAGACAGATTGAGCCTCTGCAGCCATATTCCGTTTCATCTTCAGATTTGTAGTAACTTAGAGTGTTGTTTTTCAATACCACCCAGCGGTCCTGCCATCCATGGATGTAGTTGGTCCACTAAAAAGAATAAATATGTACTTTTGAATAAAGCAAAATGATGAGGATATTTTTATGTGGCACTATACTCAGACAATAGATTTTCTTATTTTCTTATATACTTTACTAAATTTAATTTTAATAAAATGAATCCTATTTATTCTAAAAGAATGTAACTGCCAGTGTTTAATATATTAAAAATAACAATTATAAATAATTGTAAAATATTCTTGAACCTTTAGAGAAAACTGAAAATCTTGTAAGAACTCTAAATAAATCAGATTCTGAAAGGCTTATTTCCAAGAAATAATTAAAAATCACCAGTGATGGGTTGCACCTGGTTTGGACCGGTTTGCAAGAACCGGTAGTAAAACCGGCAGGAGGTCCCGCCCACCGCCCCGGATGTCATCATCAGTGATCTGCACGTGTGCGAGCAAAACGAGCGCATGTGTGCAATTCCATTGTAAACTGGTAGTAAAGGTAAGTAGAACCCACCCCTGAAAATCACCAACATTACTAAAAAGCTTTGCTTGAAGTTAAAACCCACCCCTCTCCTAGAAAAATGAATTATTTTAGGATATAAAATATTTTAGGATACTGAAGGGGTTTTTAAGGGGAGTTTTAATGGTTTTTAACATCTAATATTGATTTGTCTATTTTATTATTGTGAGCCGCCCTGAGTCCTTTTCGGAGAGAGGGCAGCATATAAAATAGATTAGATAGATAGATAGATAGATAGATAGATAGATAGATAGATAGATAGATAGATAGACAGACAGACAGACAAACTAAAAAGGCAGAATATTTCTCCTAAAAGGGAGGCAGAAACTCGTTCCCCGCCACCTTTGTCAATGGGCCATTAAGACCTCAGCATCCCATCTGCAACACAAAGGACCCATCTAGCAAACGAAACTCGCCACATGGCACCTGGGAAGATTACATCAGCCAGCAAGGCTAGCTAAGTCCCCCATCCCCTGGGACTCCGACAACCAATTAGGATACTCTTCCTGTGCCCCAGGAAGTTCAAAGCCCAGAGAGGGCATAAAACCCAGGAACTCTCAGCTCCTCTTCCCTTTTTCTGCTCAGGAACTCAAACCATGTGATCCTTTCCACCATTTCAAGCAGTATTTCCAAGCAGTCTCTATGTTTCCAGTGTCTTTTTCCCCACTTGGAACTGAACCCAGAAAGACATTTCTTCCAACAGCTTCACAGCAATAACAACCCAGGTCTGCTGAATTTGACAATGAATTCCAGATAATTATATCCTACAATAGTGACATTTTTACCTCATATACTGTATATTTCCATAAATTGATTGGGGATCATAACATTTCTAATCCAACATTTGGATTAGAGCAGGTGTGTCAAACTCACATTGTCATGGCGGTGTCATGTGAGGTATTGGGACTTTCCCCCCCTTTGCTGGGCATGGGTGTAGCCAACGTGTGACGCATCTGGCCCACGGGCCAGGAGTTTGACAGCCCTGGATTAGAGTATCAGATTACAGAAGGATAAAAGAGGTTGTAGAAAAAATGGTTCTAAAAGTGTTTTTTTTTTTTTTAAAGTTGGCCACGCCCACTCAGTTACATTACCCCCCCACCAAGCCACACTCACAGAACCGGTAGTAACAAATTTTACATTTCACCACTGTTCTTGTCTAAATATTAGAACAAAAACTATACTATTAATATGAGTACTTCCAGCACTATTGTTACCAACAGCAATATTAAAATAAATTTGTACATTACAATAAAAGGAATATTTTCAGTTTCCAGGAAGTGACTTCACAGGAATTTTGCAACTGAGTTTAGCAAGCAAATTTCTAATAAATATACACAAGTGAAGAATGGGTTCTTAGCTAAATTGAGAGCCTGTGAAAAGAAGAAAAAAGAAAAGCCCTTCTAGTAGGGATGACTTAGGAAACAAACTTAAAGGTGAATATACATTATCTCAGAAGTTATGACTTGTAATATTTGTGGTATACTTGTGTTGTTGCCTAAAAGTACCGTACTATCTATTAAAAGTGCAAACTTATAACAGAGCTTTAAAAAAATAAAAATTAGGGACAACTGGTTTTAGTTCATAAATGGCAAATATCATGCCAGGTTTGGCAATACATTTCTATTCTTTAGATATTTAACTCAATACTCACGTGACTTGCTCACAGTGTCAACATAGCTAAATAAATCAGTTTATTGCAGACAAAAGTCTTGCATAAACTGTAGACCGCATCCAATCCTAAAGATATGTCTGCTCCAGGATTTAAAGCACAGTTTTTTTCCTCTTTTTTCCATGGAAATTGAAATTCTCAGCAAGGAAAATTAAACAGTCTAGTCTCTAGTGGATGAAAACTGGAATCAGAAACACAAAGTATTCTGCCCTATTAGAACTCAATATTAACTCTTGGTCTTTCTGAGAAAAAACAGACTTTGATTCTTCTAGAGAAAAAAATTATATTCTGCTGAACAGGAGACAAGAAAGTGAGCTTCTTAAAAACAGATAGGATACTGTTGTATTCTGCAACAAAGCAAGGATAAGGGCTGTGGAAATTGTTGGCTGCGGAGAGGGAGATGTACCGGCATCAGGACAATTAGCTCATGAAGTGTGGTATCTGTCTGGATCACAGAATAGGAATGTTCAAGAGTAATCAATTCCTCTGAACATTATTCCATCCCCCTAATCAATCTGTGAATAAATTACATTGCAAAATAACTGACACCATATCTCCATAACTATGAAGTCCAGAGAACCTGGAGACTTCCAATTCATGCAAGGTGAAAAACCGATTGTGCAAAAGGTGTTGATAGGATATTTGGTTTCTGAGATTTAAGATCTGAGATTCTGTCCTACTTCTCTCGGGCTGGAGTCAATTGATAAACAATTTAAAGTAGAAAATTTATCAGGCAAAGAAATGGTACTGAATATGAGGAAATTCTATTTCATAAAGACCATACTTAATAGCTTAAGTGGAAAGTAGCTATCTGTCCAGCTAATGGGGAGATTCAATAGAAAAAACAAACACCAAGGTGCAGGTTAGGATATAAGTGGAGGGGGCAGTATCCATTATGTCTTTGGTGTGGGAGGAGGTATATGTGTCTTTTCCTTTAAGGCAGAAAGAAAACAAGGTAAGACCCAATTCCCAGCCAGCAGCAGGACTGGATCTAATGAATTTAGACCGCATATTAAGGTCAGTGAAACTAGGGGACTGGAGGCTAAAACATGAAGAATGGTATTTCTAGTTTAATGAAAAGAAGGACGGGGGGTGTGTGCCATGATAGCAGTGTTCCAATATCTAAGGGGCTGCCACAAAGAAGAGGGTTTCCATAGCATCTGAAGGCAGAAGCAGCAATGGATGGAAACTAATCAAGAAGAGAAGCAATTTAGAAATGAGAATGTTCCTGGCAGAAAAATTAATCAATGGAACGGTGTGGCTTCAGAAATTGTGAGTGCTCTATCACTAGAGATTTTAAAGAAGAGATTGAACAACCACTTGTCTGAAATGGTATAGGCTTGGTCTCCTGCTTGAGCAGAGGATTGGACTAGAAAACCTCCATGGTCCCTTCCAACTCTGTAATTCGGTTATTTTATGGTTGAAATCTAGACTGTGTGCACATGTTCTGATGTCTGAGAGATTAAGCAGGGTCCTGAGCTCATATTGATTGAAATTAAGCATCTTTCAAAAGCAACTCTTTTTTTCTTTTTCTATATTTAAGTCTTTGACCTTATTTTATGTAATGCATATAACATTTAAAATTCTGAATATACTAGTAGTGCTCCTTCCAAGAAAATATTCTAGCCTATAGGAATCTTCAGAGACCCAAGCAAGTCCAATCTATGTGTGTTCACACACCCATTATAGGAATAATTTGGAAGTATCTCAGTACAAAGGAACATTCTGCTAATGTCCAGCAGAAAGGCAGGTTTTGTAGTCCAAGTCAAGGTTCACAGCAGCTTCATAGTAAGACTAAGCACCATATAAGTAAAGATCATATGGAATTCTAATTCTACTACCAGATTATACCCAGATGGAAATTTCATTGAGAATTGCCAGCTTCCACTTCAGCATAGCTGATATTGAACCACCCTGATTTCCAGAATGAGGTAGCCGCTGAATAGACCTCCCTGTGCCCAATGCTTCTCTATAAACTGAGAACTCTCCTCTAACTTCCTGTTTTCTAACTATTCACACAGAGTTAGTAGTGTTTTCATAGCTGGTAGATGAACCTTCCGTTTAAGGACTGAATTATACACACCAGAAGAACTGGTTCGTAACACCATCTCACCTCTGTTGCAACACTTAGGGCTTCTATGTCTGACTGCCTGATTACTTTGTTTCAGTTCTTATCCACATCTGGAGTTAGATGAGGATAAGAAAGAAACAGGACAGTTATCTGGGTGATGGCCTGCTGGAATGAAGTGATGTATACTGAAAATAAATTTATCAAAATGTTATTGAAACATAGTGCATTGGATTAGGAGACCTTTAAAATTAATCTTGAGTAGGCTAGAGTTGTAAACCTTGGAAGTAAAAACCTTGAACAATACACAGAAACCCAATAGTTTCTTTATCATCCTGAAATAATAAGTTTACATTATAGGAAGAAATTTTGAATGAGTATTCAGAAAAATTTCTAAGCACTATGAGGGGCAACAATGCAACCATTTATAATGAGAAGGAGAGAAGTTCTCTTCAATGGATGTATGCAAGAATGTATGTTGTGCTGGACTATCTATTGTGAAAACTTTAATTTGGATTCTTGCCCAGAATAGGGTATGTGATCCAATGACCTAAATATTCTACTATATATCTACTATATAGTAACATTTCCACATTATAAGAAGTATTTTATGCTTCATTTGGGCACAGAATGCAGTCAGCTTTGATTAAATTATATGATCCCTTTTACATTAACTTGTACAGCATTCTGCAAGCTACATTATGGAATGCATAGCAACACAAGTATTGTTGAGCTGGGCAGACCCACCCCAGCCACGCCCACCCCGGGCCCCCAAAGTCAGAACCCTGATGCGGCCCTCAATGAAATCAAGTTTGACACCCCTGCTCTAAAACCGTGCTGATCGTTTTGGCAAACGAGATAGGAAATCCTACAAGCCCTTTTACTTCTTCCTGAGAGGTATAAAATAGCCTGGGCATTTTTCAGCATCTCTTTGCAACTCTTTAAAGCATCCATGTGAACCCAGGGGGAAAAAATGTGGCTGTTTGAAAGAATGGGAATCAGATCTTACATACAAGAATCTTCACGGCACCGAATTACAGAACCACAATTAAAACGACATCAGCTCCCTTTTACAGAATATGGAATAACAGAGTGGGAAGGGACCTTGCAGCATGTGATACAGTTGACATTAATACTATTTCAATTATACTATAAACATTGTACTCATATAGTGATATACATGGCCACAGCTCCATAACCTTAACTGGATAATTCTTATAACATGCCAGACCTCAGCAACACACACCATCAATTGGAAGCATGCATTCCAATTACTGTCTTATTTTTGCCTTTTGTTATTAAAGCCTCCACCGAGTAGACAGACTAGCCAATATTTTCTTAGTCAGATGCACAATCTAGCACTTACTTTATTTTTTGCAGTGATTTTCATACCCAACTTGGATAATTTTAGGTGCTTATGTTCTGACCATAGGGGGGTAAACTGTTCCCCAATCAAGGAGCTATACAGAGAAAGTACATTTCCAGACACCAACCTCGTTATGGACTCCTTTGATTCTGAGGCTGGAGAATGAGCATACTAATAAGTGTTGGAAATGGGCTAAATGAGTTCTGCTTTTGCTGTTCAGCTAGTGTAGATCATCTCTTTGATCTTTCAAGGAGTGGATACTTGCAGCATTGTGTCCTGAATAGATTGTGTATGATGGGCAAATTCTGCCTGGAGAAGATAGATTCAGGGACACATGGTCTTTAATATCAATGCTTTGTTCTTGGCCATCTAACACTTTATAGTGACAAGTTAAATTTATGACACGCTCCATAAAATTATTTAAATGCTACAATATAGGAGTATTATCAATTCTTGATCATTTAAAGATAATTAATGTCAAGCTACAATTAGTTGAATCACAGTTCTTAATCAATACAATTGTTGCACTTTGCGCAAAACACTGAACTAGTTTCTTAGAAGTCATAAGAAAATGGTAACTGAAGAAAGCAAAGCCTCTTCCCTTTTCCAAAGGCCTTTTATGTTGGATTTTTGAGATTATAACCCTAAAGGCAAGAACTTTTTCTTTTAATCTAGGAAATTGTTTGGTTAGGAAAAAGTTTAGGAAAATTCCTGTCTCTATTACATGTGGATGGTTCAGAAGGAAAATAATTTAGTCATTACTATTATTTATATGCAACTCAATTTCCAAAAGGCTCTGGACAGCTTTTTGGGACTGAAAACGTCTTAACTCTTTAGTCCAGGAAAACTACATGATATAGGAAGAGATTACTGTATTTGAGGGACCTCCTTCTCCCAAAAAGACTTGCCCACCCCACATGCTTCCACAGACAGGGCACACTGCATGTTCTTTTTTTAAAGTCTTGTCATCTTATGGGACATAGAAAGCGTATCTTTTCCATGATTGTCCCTGGAATGATGATCCTATACCCAATATATGACAGGTTCCAGCCCCAACATTCTTTGTCTTTGGGAAAGCACATAAGACCCCTGAATCTTCTCCCAAGTGTTAGGGGTTGGTTGAGTGGCAGTCCACTTCCGAGGTTTGTTTTGCCCTGAACTTGATTGCCATTTTACATTTTGGCTTTTGTATTTATATATTGTTTGTTGTAATTTCTGTTTATGTTGTAGATTGCTCAGTTTGGCAACCTTATATATGAAATAAATAAAATTATGTAAATATTTGGTGTCACAAACTAATATAACTTTGGGATAAAGTTGCTATAAAGTGGTTAAGAGAGTTTAGAAGATTAAGAACTTTCCAGAAGTATCATTTCAGAATTTAATGACTATACCAAATAGATCATAACTGTATCTTCAAGGAAATATCATGAATGAATATTGGATGACAGAATTGTGAATTTGTATGAATTCTTTAAAATTTTATTAACAGATAAGTACATTTAATGCAATGAGAAGAACAGCCTGTAAATATGTGTAAATATTGATCTGAACTAAAAAGAAAAGGCACCATTACTATATTATTCATTCTGAATTATCTGCTCTGAACTTATTAAAAGGCAAACAAAAGTATTAATAAAAATATGGAAGACAACATGGATAGATAAGGCATTGCAAAATTCTTGGAATACATACTGCAGTTCTTTCCATCCATTCTTTACAACTGCAGTCAAACCAAGCAGGTAGAAAGAGCAACAACTATGATAAGGCACATTTAAAATGTCATACTGATTTTGTCCACTTTTTAAAATTCTACCTGTTCTTATGAGCTCAAGCTGTTATGCTGATTATTTTTTATTTTATCCTTCAACCAACAACTTGTGAAGTAAGATTGAGATGAATGGCTTAAAGTAACTTGGAGAACTCCAACACCAAGTGTGGACTTCAAACCGAGTTTCCTTGATCCCAGCCTAGTACATCATTCTTGTATAAAGCCAGTTACACATTTCTAAGGACCATCTACAGTAAAATGCTACAATCTAATGAATAAACTTCTTAGCTTTTACTTGAGGTTTTTGAGCTCTTATAACAAAGGCATTCCCTTAGATTTTTCTAATAGATCAGCAGTGCTCCCTCTATTCACTGTTACAAAATACCAAACTATATCTGAAAGAGAGCTTGTTTGCATTTTTAAGAATATTTGAAGGAAACACAGAGTTATTAGCAAATAATTGCGCTAGATTTTGTTTGTACCAGTGCAATTCACAAGCCAGAATTTCTAAAAATACACTGTTTCCTAAACTATTTGCTACACTTTTAAAATAGGAAATTTCATAGTTGCAACATTTTCTCCCTAGGATGACTTTAGAAAATTTGTAAGATTTCCTTTAAACTATGCTCAACATCAAAGAGAGCAGAGACACTGAAATCTGAAAGGAAGAGCTACTTCTACTACTACTTCTACTATCTTCCAACCAGCCTTTTTTATGACACTATTTGATGCTTTGCCCAAAGGGTCACAGAACTCTTGTCTGATATTGCCACAATCTGTTCTTAAAATTGCAAATATACACAATTTTTCTTCCCCTTATTAAAACAAAAATAGAAAGGAATCTTGGGATTTTTTGTTTCAGGGGACAACAATGAAGTTAGCTTCTCCTTCATGCATATACCAAGAAATATAACCTGAGCCATCCTCAACAAAGAGGGTCACCAAAATATTTACTCATCCAAGCAATGGTTACAAATGTGGTCTGCAACAGTACTCTACCAGGCACTTGCAAAGAGACTGGATGGATGAGAAAAATTCTTCCTTGTAACACAAGAAAAAAAAACACAAAAGGAGACCTACGCGTGTAAGTTATTTTAGCAAGCCTTTCAAGCAAAAAAAAAAAAAAAAAAAAAAAATCCCGTAGCCATCAAGGGACAAGTGACATTTCAGCGAATGCATCTTGTGGGAGACAAGCAGCAGCAGCCCCTCCTCGGATAAAAAAAATCCTCAGCGTCTTTTTTTCCGACTGCGGCGACGAAGCGCTTCATCCCAATATATACTTGCATTATTATACGTATTTTACACACACCCCGGGCTCCGGAGGTGGGCGGCGGAGGAAACGTGCGGGGACCACCCGTTGACTAGGAAGCCAGTCCGACAGCAGGCCGGCGCCGCCCCCGGGCGGTGGGCACCCGCGAGGTGACTCAACGTCAGGCTCTCTCCATTGCTTCTTTCGCGGAAGACAAGAGCGTGACGGTGCCACCCTTCCGCCCTGGCCCCCAAATGCCTTCACAACCCCCCCCCCCAACCACAACCACGGAGGGGGAGGGCGGCCGAGAGAAACTGCCCCCCCCTCCGCAGCAGCACAGGTAAGGCAAAGTGGAGCTCCCTAAGGCAGAGTCCAAGCTGAGCCCGAGAAGCCAAAGCGGCGGGGAAAGGAAACGAAGGGACTTTTTTTAGAAAATAAATAAAATAATAATAATTATTATTATTATTACCTTGCTGAGGATTCCACAGAGCTCAACAGGCGCCCCCGACTCTGTCTCGGGATCTTCTTCTGAGCCGGAGGAATGCCAGCTTTGGTTGTCCGACATGGAGGCACTTCCCTCTCTGCTCTTACGCCGAAACGCCGAGACCACCGGAGCTGGTTCTCTACCTGGATTTAAGACGCTTCGCTGCTCCGGAGCCGCTACTGTTGCTACGTCGCCCCACCAGCCTAAGCCACCTTCAGAGCCCTTCCGTCCGTCTGTCCCCTTCTGGCCACCGCCGGCAACAGCAGCTCGCCGAGATCCCCCCACACCCTTCCGCGCACGCCGGTAGCCCTGACCATGAGAAGCAAGCCTTTCAGCGGAGCCAAAGCGCGCGTCTTCGCCTTCTCCGCTCAGATCAACCTTGTGGCGGCGGTTGTTCCAACTAGTACTACTACCTCCGCCGCCATCTTTCTCGCCATCCCCCCCCTCCCTTTTTTTTTTTTGCCAAGCCCTTTTAACGCTTCTCACCAGACGGAGTAAGTCGTTAGAACGAGAGCATGCTGGGAGTTGTAGTCAAACGACTGAAGGTGTTTGGCGGCGCACCGCCTCCTGGGAAAGCGGGTGGGGCGGCGGGCGTTAATCGTTCCCCCTTAAATTCTCTGGTTGTTGTATTGGCTTTGCTTCCGCAAAGTACCGGTGTCGCTTTTTTTCTTTCTCTCTCTTTTTTTTTTTTTTGAAAACACAATTGGTCGCCATCTTGGTGCGACTTAATTATTGCGGAAACGGGGGCTGGTGAAGCTTCTTGGGACTGAGGTGTGTTGGGGAGCTTATGGCTGCGTGATATGTCAAAACTGGTTTTGTGGGAGATTTTTTTTTTCCTTCTTTGCATGGGTTTTAGATTTCCGCTACTACGCCATCCTTATAGATGGGATGATTTACACGCTTTAATATACACCATTAAAGCGAAGGAAAGACAGTGAGAGTTTTTTGTTTTTCGTAGCTGAAACAGCTACTTGATATATTACTTGGTTGGAAGCATTGTAGATCTCCTGGGAATATATGAAACGGGGAGGGGGGAAAAAAGCTACATGTGTTGCTAGCTCCAAGCAGAAGGAGTCGAAATTGCAACGCAATGCGAATTTACTCAAGAGGGGAAAAGTTCGTTTGAACTTAACAGGGCTTCTAAAACATCTGAAATCTATAAAAGATCATGTTACCCTTGCTATACTGCGAGTCACAGAAGCTGATTTAGAGTTCATGTGTTGATCCTGTGGCTGCTTTTCTGTGTATGGACGTTTTGGCTTGGATGAGACAAGGTTGAACATACTTCAGATTATAGAATTAGTTTAAACTAGACAGATTCATAAAATGAAATCTTGTAGAAACACTGTACGTTTAGAATGGAAACCTAGTTCTTTCACCCCAACACTTTTTTTCATTACTGTAAGAGTTCTGATTTTGGTAATATAAATTTGGTTCCTGTTATTAAATAGAAATCACAAATCCTTTTGATCTATAGTTTAAGATTCTACTGGCAACTTTGGCGCAGAGCACAGATGGTTAATGGAGAGTAACGATACATAATGCCTTTTGTTGCAGTAGCTGTCTTTTCACAAATACTTTGTCATCAGTGTGTTACGGATAAAGCACAAGGCTTATCTGACTGGTACTGCCAGGCACAACATCCGAAACTTACTGCAATGAAATTACAACCCTTGTGAAATATGATGTGAAAATCTAAGCTAATTTTTCCTCCTCCAAATCTTGTTGGGCTTGTTAGAGCCAAATAAAAGTACTCTGAAGATTTCCGATTCTCAGCAGTCTTCAGCCGAGGCCTGAATTCAATCAGCATGTATGCCTCCTCAACACAGGCAATTCTAGGCAGTTTATATTAGTTTAAGATAATAAAAATAAGCAAACTGTTAATAAGACTAACAATACATTGGGGGAAAAAATAGAACACAACTTGGTCATGGTCATAAAAATGATCTATTACCAAGGAGTGAATCATAACTCATGCCTCAGGCCTGTTGAAAGATTTTAAAGATTTGCAAAAGCACAATACAGTTGAGGCTGTATAGCTATGTAGCCACAGAGCCTGTGAAAAAAATTCCAGAGAGATACCGTACTTTTCAGAATTCATTGGTGGTTAAGTACAGATTGTTCTTAATTTACAACACTTCATTTAGTGACCGTTCAAAGTTACAAATTACAATGGCACTGAAAAAAGTGATTTATAACATTTTTTCACATGACCATTGCAGGTTCCCCATGATCACATGATCAAAATTTAGATGCTTGGCAACTGGTTCATATGATTACAGTATCATAAATTGTAGTATTCTGGTGTCATGTGGTCACATTTTGTGATCTGACAAAGTCAAATGGGGAAGCTAGATTCACTTAACCATGTTACTAACTTAACAATTACAGTGATTCACTTAGTAATGTCGTAAAATGAAAAAAAAACACTAACAGCAGTCTCTCTTAGCAACAGAAAATATGGCTCAATTGTCGTAAACTGAGGACTATTTGTAAATCATCTCCTTGAAGTGTTGATGCAACATTATTTAAAGGATTCATTGGCTGATTCAAAAGAAATTGCATGTATATGTAGTAGCTTTGCTGCAAATCCTAATGGAAGGTCTGTACAAACAACAAAAAATATCCTTCAAAGTAGCTGGTTGCTACTTAGTATATGGTTGCTTTAAGATTTCAGGAAGGCGGGGGGTTCAATCAATTAGTGTGCTTTGTGAAGTAGATCCTTTGAATGCTTCCCACAGCCATACCATATCATGTCATATATGAGTAGTTTTAGTAAATCCCCAGGCTGCGGACTGGCACTTGTTTGCAGCTTGCCAGGAACTGGGCCATGGAAGTGAATAAAGCCCCATCTGTGCATGTGCAGGATCCAGACACACACACATCCCCATGAAAAAACTGCCCTCCATAGAACTGGTTCCTGGTGCTGAAAAAGTTGGAGCGGGCACTGAATTTGACCATGGCCATTACAGACAGGTGGCCATAGCTGAAAATGGAGGGTAGGAACTATATCAGCTCTTGATCTCATTCCAGCAAGGTAGTTCTTATTTATATGTTTTTTTAAAAATGAAAATGTCTTGTTTTAGGAAGGAGAACTAATGTGATGTGGTTTGAGTACAGATTCTGAGGGAGTAAATATCAATTATATTTTTTGTGCTTTTGCAATTATCTTCAATCATTTTTATCCTTTGCAACATCTTATCCTTTTCCTTCTCTTTTTCTTCCTTATTGATCTCGGTTTTGTCCGTGCTTCAGCAGTTGCCTAAAATATCCATTCTGTGCCTGGCTGCATTTGATAAACCTCTTAAAGATATTGGCAAGTTGGTTTGAAAGTGTTCATTCCTGCCTTTAGGGAATTGGTGAGGTAGGTAGAAAACAAGTTGGATGAGTTAAATTAAGTTTCAGGAGATGGTGCAGTTTCTCTGAAAACTGCAATCCATCATGGAACAATGCTTCAATAGCTTTGGCCACAAAGAAAAAATATTTTCAACTGCAGCAATATTGTTTATGTTAGGGTTTCAAAGTCAATAGCATTAGTTTCAGTTAACATGCTTAAAAGATTACGTAGGATGAAATCTGCATACTTTAAAGATTTATGTTTCTATTATATATGAAATGTTCTTATCTACTGTGTAACTGCAAATAAACATTACAGAAGACTTAATATAATTAGCCAGCAGTCTCCAGTGCCATTGATTGTGATATTTTTCTGGGCCATTTCAGGAATTGAGAGTAGAAAATATATCACTAGACTGATTTTCCTCCTTTTCCTGGAGCTGGTTCTGCCTCAGGACTCTTCCCCTGTCCCCACTCTTATTTAATATCTACATGAAGCTGCTAGATAAAATAATCAGATGACATGGCTGCAATATCAGATCATTGATGATAGCCAGTTGTATTCCCCTAGGCCAAAAAAAAGTGATGCCACTAGGACCTTTCCCGGTGCCCAGAGACTATGGAGGTTTGGATAGGAGAGAATAGGCTTTAATTCAACCATGGCAAGACTAGTTAGTGGCTCTGGGTTTTAAGGTCACCTGGTTCTGAAGATTTTGATGGTCACTGAGTATAATAAAGGTTTTGTTTTGATTTGGAGATTCTCTATTGTTAACTCTGCCTGAGTACTGGTAGTCCTCAAGTTACAACCACAATTGAGCCCAACGTTTCTGTTGTTAAGTGACTTTTGCTCCATTTTATGACCTTTCTTGCCACAGTTCTTAAGTGAATCACTGCAGTTGATAAATTAGTAACCTGGTTGTTAAGTGAAGCTGACTTTCAGATTGACTTTGCTTGTCAGAAAGTCACAAAAGGTGATCACATGACCCTGGCACACAGCAACGGTCATAAATCTGAACCAGTTGCCAAGCATCTGAATTTTGATCACATGATCATGGGGATGCTGTAACTGTGAAAAATGGTCATAAGTCACATTTTTCAGTGCTGTTGTAACTTTGAACATCAGTAAATGAACTGTTGTAAATCAAGGACTGCCTGTATTCTATTTTGGGTACTACATTTCAATTAGGTAAATCCATCTTTCCAAAAAGATACCCCACAGACACATTAGACATGAAGTAGTTTTTGTTGAATTGTAATTGTCAATATTTAGAAACATTATATATATGATTTATTTATTTATTTATTTATTTGTATGTTGCCTTTATTTTTACAAATAACTCATGGCAGTGAACATATCCAACATTCATGCCTCCTATTTTCCCCACAAGAGCAACTCTGTGAAGTGAGTTGAGGAGAGAGTGAGTAGCCCAAGAGTGGCCCAAGAAGTTTGCGTTCATGCCTAAAGTTATGCTATTGATATTGTATTGATACTGGTTCTTTCTATGTCCTCTTACTGTTGTTCTTATTTTTTTACAAATCATTATAAACATATTTATTATATACATGTATTTAAATTCCAACATTAAACCTTCTAGTTATAAGAGAGAATTCTAAAGCCTCCTAGTGCTGCTGGCTTCATATCTATCTGAAGATAATTTAACCAAAAACATTAATACTTTCCACTTTTTTGGCAAGTGATATTGCAACTACTAAGATAAATTAATAAGAGATAATAAGTGAAAATAATTTGTATGCACTCTTTTCCCAGGTTCCCAACTGAATATATTTCTGTTATTAAAAAATAATGTAACATTGTTGGATGCATGTATAGATAATTCTGTTATATTATGATGATGTGAGAGTGTCAGCGATAAACTCTAAAACTATGCAGTTTTTCTTTTTCAGGGTAACTGAGAAACTCTTTGCTTGGGGTTGTACAATGGAAAATGCAAACCAAGATAATGCTTCTTCCAGAGAAGGGTTACTTCTTAGGATGGGTCTTAATGATAACAAAGCTGGAATGCAAGGGCTGGATAAAGAGAAGATCAACAAAATCATAATGGAAGCCTCCAAGGTTTGTTTATATCAGTTTTTTAAAAATGAACAAAGGTTGTAGTTATTCACATTGATTTTATTCAGTAAAAAATGTAGGGTATCTGCCAACATGATATAGGTAATAGGCATGGTCATTACAATTAATGTTAAAAATTAAGTCTATAAAGTTACTGCACATTACTATATATTATTATTATATTATTATTATTACTATATATATATTACTATATTCAAGAACAATCATATTTTAATTTATATATGCAGCCAACTTTAGACACGACTAATAATCGTGTATTTGAATATCATTCAGAATCAGTGGGGCAGTTTAAATAATTGCTTTAAGACTGCAATCTTCTGGTCACTACCTAAATATTGGTACATATATATCCTCCTGAAGGTACAGGCCTAATTCATTTTTTAAAAATAACATTATTCTTCTGATGTGTTTTATTTGTTTATATAGTTTTATCTTTTTATGAAGTATGAAATGTCTTAACTAAAATATTGCACAAAATATTTATATGTCTAAATACTATGTAATTCGGACAGTTCAGTGTACCTATTTGATTTGTTATTTGGCGATTCCTATTTCTTCTATACTCTAAGGCACGGATATCAAACTCGATTGCGTCACGTGCCATATTATGACATATCTCAATGGTTTTTGCCTTTGTGGAGCCAGGGTGGGCATGGCTTGCATGTGACTCATCTGGTCCACAGGCCGCCAGTTTAACACCCCTGCTCTAAGGAATGCCACTTTACTAGTGAATATAAAAAACTTGGGAGATCAAAGGCCTTTGTAGGTGCTCTTCTAATAACCTTCACAACGTAAATATAATTAAATTGATATGTATCAGGTTTAAATAATTTTAATCTCTTTGGCAGGGTTCTAGATTTTATGAAAATGAACTTAAGAAAGACCAACAAGTTAATAAACGGATTGAAAAAATGCTGAAACTAAAAAGTAAAATCACAGAGCAACAAATTTTGAAAGCACAATTGCAGGTAATTTCACTAAAGAGCTTAAAAAGACTAGCCAGGTAAGAAAAAACATGGAAAGTTTATTCCATTTAACTTAACTCCATTTTGCATAGGTTTGCTTGATTTAATCTGAAATAACTAGTATATCAGAGGGCTCAGAATACAAAGGAAGTCCATGATGTCAGCCTCACATATCAGCATGCTGTTAAGATAACCTTCAATGTAAGGCTTGCTATTTAAGTCAACGTAAGTCACTTTGGTTTGTGACTTACTGAATCCTGCCAATCTTCTTTGTCTAAACTCTAAGCTTTAGTGCTTCAACTAGTGTTTCTGGGGCTCCTGACTGTCAACTTTTAAAGCCCCAGAAGCTATTATATTTCTATACAACACTTTATTCATAAAACTATGGTGTTGGTTATAAATATAGCCCCAATGTTTCCAAGAAGTATGTGGGCAGTTACTCAAAGCTGTATGATTATGGCGGGTTGTACTAGTATCCTATGTATGTAAAAAAGTTATACTGTTTTGAAATTAAATGTTGGATTTTTCTACATCAGTGATGGGAAGGCATGTAGTTTTCATCAATTACATGGTATTTCAAAACAAAAAAAGCTCTTGGAAAAAGAGCTTGGTAGCAGTTAATTGTGATTATAGTAGAGCTTCATGTGAGTTACAGTTAGTTCTTGTTTACTCACATACAAAGAACAGCATTGTAGACATTAAACAAATTAACCGGGAGAGCCATAAAGATAATCACAGCATAATTATTGCATTAAACATACCACTTTCTCGTGCCACAGCAAATTAGTTTAGAGCCTTTTTGAAATGATCCATATAATGGTTGGTTCATGTGACAATTTCTGTTACTTAGGATACAAATTAAAAATTATTGTGCAAATTATTCCACATTATTACAGACGGAAGACTTTGAAGTGATAAAAGGGACCATGTAACAGTGTTGATACTGTATGTATGTATATACTTTATGAAACAATTCTGAAGTAATTGGTAGTTTTATAAACTTTTTATAAGTTTTATAAACTTATCCAACTTTGGGGAAGAGAAAAGACTCTGTCTTTATTCAGTTTTGTATATCTATTTGTAAACAGATGGATAAACTTGCAATGGAATTGGATCAGACTCGTGACCTTAGTTGTACTATTGTACACATTGACATGGATGCCTTTTATGCAGCTGTAGAAATGAGAGACAATCCTGAATTAAGGGACAAGCCCATAGCAGTGGGTTCACTGAGTATGCTGGTAAGAAGAAATACACCATTTACATACTTGCATAGAAAACACAGATATGATTTTTCATTGTATACAAATTCCTTGTTTCTAAATGTGTGACAATAGGGAAGCAACATAAAAATGATTTTTGCAAGTACTGTACCAATGTTGTTTTTAGATTAATATTTTGCCTTTCCTGTTCTTGTTCATGGCTTGGTGCTGCGGTTTTAAGTAAAATAGTTCTTTGGTTTAATTTACAACATGGTAGCACAAATATGTTTTGTGCGACTATACTGCAGGGATGTCAAACTTGATTTCATTGATGGATGCATCAGGGTTGTGTTTGACCTCTGGGAGCTGGGGTGGGTGTTGCCAGGGTGGGCATGCCAACTCAACATCACTCATGTCAGGGGCGCTTGGGGGGGCATGAGCACTCTGCCAGCAAAAATGGGCTCCCGAGCTCCGTTTTCTGCTGCGATAGCCTCCTGCAACCCTCTGCCAGTGAAAAAAGAGCTCTGTTTTCTCTGGCAGAGGCACCGCGGACCACTCCTTTGCTGTTTCCAGGGCATCCCCGTGGGCCAGATCTAAGCACTCTGTGAGCTGGATCTGGCCCTCGTGGCTTGAGTTTGACACAGGGGTGAAATCTAAATTTTTTTGCTACCAAAAAAACTACTGCTGCTGTGGGCATGCTTGGTGTGGCATGGCTTGATGGTCATGTGACTGGGTGGGTGTGGCCAGTTTGACATCATTCACGTCACTCTGCTGTGCATGGGGCGCTTGGAGAGAGAGTGAGCAAGACAGCTTTCCAACCTCTGTTTGTGTGTGTGTGTGAGAGAGAGAGGGAGGGAGGGAGGGAGCGATCTGAAGCCGAGGCACCCAAACTTCTGGCAGCGCGGGGCAGTTTCAGAGCAGCTAGCTCCACCTGACCTACTCCCTGAGTCTCGCCGTTCTCCTCCCCCCCGCCCCCCAGCTCAAGCAGCGGCTTCCCTGCTCAGCCCCAACAAGCTATGCATCCATGGTGCCCGCACCAGCAACCCGAGAGAAGCAGAGAAGATCATTGCTTGCAAGCAGACAAGCAGAGGTAGCAAGCGTACGCCGTGCTGTGGGAAAAATGAGAGGTCCTGTTGTCCCGCGGAGCCTGCCGCTGCTTGAGCTGGGGGGGGCAGGAGAATGGCGAGACTCAGGGAGTAGGTCAGGTGGAGCAGGCTGCTCAGAAGCTGCCCCACCGCTGCCAGAAGTTTGGGTGCCTCGGCTTCAGATCGCTCCCTCACACACACACACACACACACACACACACACACACACACACAGAGAGAGAGAGATTGGAGAGTTCTTTTGCTCGCTCGCTCTCCAAGCGCCCCATGCACAGCTCATTTGAGGAAAGGGCACGGACGGCTGGACACATTTGGCTGCAGAAGGAGGCGCAGCACAATGGGGTTGTTTTCTTCACCGAGCTGGTATTTCGGGAGGGCAGGCGGACATCTGCAGCTGACAACTATAATGAATATGTCCACCTGCTCTCCCGAAGCACCCCCGCTGCGAACAAAACAACCCCATTGCTATGGATGCATAGCTTGTCAGGGCTGAGCAGGGAAGCCGCTGCTTGAGTCGGGGCGGGCAGTAAGCTGCTAGCTCCTTCCCCACAGCCCTGCCATGCTTGCCTGCCTTCCATGTGGACTTCTGCTTGCCTGCCTTCGCAAGCTGGCCACCGGGACACCAGGAAGGCAGCATGGAAGGCAGGCAAGCATGGCAGGACTGTGGGCCGTGGATCGGTTCGGGGACACGGCCAGCCAGCCATTGCTCCTAGTTCGGCGAAATAGCCTCAATCTCTGCTACCTACTCGCCCGAGCCGGTCCGAACCTGGAGCATTTCACCCCTGGTTTGACACCCCAGCTCTGGTGTGACTCTGGAACTATTGACTAGCAGTTTCCTGGGAGATTTCCCTATCCTCCCTAAAGAGCTAGGAATTGAGTATTTGCATGAAGATCATATACAGATTGTTTTAGATTTTTTTTTTAATTTAAAGTTGCTAATTGGGACTATAAACTCTGACATTAAGAGACGTGGTTATCAGTTAAAAAAACATGATACTCCACTGCTTAGTGATTGCAGTTTAAGTTGCCATAGTTAAATGAGGACCATGTGGGTATTATGTGAGGACCTCACATGACTGCGACTTCCTGCTGGCTTCCCTATTGATTTTGCTTGAAAGAAGCCAGTAGGGAGGGTTGCAAATTGTAAGTGCAGGGACACTGTGATGGCCACTACTATAGTCCAGTTGGAACGACACTTGTTCAGTGCCATCATAAGTTTGCATGGGTGCTGAACCAGGGGTGAAATGCTACCGGTTCACACCGGTTCACCTGAACCGGTAGTAAAAAAGAGCTACCGGTTCATCTGAACGGGTATTTCCGACGATCAGCTGTACTGCACGATTTATATTCGCTAGAAAGCAGGAAATCTGTGCATGCACGGGCAGCGAACCGGTGGCAACCCACGAAGTATTTCACCACTGTGCTGAACTATTGGTCACTAAATGAGGAGCACTTGTACTCCATCACAAAAAATAAGCAATTAAAATGAAAAGCATATTCTGACTTGGTCTTCATTATAAGAAAAGAAAAGTATAGGGGAGGAACTGAAGCAACAAAATAAAGGACAAGTGTTTATCATTTTGGTACAATCCATTATGGTTTGAACAATGTTCCCCTCAACCAATTTCATTTTCTCTTACCGTTCTCAACCCCAGAGCATTTTAATAATTTATTCTGAAGAGCTGGGATCTCCTTTGCAGTACAAAAAATGTTCTTGGGGGTACAAGACAGAAAAGAAATTGCTGCCTCTTGTTCTTGTCTTGGTAGAAACCTTTGTGGCTCTTCACAGTTCTTAACTATTTCCAATGTGTTTTCACTGAAATCAAGCTTTTGTATAAATGAATATTACCCTAAATAACAGTCTCATCGCAAAGCTCTTCACAAAGTGGTATTTCTTTACAAAATCTCTGAAACTGAATGATCACTGACCCTTTTTCTGCTGTTTAGATTCTTTGCTATTTTTGCCATTAACATTTGCCTGAAATGTTAATGATAATCAAGATATAAATCCACACTGTTGCATACTTTCAGACTAAATGAGATCCCTGTAATTAATACTATATGATTTCTGTGGTTTTGTAGCACAACACATTCAATCATTTTTGTTGTGAAGCAGTCACAGTCAAAATATTGGTTGGCAAAATATAAGTTTCACATGTATTCAAATTACCTCTTACATGGTCAGTCATTTTCTCAGCCTTTGAGACGTTCCTTTGTATCAGTTTGCTTCAAATTTTTGAAGCCTTATTCGGTGACAGAATAAATGAAGGGAAAGTAGGCAATTTCATTTTCTTGTGAAGACGTTTATATGCTTTTCATCACCAGTTTATCTCTGATGAAAGCAGCATACATTGCTTGTTTCAAGAAAAGGAAAAATTGTATTTAAGCAATATGGCAAGTGATGCTGGTATTATTTTTAAAAATACAATAGGATTTTGAAAGACTGGGTTTAAAATGTTCTTGTTGTTGATGTGAAACAGTTGTTTAAACAAGGTGGTGTAACCACTAACCCTTTTTAGCCTGTTGAATTGATTGCTTTATGACTGTATGATCTTGTTACACCAGTTTTAGAGCTGCTTCAGAATGGACCATGACAAAATTGAGTCCACTCTATGCAGTATGAGGATGGCTTGTTTATATTAATGATGCTAACCTTGACTATATTTGCATGTAATGGGGGACTTCCAGTTTGTTTATTTATTTATTTATTTATTTATTTATGTATGTATTTATGTATTTATTTATTATATTTCTATACCACCTTTCTCCCGTAGGACTCAAGGCAGTGTACAGTCAAGTAAAATATAGATACACAAACATCATAAAATTGCTAATTAAAATTATTATTATAACATAGTTTGGCCCAATTAAATAGAACCTAAAATTAGATAACATTTTAAAAACATTCACATGTTCATATGTTTAGCCCCGCTTGTTGGAACATCAGGGTTTTGAGGGCACGGCGGAAAGTACGGAGATCAGGGATATTTCGTATCTCGGGGCAGTTCATTCCAAAGGGTTGGAGCCCTCACAGAGAAGGCCCTTCTCCTGGGAGTCGCCAGTCAGCATAATTTGACTGACGGTACCCTGAGTAGTCCCTCCCTGTGAGAACGAACTGGTCGGTGGGAGGCTATTGGTGGCAAAAGACGGTCTCGTAGGTACCCAGGTCCTAAGCCATGGAGCGCTTTAAAGGTGATAACTAACACCTTGAATCGCACCCAGAAGACCACCGGGAGCCAGTGCAGCTCGCATAGGAGAGGTGTTACATGGGCGCAATGAGCTGCGCCCATAATCACCCGTGCGGCTACATTCTGGACCAGTTGGAGCCTCCAGGTGCTTTTCAAGGGGAGCCCCATGTAGAGAGCATTACAGTAGTCCATACGGGAGGTAACTAGGGCATGAGTGACCGTGCGCAAGGTGTCCCGATCAAGAAAGGGACGCAACTGGCGGATCAGGCGAACCTGATAAAAGGCACCCCTGGCCACGGCCATCAAATGATCTTCTAAAGATAGCCGTGAATCCAGGAGGACACCCAAGTTGCGGGCCCTCTCTGTGGGGAGCAAGATGTCATCCCCAATTGTCAGTGATGGTACCAGCTGACTATACCGAAAGTTGCAGGAATCAGTGTTTTACAGTGGGCTTATGAGTTGAGTGGCTGCAAGTTGTGTGAGGAACCATTTTTGCTCACAGATGTGAATGCATCCTTTTTTAAGGACATAAAGATTAGCTAACCCCATTTCCTAATAACTTTAGATTTGGACTTTTATTGTTATGGAAATTAAATTAAATTAAATTAAATTAACACAAAAACCACTTTGGTGTGGTGATAAACCACCGGGCTAGAAACCAAGAAGCTGTGAGTTCTAATCCCACTTTAGGCATGAAAGGTGGTTAGGTGACTTTGGTGCAATAGGACTGGGTGTTTGTTAATATGGTTTATTGGGTTAGGGATATTCTGTCTTCACTGTGAGTTGTTTTGTGTTGGGGGGGGGCACTGAGGAAGCTCAACAATCTCATTGTATATATGTTGTGCACTGACAGTAAAGGTTTGAATTTGAATTGAATTTAGTTACTTTCTCTAAGCCCAACCCTCCTCATAAGATTGCTATTTTTTTTTTTTAATTTGATTATATGCCGCCCTTCTCCGGAGACTCAGGGAGGCTTACAATGCGTTAAGCAATAGCCTTCATACTTTTGTATATTTTATACAAAGTCAGCTTATTGCCCCCACAAACTGGGTCCTCAATTTACCTACCTTAGAAAGGATGGAAGGCTGAGTCAACCTTGAGCCTGGTGAGATTCGAACTTACTTTAATTGCAGACAGCTGGTGTTAAATTACAGTGCCTTGTCTGCAGAGCTATCCAGGCTCCTATTGTGGGAAAATAGGAGGTGGTACCATTAGAGATGTTCACTGTCTTAAGTTCACAAAACTTATGTGGCAAGACAAAATAAATGTTAAAAATGAAATATTCTGGAATCTTTTGCAACAGCAAATATTATGTAGTCATTGGGTGATTGCCATCTTTTTACAGAAATGATTTTTAAATACAGTTTTTAAGATTGAGGAAAATATTACTTTTTGGATCAAACAGCTAAAGGATGCTTAGAGTATTGATTTCTGAAAAGTTAATAATGGATTAGAGATTAAGGGACTTGGAACTATAATTTAAATTAAATAGAATAACTCCTGTGGTGGAAAATTCTACTTGTTAGGGTTTTTTATAAGTCAAAACAAGATAGAATGGGGTTTTGAAAGCTGGGCACAAAATGGAACTAGAGGGTAATAAAGAGTACAAAGAATGGAACAAAATAAGATAACATTGAGTTTTCAGGTGGAAATTTATAAACTACTTCAAAATTATTGGATATGATGGATAGATGGAGTGTTAAAGAAGTAACAAAAGAAAAACAAGCTATTCCAGTTAGGTTTGAAGTTAATTTGTGGATATAAATGTGACAAGCAGTGAAAAGGATATCGAAAAATGTACAAGTGAAACTGGTTGTGATGGAATGTAATAGTCTGAATTCCCAGAGGGAGGGGCTGCATTCCAGAGGAATAAAAGGCATCTCAGTCCATATTTTTTTGGGAACGAGGGTGAAGACAGCCCCTTCCTAATAGTATATGATAGATGCAGATGTTAGAGTGCTTTAGTTTGGGAAGATTCTGTCTGTAGATGTGGAGTAATGAAGAACTCCGCTTGGAAGAATCACTACGTGTCCTTCTTGGTTCCCTGGGCCTGACATTGGTTAATGTTTCATTGGCTAAAAGAGATACATAACTACTAAACCAAATATATACACAACACACACACACACACACACACACGGATATACATCCAAAATCCAAAAATCTTATCCTTTGTTCCTTATCAGCAACAGTTCAGTAAGGGATGCTAGATATTATCTTTCTTGATCACTTCTTTTTTTTTCCTGGATGAACAAAACTCATCTATTAAACTCTTGAACAACTTTTTGAGAAATGATCAAGGTAGATAATATCTAGCATACTTTATTGAACTGTTGCTGATAAGCAATGAATGATGAGATGTTTGGATTTTGTTTTAGTAAGAGATGAAATATGGCATGAAAAGTATATATTATAATGTAAGAGATGGTGATAAATAAGTTACAGTAGTCCTCAATTTATGACCGGTCATTTAATAACCATTCATAATTACGGTGGCCTTGGAAAAGGTACTTTACAGCCCATCAAACATTTCCATCCCTTGTAAACTGTTGCATGCTCTGTTGCTATCACATGACCACATTTCGAGCCCTTGGCAACCTGCTTGCACTTAATGACTGGTTGCTAAGTACCCTTACAAATCATGTGATTGTCATTTGCAATCTTCTCTGCCTGCTTCCCCAGAAAGTCAATGGGGAAGCCAGCAGGGAAGATTTCAAGCAGAAGGGATGGAAAGGAACCTTTTGGCTGGGTCCAGGTTCTATAGGTGTATACAGAGCTGTGTGCAAAGCTGCCACAGTCCTAGATTCGTTCCTAACCTAACCTAACCTAACCTAACCTAACCTAACCTAACCTAACCTAACCTAACCTAACCTAACCTAACCTTCAACCTCAAAGGTAGGTTTCAGCAGGTTCTGACCAGTTCTGGAGAACCGGTAGTAGAATTTTGATTTCGGAGAACCGGTAATAAAAATTCTGAATGGCCTCGCCCCCAGCTATTCTCTGCCTCCCAAGTCCCAGCTGATCGGGAGGAAATGGAGATTTTGCAATAACCTTCCCCTGGAGTGGAGCGGGAATGGAGATTTTACAGTATCCTTCCCCTGCCATGCCCACCAAGCCACACCCAGGCCATGCCACGCCCACCAAGCCACACCCACAGAACCGATAGTAAAAATTTTTGAAACCCACCACTGTTCAACCTGCTTCCCACCCAGCCACACACAGAAGTCCTCAGTTATCTCCAGGACCCAGCAGTATACAACTTACCTTTCTGAAAATGGGCACTATTCTTGCAATCCTCAAATCTTTCTTTAAATCATAGAATCATATGGCTGGAAGGGATCTGAGAAATCTTCTAGTCCAACTCCCTGCCCAAGGCACGAGTCCTTATATCATCCCAAGCAAATGATTGTCCAATCTTTTCTTGAAAACCTCTGGCAATGGAGCATCCATAACTCCAGGAGGCAAATTGTTCCATAGATGAATTGTTCTCATTGTCAGGAAATTCCTTCTTAGTTCCAGGTTGGATCTCCCTTTGATAAATTTCCATCCATTGCTTCTTGTCCTGACCTCGGGGGCTATGGAGAATAAATTGACCCCCTCTTCCCCGTGACAGCCCATCAAATATTGAAATATAGTTATCATGTCACTCCTAAGCCTTCTGTTTGTTAGCCTAAACATACCCAGTTCCCTTAGGCGTTCATCGTATGATTTAACCTTCAGACCCCTTATCATCTTTGTTGCTCTTCTCTGTACTCTTTCCAGGATCACAGCATCTTTTTTGTATTGTCATGACCAGAACTAGATGCAATATTCCAAAGATGGTATCACAAGTGCAGTATAAAGTGGTACTATCATTTCACGTGATTGTGAAGCACTTTTGGACTATATTGGCTTTTTGGTAGCTGCAGCACACACTGCTGGCTCATATCCAAGTGGTAGACCACTACGACACCTAATCCTTCTCTTGACACTATTGTTGAGCCAGATGCTGCCTATTCTGTACCTGTGCATTTCGTTTTTACTGCCTAAGTGCATGACCTTACTTTCTTTACCACTGAACTGCATCTTGTCGTTGGTATGGGGCCCGATGCTCAAGTCCGACAAGATCCTTCTAAATTGTGAGTCTATTTTCTGAAGTTTTAGCAATTCCACCCAGTTTAATGTAATCTGCAAATATGATGAGCATTCCTTCAATCACACCATCAATCCCCCCCCCACCCTTAAAACAGAGTCTCTTTAAAATGGAATGGTTTTCTAATCAGAGTTGATTTCACAGTAGAAGCTGATTTCCATGTTTAAGTAGTACTTGAATTAATGATTCTTAAATTTTCCTAACAGCTTTGTAATCTAGTTGTAATACAATCCATTTAAAAAAGCTTTTTTAAAAAAATCATGATTTTGTCTTTTTTAAGTCCACTTCAAATTACCATGCTAGAAGATATGGGGTACGCGCAGCTATGCCTGGATTTATTGCAAAGAAACTTTGTCCACATCTTATTATAGTACCATTAAATTTTAAGAAATATGAAGAAGTAAGTAAACAGGTACGTGATTCATTTGCATAGTTGAATGCATATTAGTTTAATTATTTTAATTCATCTGCAGTTCACCTAAAATTAAAAATTACCGTATTTTTCAGAGTATAAGACGCATGTTCTGTCCCCGTCCTCACACAGATAAATGCAGTATCAAACACGCCTGCCAATAATTTATTGTATAAACAGACCAGAATTCCTGGCAGATGAGAGTTCTGGCAGCGAACTGTAAAATGCCTGCCAAGTCCAATTAGTACTCCCAAAAAGCAGGAGAGGCCTTATCTGCAGTCCGTTTCCAGAGCGACAAATTATCCACAAGAGTTTAGTCCAAAATATATCTGAGCCGAAGTGCAGGATTCACAATGTGACTCTTTAGAGTTTAAACTTTTGTCCGTCACAAAGCCTGCCGAGCAATCACGCCCTCTTTTATCCCTTGTGGGGTGTGGCTCAGTGACTCAGCTCAATCCCTGGCCCTCCCACGCCTCTTCCTTTGTTGCGCATGCTTCTCCCTCCGACGCTGCCTGGGATCAAGCCAGGATTCATCATTATCACTCTCTATCAATGGGTGCTCCAAAATGCCTTCCTCCTGGCCCATCCCAGGCTGTTCCTCCTGGCCTTTGGATGGAACCTGAGGCACTGCCAGAGAGGAGGGTCTTGGAGAGGAAGGCCTTGTCAGTTCCTCCCCCTCACCTTCTGAGTCCTCTTCCTCCATGAGGACAGGCTTGGGAGTCAGAGTCACAACAACGCACCGGAGTATAAGACGCAGCTTAGTTTTTGGGGAGGAAAATAGGGGGGGGGAATCTGCCTACCAGATATTCAGCTGGCTAGTGTCCTTAGTCTGGTTAGCTTCAGCATATTAGTTTGCTGGTTTTTATCCCCTGCTTGGGGATAAAAACCAGCTTCTAAAGCACAACTGATCTCTGGAGAGAGAAGCAATGAGAAAAGCAGGCAAACCACAGAGATCACTTCACTCACTAGCGCTTCGTTAGGGCTGAAAAAAAGCTTCAAAAAAGCTACATTCGGAGTATAAGACGCACCCAAATTTTCAGCCTCTTTTAGGAGGGAAAAAATTGCGGCTTATACTCCAAAAAATACGGTATGTTATACTTTTCCCATTATTCCATATACTATTAACTTTGTTTCCCATAATTAATAAATTATGTGGTTGGATGTATTTTTTGTTTTTGTGTTTTGCATTATGCTAACATGTTTTTGCAGAGTATAATTATACTTCCTGTTCATGTGTGATTGAAGCATAGTCTGGAGCCACTATAATATTATTGGTTTACTCTGCATTCAGACTGAGATCATTCTGTCATTTTGGGGACTTGTGTCTTAGCGCTGAGTTAAGTCACCTTCTCTTAATACAGTGGTTCTCAACCTGTGGGTCGGGACCCCTTTGGGGGCCGAACGACCCTTTCACAGGGGTCGCCTAAGACCATCAGAAAACACATATTTTCAATGGTTTTAGGAATAATTTTATGGTTGGGGGTCACCACAACATGAGGAACTGTATTAAAGGGTCGCGGCATTAGGAAGGTTGAGACCCACTGTCTTAATAGTTATGGCTACATCATCTCTGCTATGAATTTCTTACCTGCAGAAAGAAACTGACATTCTCTGATTTGAAGTGACATGGGATTCCAGTCCATTTTAATATGCTGATACTTAAAACATTACTGGTCAATCTTCATTCTGACATCAAGTTTATTATGGTTCATGGTTCTGACATCTCATAAAAATTGTGTGCATATCTTTGTAGCACTGAACTAGGAGTACATTCCCACAGTGTAACTTTAGCATCATTAAGAAATTCAGTCTGTTTTATTACTTGCTGTTAAAAGGGTGAGACAAAATAAAGTAACTGAGATACTCATCCCTGGAAGCAGCCAGTTTGAATGTCTTCATAGGGAGACATTTCTGTCTTAAAATATTTTAACTATCCATTTTTTATTAGTTCCCTCATTTTATTACATTGAGAACAAGTTTTTCTTGTTAATAGCATACCTTCAGTGAAATTTGATCAAGATGCTATAGTTAGCAGGCAGTGGAATCAAAAATACTCTTCAATAATTGACTTTCCTCCCTGATGTATGATCGATCCATGATGTATGCCAAATGATATGGTGCCGATACAGGTAGTCCTCGACTTACAACAGTTCATTTTAAAGTGACCTTTCAAAGTTACAATGGCACTGAAAAAAGTGACTTACGACCATTTTTCACATTTATGACGGTTGCAGCACCCCATGGTCATGGGATCAAAATTCAGATGCTTGGCAACTGTTTCATACTTATGACCATTTCTGTGTCCCGTGGTCATCTGATTAACCTTTTGCAACCTTCTCACAAGCAAAGTCAATGGGGAAGCCAAATTCACTTAACAACCAGTTTACTAATTTATCTATGGTAGTGATTCACTTAACAACTCTGGCAAGAAATTGGATCGTAACTTGGGGCAAAACTCACTTAACAAATGCCTCACTTAACAACAGAAATGTTGGGCTCAATTGTGGTCGAGGACTACCTGTACTGATTAGATGCATGGTATATTTTTAAAACATGAGTAAATAACAGTGAAACTTTGTATTTGTATTTCTGAAGATTAGGGAAATACTAGCTGAATATGATCCTCAACTCATGCCCATGGGCCTTGATGAAGCCTACTTGAACATAACAGAGTACTTAGAAGAACGGAACCACTGCTGTAAAAGAAAACATCTCAGTACATCCAAGTTTGGTCTAAATGGTAGGTAATTATCAGGAGTTATCAGGTCAAAATGTTATGTTGCTTTTATGTCTGTGATCTAGTAAACCTGGAAACTATGACACATAGATATTTTAAGTTTTAATATTTGCTTTCATGTTTATTATGAATTAATTTCATGCCAAGGCAGAAGCTAGTTATAAGATCTTAATCCAGAATTTTAAGTTTATTCTGAACACTAATGTAACAGTCCTCATTTCAATGGGAGAAGGTTTTCCAATGCTGGTTGTTAACTTGGGGCCAGTGATTTGGTCAAGGAAAAGAATTGTGATCCTAAACTGGATTTTTTATTTACTCACCGTAAGGAGAAAATCCTAAAAATCTTACTATTTTACTATAATTTTAGATTGCCCTATACCAGTGAGTTCTTTGGTCATCTTATATATACAGTTGTACACATATGTATAGATGTAGAAAGACGCATTGTTCTTTTCAGTACCAAATTTTAGTTCTGTAAACTTGCAACTCCTCTGTATGAAGGAATACCTTCGATGCAATATAAATAGCAATAGCACCTAGACTTATATTCCGCTTCATAGTGTTTTATAGTCCTCTCTAAGCAGTTTACAGAGTCAGCATATTGCCCCCGACAATTGGGTGCTCATTTTACTGACCTTGGAAGGATGGAAGGCTGAGTCAACCTTGAGCTGGTTGACTCAGCTGCTGGCAGTCAGCAGAGTTAGCCTTCAATATTGCATTCTAACCACTGCACCACCATGGCTTTTTCTTTCTTTTCCTCCATGGGAGATGACCCTGCAGCAGTAACAGTGAGAATACTGCCTTTTCTAAAAGCAATATATGCAACAATCTTGCCAAATAAGTGATTTTGAAGTCTAAAGCAGCAGTCCCCAACTTTTTTGCCACCGGTTTCATGAAAGGCAGTTTTTCCACAGACTGGGGAGGGTGGGGGAATGGTTTCGGTTTCGCTTGCTCATCTGCTGCTCACCTCCAGGTATGCAGCCCAGTTTTTTAACAGGTCATGGACTGGTACCGGTCCTTGCTCAGGGGTTTGGGACCCGTGGTCTACTGCTATTTCTGTTATTAGCTTTACAAGAGAATTTGAAATGACTGCTTTGCTTATGATATTCTGTTTTTTATTTTTTTAAAAAAAAACAAGGAAAACAGAACATAGTTATATCTGATGAATCAAACTTGAGTGAAGATATGCATTCCTGTTCACCAGTATTGTTTGACAGTGACACTCTGATTGATAAGCGGACTATTCAGCCATCTTTGCCCTTAGAAGAACAGCAATGCCAACAGTCAAGAGTTCAGTTAAAGTCAGTTGTCTTGGAAACATCAGCTGAGGAAGTTGTAAATGAAATTCGTTTGAGAATTGAACAAAAAACTGGGATGACTGCCAGCGCTGGTAAATACATTTTTATTGTTTAAAACACTGTCAATTCTAGAATAACTCTGTACATATTTACTGTAAGTATGTTCATAAAATACCTGTCGTATTGATTGACTAGAGTTGTATCTGTGATTCTTTGCTGCTATATACTTATCTAACTATATTATATCTATCAAAAAGTGCAAAGCTGAATAATTATGTTTTACTTCTTGTGTGTAGTGTGTTTTAGATTTTATTTCATTTACGTGACTCCTGTCTATATAAGGTTGTACAACTTATTGGATATGTGCATTGTTTTGGTCCCAGTGCAAATATTGACCATTAAATTATGACTCTGGACTCCATTATTCATAGAATTTGTGCATTTGCGTACGACAACAGAATTGCTTTCATTCTCTCTATTAAGTTGTTGTTTAACTAGGTTATTTTACAATGTTGTTTGGGGGAGAAAGAAGGCTTTACACTTGGAATGTTATGTTCACAACTAACAAAGTTGCAATTATGTAATTTTCATAGATATTACTCAAATATTCTCCCATTCACTACTGCATTGGGCCACAACCAAAGATGGTTAAGATTTACTCCCTCAATTACTTACTCACCTAATCTTTCCACCTACGTTCTCTTCAACATAAATTATATCTGTTGCCTTGATTTTTATCTGGAGGCTGGCTGCAATTAGTGACAGTGACTCAGATATTAGTAAGAATTAGCCCTGATTTTTTCTGAATAAATATAATAATTTGGGTGTAATCAAAGGATGTGAATGTATTGTTTATATTTAGTAAGAGATCTATAATAATTAAGGGAAAGACGTTTGTTCTTACATTATTTGTAGGCAAAGTTTGAAACCAGCAATTATATAATGGCCAAATAACTACTGGTTACTTTTTTGGGGGAGAAACGGTCCTTTGTACAGGATTCAATTGTTTCATACTAGAAGAGTTAGGAATATGAAAATAAAAACTGGTTATAGAAGACTGTATCTTAGGAAACACTAATAACTAATGGTCCTCTAAAAAGCCAAAGAATGTAATGTTGAAAGGAACTTTGGAAGTCATCCAAATCCATGACAGCTGTTCAACCTCTGCTTAAATTATTTCAGTGAAGAACGCATTACTCTTTAAATTGTTTCATCTTTTCTACGTTCTGGAATAACAGAGGTCTTGCAATCAGTCTGAATTGGTCTGAAAGTATAGATTTTGCTGTTCTGTCAATGGATATGATTAAGAACTAACCCGAATAAAAGGACTTAAACACTCACAGGAGACTTAATGCTATTTAAATAGCATACATTTTAATGTAAAACAAATAAATAATGAAGCTGAATATTATCCAAGCATAGCTCAGAGAATGTATCTAGAAAGGCCTGTAATAGTCTGTTCAAATGAAGTTAAATAATATTGTAGGAAAGAAGTAAATGAGATAATGATCTTTCTTTTCCTTTTTTCTTAGTCATTTTCTTCTTTCAGTCCAGGCAGGTCCTCTTACCCAAAAAAGCAGTTTATGGGAGCTTGAGACCAGAGAAGGCAAGCAAGCAAGTTTTGTATCTGGAAGTTGATAAGTAACTTAGATAGGAAAGTGCAATTGGTGCTCAAAATCCTTATTATTCATAAAAACTAAATGGGATCAGAGCAGCAGTGACTGATGAGGAAAGAGATTTTGGGGTAGTGATAAACAGTTTTATCAAGGTGTTAACACAGTGTACATTCAATCATGTTAGAGATAATTAGAAATGGTATTAAAAATAGAAACGCCAGTATATTAACACATTTATAAAAATGAGTGTATCTGGAATATTGTGTGCAGTTCTAGTCACTGTACCTTAAAAAGATATGATGGAATTACGCAGAATGCTGAAAAAGATTAAGATATAGTAAGATAAAGAAATTGAGAGGGAAGATTAACATTAACACTATTCATTATTCCTCTCCATGTTTTCTGTCCATGCAAATGAACCTTGCTTTTAGGAGAATCTTACAAACTCCATCCCATTTCAGTCATCCATTTGTTTCAGTTCATTGAGTCTTCCTGCATATATTTGTTTCACATTTCAATCCTCATACTGTCTATATTAGTGTTTTTGTTGAAATACACACTTCCTAAAGTTGCCAAGTTTGAAAAGCTGATTTATATGACTCATCATATTATCACTCATTTTACTCCTTTCATTGCAGTCACTCATTTTTTAATTTAACCCATATTCATAGTTGATAAGAGGCAGGTGACAAAATGTTGGCTTGGAAAGTTTCTATTCTAGAGCTACCAGCTTACATTTTTTTTAGCACACTTGAGGTAAAACTAGGTATTGATTGTGCTTGTGGTATACTGGGCAAAATATAATAGAACTATCCAATATTATGACCGATATTATGACCTTATGTTAACATGGAATACTGAATTCCATGTTAACGTAACATCTGACCCGGCGCCGATCTCATCTGGCTCCTTGGTTTACTGAGGAGCTAAGAGAGATGGAGCGCCGGAAAAGATGCCTAGAGAGCAGTTGGAGGGCCAGCCTTTCTGAATCCGACCGGACACTGGTAAGATCTCATATTAAAAATTACCTAGTGGCGATAAAAGCAGCAAAATGTAATTATATTGCTGCTATTATTGCGTCATCAGATAACCGCCCAGCCGCCCTGTTTAGGGTAACCCGCTCCCTGCTCCACCCAAGGGAACCCCTTGGAGCATAGAGCTGAGGACTTAGTACTATCTGTATGAAAAAATCACTCAGATTCGGGAAGACCTGGACTCCGACTGGGTAGTTTCAGGGGGGATGACTGAGGCAGGTCTTGAGAATGTTATCTAGGATGAGTTTGATCCTGTGACTCCTGAGGACGTGGACAGGATTCTGGGCAGACTGAACGCGACCACATGTTTGTTGGACCCGTGTCCCTCCTGGTTAGTGCTGGCTTCCCGGGAGGAGATTATAAATGCTTCATTGGGTGAGGGTGACTTCCCCGCCGCCTTGAAAGAGGCGGTGGTGAGGCCTTTCCTCAAGAAGCCTTCCCTGGACCCGGCAGTGTTGGCAAATTATCGTCCAGTCTCTAACCTTCACTTTGTGGTGAATGTTGTTGAGAGTGTGGTTGTGCGACAGCTCCCCCAGCACCTGGATGAAACGACGTATCTGGATCCATTCCAGTTGGGCTTCAGGCCTGGGTACAACACGGTAATGGCATTGGTCGCGTTGGTTGATGATCTCTGGAGGGCTCGGGACAGGGGTTGCGCCTCTGTCCTGGTCCTATTAGATCTCTCAGCGGCTTTTGATACCATCGACCATGGTATCATGCTGCACCAGTTGGAAGAGTTAGGGGTGGGGGGCACTGTGTTGCGGTGGTTCTCCTCCTTTCTCTCCGACCAGTTGCAGTCTGTGTTGGCAGGGGGGCAGAGGTTGACCCCGAGGCCCCTCATATGTGGGGTGCCACAAGGGTCGGTCCTCTCGCCCTTTTTGTTCAACATTTATGTAAAGCCGCTGGACGAGATCATCCATGGTTTCGGGGTGAAGTACCACCAGTACGCTGACGACACTCAGCTGTACATCTCCACCCCAGACCACCCCAACGATGCCCTTGAAGTGATGTCCCGGTGCCTGGAGGCCGTACGGATCTGGAGGGGAGAAACAGGCTCAGGCTCAACCCATCCAGGACCGAGTGGCTGTGGTTTCCGACGTCCCGATATAGTCAGTTGGCACCATCACTGACTATTGGGGGCGAATCACTAGCCCCCACAGAGAGGGCTCGCAACTTGGGCGTCCTCCTGGATTCACGGCTGTCTTTAGAAGAGCATTTGACGGCCGTGACTGGAAGGATTTTTCATCAGGTTCGCCTGATTAGCCAGTTGTGTCCCTTTCTGGATCGGGACTCCTTACTCACGGTCACTCATGCCCTCGTCACTTCCCGCTTGGACTATTGCAACACTGTCTACATGGGGCTCCCCTTGAGGAGCACCCGGCGCAGAGTGCGGCCGCACAGGTGGTTATGGAACAGACATGGCATTCCCATGTAACACCTCTCCTGCACGAGCTGCACTGGCTCCCGGTGGTCTTCCGGGTGCGCTTCAAGGTTTTGGTTACCACCTTTAGAGTGCTCCATGGCTTAGGACCTGGTTACCTACGGGACCGCCTGCTGCCACCAATAGCCTCCCACTGGCCGGTACGCTCTCATAGAGAGGGGCTCCTCCGGATGCCGTCAGCCAAACAATGTCGACTGGTGGGCCCTAGGGGGAGAGCCTTCTCTGTGGGGGCACCTACTATCTGGAATGAGCTCCCCCGGAGATACGGAGGATTCCGGATCTGCGCACCTTCTGCTGCGCTCTTAAGACCTTTTTATTCCATCAGGGTGGCCTGGCCTAATCTTTTCCCTTTTTCCCTTTTTAAATGTAAATTTTAATCTGTTTTAAATTACTGGGGTGTTTTAAATCTGTCTTGGGCCAAAATTATTTAATTTGGTTTTATTTTGCTTTTAAATTTTGTATTTATGTGTTTTATCTGTGGCTGTTCACCGCTCTGAGTCCTTTGGGAGTAGGGCAGTATATAAATCAAATAAAACTAAAACTAAACTAAACTGAATGAGATGTAGATATGGCAGTTTGGTAACCTAACATCTACTTTGCATCATCTACCTGTGAAGTAGCATTTTGTGGAGCGGTACCTATTATGGAGCCACTTTAAGATTGGGCACCCATAATGCCTATGTTTTGATGGCACCCGTGACCCTGCCACAAAATTATTATTTATATTCAACTTTCATCTCAAATCTGGATTACTTTGTCTCTTACGTACTATGTAATTGAAGTTGGAAAGTGATAATTCTTTTTTGTTTCTATTTGATTTTTTTTTTCAATTAATTGTAGGCATTGCTCCAAACATGATGTTGGCAAAAATGTGCAGTGATAAAAATAAACCTAATGGCCAGTATAGAATCCCTCCAGAAAGAGGTGCTGTGATGGACTTCATCAAAAATTTAGCTATTAGAAAGGTGAAAAAATTGATTTATTTAATGTTACTACTTTTATGAATGTTGTATTCAGGAAATAGTTTTGATGTTTAATTTTTTATCAACAATTTTATCTTCTATATCTGCCACTTAAGATATTACACTGCCCTCCATGGTCATGTGACTGGATTTTGAGCAGTTAGTAATCAGCTCACATTTACAACCACGTTTCATGTAATCACTATATGATTTGCTTAATGACCGCTCTAACAACTGGTCAAAAAATCAGTTACTCTCCCATAGTGCCTCACTTACATATGTCAGTGCAGAGCAATACAACAAATTTGCCAGCTACGTGCAGCAGTTTACCAAGCTATGTAATTATTTCTGTTACTTTCAGTTTCCAAGGTGATCGTTAATAATAGATGATAACGGGATATATATTGAAACTGTTAAAATTAAGATTTCACATTAAAACTTCCTGTTTCACTGGTATATAATTCCTTCTCATTTAGGTACCAGGCATAGGAAAAGTAACAGAGAAAATGCTAAAAGCTTTGGAAATAGAGACTTGCACAGAACTGTACCAGCAGAGGGCTCTGATTTCTCTTCTATTTTCTGAAACATCCTCCCATCATTTTCTTGAAATCTCTCTTGGTTTGGGTTCCACACATTTGGAAAGGTATTTTATACAAAATGTACTTTATCCTTATTTTACTTGTTTTCTAAATATTTCATTAATTGGTTGCATTTCACATGAAATTAATAATGACTGTATTATTCAAATTTATCTGTAATCTAGCCTTGTTTTTATTCTAATTCCCAGTTGAATTGCAGAATTTTAGGGCTTTCCCTCAACTCTTCTAAGATCCTTTAGTCTAAAATAGATAACATATATTTGTAACTTTAAAAAATATTCAGTGAAGTACTTCAATTTTCAATATTGAAAAATATTTTCAGATTGTTGAGTAAATTCAGTTCCATCATGTTCTAACAAAAGATAAACTTTTTTATAAAGACAGAGTGATATTGAATACTTACAAAAATGAGGACATTTACTAATATTTCTTACCTTTGCTTTATCCTGCTTTTCAGAGAACTGTTTTTGTCTGACTTTTAGTAATTATTTTTCCATTGCTTTTTTTTTCGTGATGAGTGTGTGTCTGCTCATAAAATTTGACACTTACTTTATTGGGAGCTAACCTTTGAAATTTAGCACTCTTGAACATTCTTTCTTTTTTTTTAAGGGACGGGGAAAGAAAAAGTATGAGTACAGAAAGGTATGTACTCAAAAATATATCAAGTGTAAACATCTCGCCTCTTAAATGCATTTAAATATACTATGTGGTTGCCCCCCAATGATGCAAGAAATACCAATATAATGCCAAAAATTTGCCAAATAAAATTTGGTGTTACCTGAATATGGATTAGCTTATTTGTTTGTTCATTTATTTATTATTTGTCTTCATTGCCCAACATTCATAAATAGAAGAAGCATTCATAAGTAGAAAAAAAGATAAAAACAGCTAAAACTCTGTCCACATAAAGATAATAGATAGTATAAAGATAATAGATAATAGACATTTAATCCAAATACTGGTACCAGCACACTTTTCCCATCATGTAAAAGAGATACTGGTTCTTTGGAAATAAAAATTATGTAACTGAACCTCTTTTGAGACATTCTTCTAAAAACTTTTTCCTATTAGAATAGTAATACCAAATATAATTATTGTGACTGTGCCAAGAAGACCTAAGATAAAAATAGAATTTTCCCTCCATATCTAGAGATGCTGCTTCCAGCAGGGACAGCCATCTGATACAGGAGAAAAGTTCAACTGATCCAAACAGAGGAAGATCTGATTTTCATTGATTCCTCTTCCTTAATAAGCTGTCTATACCCTTTGAAAATCAGAAGAGTATTAGGTAACCCTCTGAAATAGTCAAGGAGAAGATACCAAGAAATTGTGATCATTCTCTTGACCCAGCCCCTAATAAGCTTTACGAGCTTATTTACATTCAATTAATAATTCCATCAAGTAGAATTAAATGTTGGATCGCCAAAGAACCAAAATTTATTTTTCATTGTGCAGTTTTTTTAAAACCAAAATCATTATTGGATGTTTTTAATAAATAAAAAGATTTGAACTGGATCAAGACTAATTTGTTATAATTAGGTACTATTGAAATAATTGTAAAAGCAGTGTCTAACTTTAGTGCAAACTAAATGAGACAACTGGTCTTGATCCAATTCTAAATCTGACATCCACTATTAAATGGAAGCTGGACTGTTACATTTGTCCCAAAGTTTAACTTTTAATATTTACCATAACAGGCACAGGAAATCATATTTGGCTTTTAATTTTTGTGTAGTAAGTATGTAGCATCTATTATAAGCTGAAACATTCATTTTTTAATGCTGCAGTGGATTTAAAGAACTGTTTTTGTATTGTTCAATAGATTTTTGCAAATATTTTCTGCTTAGTTTAAACTTGCTTGGATAATCTGTCAAGAACAGAACATGCTGAGGTTTTCTTCTCTCTTGGCATTTAATGAAATAAGTGCATCAGAACAATACAGGTTATGTCAAGAACTCTGCAGTGACCTTGCTCAGGATTTGAAAAAGGAAGGACTTAAAGTAGGTAACTTTGTACCTTCTATATTTCTCCTATTTATTAGCAGTCACATCTTCTATATTTATTGGTGTATTGTTTTGATGGGAAATACTTTTTATTTGTCTGCATTCCTCTTGGTTGTAGGAATTTAGATAGCATAGAATTTATGCTGAGGGTGAAGATGATTTGTTAGATTTACAGGCAGTCACTGAGTTAAAAACGAGTTCAGTTCCTAATTCTGTCTTTAACTTAAATTTATATATAAGATGGAACGTGTACTTACAAATGGACTGCCTATTGATAAAAATGCTATATGGTCCCCGTTCTCCTTCATTGACCTGATCTTCCTCTTCACCTTTACTGCAAGATACTTCTCAGGAGCTATAGGGACTATAGATCAGTGATGGCTTGTCCCCGGTTCGTACCGGTTCTATAGAACCGGTAGTAACACCGGCGGGAGGCCCTGCCCACTGACCCTGACGTCATGAAAATGCTTCTGCACTTGCACAGAAGAGCGTGCATGTGGCCCCGTTACAAACTGGTAGTAAAGGTAAGTAGAACCCACCCCTGCTATAGATCATTGATAGACATTTGGCTTTTCATGTTGATTTCTCAGGTTTAATTCCTAGCTGCAAAATAATTCATTGAAATTCTGGAGAAATGTTAAATGGAGCAATGGTTTAGACACAGTTTATGGTAAATTTCAGTGTTTCTATGCAAGAACATGGAGACTTATTTCTTGAATCATGAAACTTATAAAAAAAAGTTGGTGTTGCCAAAGAAGGAAAGGAATTTAGTATTGCACAAATAACTAACTCCCTTGGAAGTTCACTTCTCAACTCAAAAAAAAAAAAAAAAAAAGTCTCACACCCTTTTTTTCTATTTGTTTTGACCAAAAATTCTACTTGAGAATTAAAAATTAAGTCTGTTCCTATTTGTTCTGCTCTGGCTTTCATTTTTTGGACATGATTGCTTATTGTCAATAATGCAAAATACAGAACGCAGAGGTTTGTCTTAAAAAGTGGTTTATATACAAGTCATATATATATATACATACACGTGCTAAGCAATGCTAGGCAAGCAATCAGTCTTCAACTCTACATGGAGAGCTACAATGCAGAGGAGAATGATACATGAGGATAGTGAGAGAGAGAGAAATGCCCTCTAATGGCCTCTCTTATATAGGCAGCTTCTTAAAGGACAATAACCCTGCTGACTCATCCTCAGTCTTAAAGGGCTGGTCAGCTTTAAATCATCATTACCCTGACCCTTATGAAGAATCAGAGTGCAGAGATTTTTTGTAAGATTTGAACTGAACAAAACAAGACATTAAAATAATCAGTTGCTTAACGGTCTTAAATATAAAGAAATAATGAAGATAAGATACAATTTCTGTATTTCAGATTATAGCAGCTTCAGAAAAATTGTCTATTGTTTTTAATAGGCTAGAACCATAACTTTAAAATTGAAGAACGTGAACTTTGAAGTGAAAACAAGAGCTAATTCAGTACTTTCTGCAGTTTCTACTGAAGATGAAATATTTGCTATAGTTAAAGATTTGCTTAAATCAGAAATGGAGATTGTGGCCCCAGAACCTTTACGTTTAAGATTAATGGGTAAATATCATTTCATATAATTATGCTGAGTATTGGCTTGTATAATTATGTCAGATATTGCTAATTATTTGAGTGAAATGAAAGTTTTGATCAATATGCAATTGCTGTTAAACTTTGTTCTTATACACTACTATTATACTTTTACAATTAAATGGTTATTGAAAGTTCCTCAAATCAACATTTCTTCACTGTTCATTGTTAGAATATATATTTAAAATATGATTCCTTTACTGTCCCCTTCAAAAAACAGTTGTATTCTTAACACTTTCCCATTATCAAAAGAACATTTGGTGCTTCACGTACAGTATGCCTCATTACTTAATTTTTATCCAAATTTAAGCATGTGAAACTGAATGGATAAAACTGTCTTTCTCTTTGTCTCTATTCCCACCATGATTCTTCTAGGGGTAGGTTGTTCCAATGGGGAATCATTCCTATATATGTCTATGTGAAGCAGACTGCAATTCAGCATTTGTTGTTTTGATTTTATTTTTAAACACTTACCTTTTTGTGGCTTGTCTGTCATATTCAGGTGTAAGAGCATCAGGCTTTTTAACTGAAGAAGAAAAAAAATACCATCAGAAGAGCATTGTTAATTTCTTAGGACCAGGAAAACAAGCCTGTGCTTTTAAGAAAGCTGTCAACATTTCCCCAAAAGTATCTGAAGGAGAAAGCTTTTTCAATAAAAAGAGAGCTACAAGAGAGCAAACCAATCAAGGGATATTTTTAAATGAATCTTCAAACAAGAAGAGTCTACAAGATACAATGTCAACAATAGCTTCAGGAGAACAAAGAAAGGATGATGAACACCAGATCTTTATTTGCCCTATTTGCTTTGAGGAGCAGCAAGATAGCACTTTAGAAACATTTAATAGACATATTGATATGTGCCTTACTGGAACAAAAGAAAAAGAAAATGCAGAAATTACTGATAATAGCAAATCATTGAAAAATGATCCTCCTGTGGATATAGAAAAAAAAGAAGAGATGAAAGTTAAAATAAGTAAACCACCAGTGAATGAGAAATCAACAAATATAGTTGATTGTGGTTCTGAAAGTAGCAAAGATGTTTTACCTAAATGCCTAGTTCATAAACAGAATGAGAATGGATGTGGTCCTTCAAATGCTTCGGTATCTGAAATGCATGCTAAGGATGATTTGTCTTCCGGAGCCTTGTTAATAGATAAAGAAGAGTCAGGAAGTAATTTGCAAAGTTTTTCTGGCATTACTGAAAATGTTTTTGTTTGTCCAGTTTGCAACATAGAACAAAAAACAAAGGATCTTGCCTTGTTTAATAGGCACGTGGATGTTTGTTTAAACAAAGGCATTATCGAGCAGTTGACAGAAAAATCAGGTAATGATGAGCCTTTTACTAATCATTTCAATAAAAAATGTTAAACTCATCTTTTTGGAATGTTAAACGAAGTGCAGAACGCAAATTTATATGAGGTTTCTATAAAGGAGTTGACTGTTTCTACATTTTGTGTAGAAAGAAGCTGATGTTTCTGTAGAAAAATAAATGGTATTTTGTAAATTGTAACAATTTAGTTTTTAAATGCAAGAAACATAAACATTGCTGGGCTCTTGCCATACACAGATTACGCAGGAGCTATGCAACAGTCTGTCCTATAACTCATTTATCACTTGTCATTGGAAATATAGACTATCTGCATTTGTTAAAAGGGCAAATATTTATTTTTCCTTCCCAAGCGAAAATGATATAAATAGGGGGAAAGAACAAAATAGCTATAGAAAAGTCATGGTTTATATAAGAGTTTATGAACAGTTTATAAACAATTTCTGTGGAGGAGGAGGAGGAGAAAACAATAGTAGATGTTTTTGTTAATTCCCATTTGTTAATCATAATTCTACTGGAATACATTTTTGCTTTCAGTTTAAAAATGTTAAGTAATTTTTTTTCCAGAAATCTTAGATAGAGGACAATATAATACAAACTTTTCAGCAGGAACAAAAAGGTAAGCTCTGAGTGAGTGTTAATAGAATATTTGAATATTTAGAATATATTAATGTCAAAACATTTTGTTGTTGTGGCTGTTTAATTAGAAATATGTGTTTTTTTCTTTTCAGATCTGGAACAATAATTCCCCAATCAACATCCAAAAAAGTCAAGTCAGGCAATACTAGGTGTACTATAGAATCATTTTTCAAATGAACACAATGAATTAATTTAATTATTGTTATGGTACAGAGGCTTAGAATGAAATATGTCACTTGGGCCTTATGTATTGTGTATAAATTATGTAACTTTAAAGAATTATATAAAATATAATTCTATAAAGTTATAGATTATATTACGTATGTATATTGCATATATATGATTTTGCACCAGCTAACCCATCATTTTATTTCAGATGCACAACCTCATATTTTAAAGAATGCATGAAATGTATGGAAGTTGACTTTTAAAACTGATAAGCATATTGTTATTTATTAAGGAAAATCAAGTACTTATAAAAGCCAGTTCTTCTTTGAATAATATGATGGTAATGGCTGTTATCTTCACAACTCTTAGATAGGAAGGGAAAGGGGAAGAATTTGGATTTTATTTAAAAATTAAAACTTGTCCTTTATAGATCAGGCACTATTATAAAATTTTAAGACTTGATTTGCTTTCCTCTTTTCTGTATAAAAATATTAGGAAACATGGAATATTTAGTACCCAAAATTCAGACACAATTTTTGTACAAACATGTGGCACTTCTAGCCTTTGTTAATTGAAGCAGGAACTTTTTGACTGTCCATTGGTGGACAAAATTTTATGTACTACATATAATAGATGATATTAGTAAATCAGGCTAAATAAACTTACATATCCTGAATAGAGCTACTGGACTGGAACGCCCATCGTTACATGAGTCATCACATGACTGTTTCTGATTTTATGACTGTTGTCAGGGTTGTTATGTGAGTCTGGCTTCCCCCACTGATTTTGCTTGTCAGAAACTGGCTGGGAAGGTCACAAATGGTAATCACATGACCTTGGGATACTGCAACTATTGTTAAATACATGCCAGTTGCCAAGCTCTCAAATCATGATCATGTGACCATGGGGATGCTGCAATAGTCATAAATGTGAGGACCAGATGTTAGTCACTTTTGTCAGAACTTTGAATAGTTGCTAGACACATGGTCGTAAATTGAGGACTATAATGGTACCTCAGTACTTGACTGTTACAAAACTCATTTGGTACTCAAGGCATTTTTAAGTTAAAATGTCCCGGTACTCATCATTTGTTTAGTACTCAACGCACTGTGATAGAAAAACAGGGAGAGTCACAGAGGGCGGATAGGAAGTTAGCCATGCTAGGAAGGTTGCTGCAAAAGGAAGAGGGGGATGGCTGCAGAGAGCAGACAGGAAGTCGGTCATGCTGGGAAGATCACTGATATAGGAAAAGGGACAGACAGAAAGTCCTTCCCGCCTGAAACAAAGGGTCATGTGGTAAGTCATGGGGGTTGTTTGGCACTTATTATTTTTAGTACTCATCATACCTCCCAAAACAAATGAACAATGAGTACTTGTATTTACTTAGATTTTAAATTGTTTCCAAAAAATAAATTGCCGTTATATAATATAGATTTATATGAAGTTCAAATTGTAATTGAGCACAAGCTGAATATGCATCATCAGTGTGATGCAGTTGCTAAAAAGACAAATGTAATTTCATGTTGCATCCCTAAAAATCTAGTTTTCATTTCAGGAAAAAAATTGTTCCAATATATTCTGTGTTGGCCAGATTCCATCTTGAGTACCCCCTTTGTGTCCGGGTGTCAGACAAATTCATAGAACATGGAAGAAATATAGAGAAATGCAGTGAAGGTAATCAAGAAATCAGAAAATAAGCCTTAAGAGCTGAGATGGAAATTGAGAGAAGAAAATATATTAAATGTGGATGGGAGGGAGCAGATTCAGTTGCACTTTTGAAGTACTTGAAGGATGTTACATAGAAAATCAAGATATATGTATCAGAATGCAAGACATCGAATAAATGATCAAAAGTTATAGGAATTCAGATTCCTGTTAAGTAGTGAAATAATTTTCTACTACAGTATTAAGAGCAGTTCATTGCAGGAGTAAATTACCATAGGACCAATGAGTTTGAACTCTCTTTTAAACAGAAGCTAGGGGTCTATTTCTTTGAAATCCTGCACTGAGACGGACTCCATGGTCTAAATGAGCCTGGCAACTTTATGATTCTGTGGAGTTTGTGTGCTTTAAAATAATTTCATTTGTAATTTATTCAATGTAATTTATTTTGCGAAATAATTTTAATCTAAGATGCATTTTCCCAAAAATTGTGATACTGTTTTTTTAATTGTAAAACTCAAGATAAAGATGTAATGTAAAATAAATACACATTGATGAAACTGTAGTTTGCATTTTCTCTTATTAACCATAAATATACTTGTTTCAGTTTTTCCAATTCTGTATGGCTGGTTCATGCTTTAGTCAAAGACTAATTAATGCCTCACTGTTTTAGTCTTCAGCTGAGTTCCTAACCATCTTAAGCCAGTTGGCGCATTTGTAATTTTGTTAGGTTAAAAGGTTGGTTTATGAGTGCTGGCTAATCACAGAATGTCCATTTATTAGCAAATGAAACGGTGAGGCTATTCTATACCATCACTTCTAGAAACCATGATTGACTTTATACAGCAGTCTGCTCTGTTTATATTTTCAGGATAATAGGAGACACTTTCATACTGGGGTATTGTACAGGCACCTGGAAAATAAAACAGTTGCAAAATGGAAAAGCTGCAACCATTTCTGAACAGATAGGCAGCAACATCCTGGGGTGCTGATGCTAACACCCTATGAACAACAGCCTTGGCTTTGTCCCAGAGATGCTTTTTCAAGAGGCACCTTTCATGCCTTCAGCTTTGAAGAAGCTTCTTGGATGAGAACCAAAAGAAGCTTCTTGGATGAGAAGCGAAACGTCTTCAAAGAAAAACAAGGAAGTCCAGTTGCCTCTTGAAAAAAAAACACCTTTGGGACAATCATGATCTGGATGACTGAGAATCTCCATAGACATTGCCTTGGCTTTGGTTTACTTCAGAGCGGAATATTGTGCCAGCATGTGGCTTAATGGAGACTACACCCAAATGGTTAATGTCCAACTCCATCAGACAATACATATCATCTCTGGCACATTGCATTCTGTTCCTATGCACTGATTACCATACTTAGTAATATCATACCACCCACATTAGAAGACAACAAGCTCTCATTTGGCTATGGTTAAGGATGCTGATCAACAAGGCCTTCCCTATTCATCAGAACAATGCACAGTCCATCACAAGATTGAAATCCCATAGGCCAGCATGGAAAACAGCTATTCACTGAATATCTACCCAGTTTAACCTGCGAATGCCTGGAGAGAGGAATGGGCCAAGGTACCTTCTTAGGGCTTAACCATTAGCGATAACTCTACCAAGCCATTTGGTTTTGACCTATCTTGCTCAGTCTAGACAAAATTGAACAAAATTAATTGTGATACTGGAAGAACTGCCTCTGCCCTGTATCAGTGGGAATGGAAAGATTCCCCTTGTTGCAATTGTGGTGCTGATATGCAAACTATTAACCATATTGTGCAACATTGCCCACGACTTGCATTTTCTGGTTCCCTGGAAGATCAGCAAGAAGCAGCCTGCATAGCTGAATTGGACATCCAGTTGTGAGGCCACTGCCATACCCCCATAGAGGTTTTGAATATAATTACATGGATTGTATGTATGTGTTTACTTCCCTTCCATCATGTTATCATACACTAAATAATAATAATTATACAGGCAGCCACTTTCATCTACATGGGGCTGAGAAACAACTTGAATATGAAGAAAATGCCTGAGGCTGGAATTTTGTTGTGAATAATTATAAATTCTGATTTTTTAAAATTTATAAATAAATAATCTAAATTGACTAAGTAGACTAGGAAGCACACTAGATAATGAAATGGGACACTACTCCTGTCCTTGCATTAGTGCTCTATCTATGTTGAGGACCAAAGACTGATTGAAAGAGAGATAGATTGATAGATTGGCTAAGGGATTACAAAATTGTAAAAGGAGGTTTTTTTATTCTTTTTTAAAGTTCTTGATCAGTCAACTAGCCCGATGTCTTAAAAACAGAAATAAAACTAGCAAATTAGACACACTAAACTTCAAGCACTCACTGTTAGCTACAGGCACCAGAAATTGCATGCAGAGGAATTAACAAGTGGCATAAATTTAAGATTAAAATTCAAGGCGCTGATCAAATGATTAACAAAATATGCAGCATCTGAGCAATGCACAGAGATAATCTACAGAACCTTTCATTCTTATAATTAAAATAACTGAAAAATGGGCACACACCATTCTTTCTACTATCCAGTTTTAAATACATTATGTTTTTCTGCTTTTGCCCAATTGAAAACAGATGAATTGTAATTCTGTATGGCCTGCATATCTCAAATATATATGTGTTTATTGGAAACTTGTAGCTGTTTTATAAAACTGTAGCGCTATAAAAATGGTATTAAAAGTTATGGTTAGTATTTAAAATGATTTAACAAAGAATTGGGAACAATTAGTCTGAATGAATTCCCTGAAATACTATTTCCTGTTTGCTTTTTCAGAATGGCCCTTTTAAAAACAAGCCTACTGTATTTGATTTATTGGATTCTAAATGTGTTTACTTTAGCATGATTTAGATAAGTGAAATTGTTAGCAGAAAGCATACAGGTTGCTGCTCAATTGCTTCCCCCTAGATGTTTTCATCTAGTTCAATCTTCCCATATTTTTCATATATATAAAATAAAGTAGAATACAATGATATGAATGTTTATATAATATATATTTTTGTTGTAAGATATTTGTAAGCATAAGTAATGGATTAAAACTATCTAATAGTTTTAATGCAACTGTTTCTTGGATAACTATTTTTATGTACAAATATGAATCATTCACAAATGTATTTACTTTCATGCTGAGTCATTTTTGTCAACATTTATTTAGAGGGCGGAAAATTAGCAGTTTTATTCACTAAAACCGTGCATGGATCTTAATTTCAACCATGAAGTAGTCCAACCTTGGGTCAGGAGCAAGTGATGTACAGCCGTAGTAGTAGTAGTAGTAGTAGTAGTAGTAGTAGTAGTAGTAGTAGATGTCTTAAATATATTTTATTCCACTGTTTAAACCCCAGCCCCAATAAGACTCTGATAATCTTTTGCACTTACAGTCTAACCACTGTAATACAAAAGGAGAGGGACTGATAGGGAAGAAGAAATAAGTGAACACAGACAGTACGTACATACAGAAGACTTTTCAAAGTGCAAACACAAGGACTAAAAATGTCCAAAGTTGCTTTACAATCAGTCATCATAAAATCTGGAATCCAGAGACAGGGAAATCCATACACTTTAGTTGAAAAGTCAGTTGTGGTCATGAGGGTGTGATCCAAGTTCCATCCATCTTGGCCATCTTGACTTTTTTTTAAATATATCATTGGGACATCCCTCAGTATTGTTCTTTTTTTAGTCTGTTGATTCACAGTGTAAATATTTCAGTAGTGGCAATACTTTAAATTGTGACAGAGCTAATAAGAATTTGGAAAGGACTGGAAACACTCTCAGCATCATTTTCAACATCTGCTTACTAAAAAGTTTGGCATTGTGTGGATTTTTTGCAATTCATTGTTAACTAGTTGATGCTGACCAAGCAGAATAATACAAATGACATTTTATTTATTTATTTTATTTATTCATTTATTTATTTGTTAACAAGTACAAGGAAACAAGTAACAGTATAAACATAGACATGGACACATGAAAAAAATTGGCACAAATAAAAGGATATAAATAGGCAAAACATAGCTATAAACACATAGAATGATTACATATAAATGGGGACAGTAGGACAGGGACAGCAGGCACATTGGTGCGCTTATGTACATCCCCTTAGGGACTTCTTAAGAAACATGAAAGGTTCATGGTAGACAGTTTAAAGTAAAGGTATGGGGATTAGCGAGATTTAACAACAGGATCAGGCAGAGTGTTCCAGACATTTACTACTCTATTGCAGAAGTCATATTTCCTACAATCAAGATTAGAGCGAATTACATTGAGTTTGAATCTATTGATAGCCCTTGTGTTATTACGGTTGAAATTAAAGTACTCATTTACAGGTAGGACTTTTTGGTAAATAATCTAAGCATAGGTCGGAATGTAGACGGCGTAGTTTGAGGCTATCCAGACCTAAAATTTAAAGCCTAAACTTTTTTAGGAAGAATGTGTGTATAGGGAAATGTTGCCCATGTAAACTAAATAAATATCTTAATTCCATTAACTGGACAGTTTCTACTGTTTTTTTGTGAGCCAAAATGTCATGAAGTTGTAGATTTGGGCAAGCCCTCTCATTAAGATCTGAACAATGAGTGAAAGCAGGGATATAAAATAAAACTGAATAAAATAAAATTCAAAATCCAAGACTGGGATATATTTATTGGGATCCACAGACACCACAGAAGTATGAGGAATTGTTATAAAGTTTAATGTGAAAAGCAGACTAATCCAGAAAGTGTTTCATTAATCCATAAACGTTTCCTTCTCAAACCCATCTCTCTTGCTCTCTAACGAAGGAAATTTAACACGCCAGGTTGTGTCCGGCTGGTGCTTGGCGGGAGTTGTCCCTAGAAAGTGGCACCCGCCCTGGTCGGGGTGGCTTCCTCCGCCGGCCGTTTTCCAGGACGCTGCTTCGGCAGGCACCGCAATGGAGGAAATCCGGAGCCGCACCGTGAAAGGCCTCGCTGATCTGAGGGGCTTTTTCAACCTGACTCCGAAGGAAGGCGACAGCGCGAAGGCGGCAGCCGCAGCAGAAGCGGCCAACGCGGAGACTTGTGAGTGTCGGAGAGAAGGAGGCGGAGGGCGGGTCTCCTCCAAGCCTTGGTTTGGGCAAAACCGCCGGATTGTGGGGCTCTTCCGGCACGCAGCTCTCTTCTTCGAAGGGTGGAGCGCAGCCCCGTCGCCCCTTGGGGTTCGCGAGGCGTTCAGCTACTTCGGTTGGATGTTTTTGTCCGGCCTCTTTTCTGCAAAGGTTCCGCTGATCCCGAAGAGTTAAAAAGCAGGCAAAAGAGCACAGCCGCCCCGGAGGAAATCCTCCAGACAGGGAGACTGATCGAACAGCGGTTCGTTTCCTATAGGAAATTTCCAATTGAAACCCTCTTGACATTTGAAATCCTATCCAGCCCAGATCTGAATTTGAAATCCTCAGGGCTTTCTGAAAACTTTAAATAATCTTTCTTCGGGTGTTCAAATAATCCTTTGAAAACGCTTGGAGGTAGGATAAGCTTCCAGTTTCCTGGAAGGGGATAACTGATATATAGTTCATTCTAATTTTAATCATGTGGCATTTGAAGCGTTGAGAGGAGAGAGTTGCCCAAGATTAAGCAAATTTCATGTTATGTGGCAAGCATTTTTTTTAAAAAATTCATTTGAATTCAGAGAAAATTTAAAAATACAGTTATTTATTTTAAAATTGGAGAGCCAATTTGATGTAATGGTGAAGAGATCAGGCTAGAAAAAGGGAGACTGAGTTCTAGTTTTGCCTTAGGTGCAAAGCTAGTCAGTGACCTTGGGCCAGTCATTCTCTCTCAGCTCTAGAAAGGAGGTAATGGAAAACTACTTCTGAACTCTAGTGAAGAAAACTGCAAGGGCTAGTCCAGCCAATTGCCCAGAGTCAACATTGACTTAAAGAAGTAACAAAAACCTTCAACACCTTCAATACCCAAAGAGACATACTCAAACAAAAAAACTTAAAGTTAATCGGGCCAAAGTACTAGATTTCATTATAGAAATTGGAAACAGCTATTTCATAAGGCTTGTGAACATCATGCAGTGTCATTTTGACTGGTAGCATTATTTGCTGTATTGCAGCTTTTTTCATGGTAGCCACAGCCAAGGAGGTGGACTTGCTCATTCACAAAATTATTTTTATAAATATCAATACAAGTAAGATATCTCCTCTGTCCTTTATTGTAATTTCTTAATTAATGAATTCATTAAACTATCCCAATGTTGCTCTTCTACCAACAATTCAGAGTGACATATATAGAAAAAATAATATTTTTCTTCTTGATCAGTTCAAGGCAATATACATACATGGTGTTCCTGCCTTCTGTCATCCATAACAACCGCCCTGTGAGGTGGGTTGGACTGAGGGAGAGTAACTTGGATGACTTTGGGCCATGTTATGAATGACAGGAGGCAGGAGCATATCTCAACCAGCCTTCATATCTAAAAGAGACCTAAAACTCACTAGTCCAGTATGTTAGCCCCTGTGAGTTTTCTGTAAGAGCAAGCTGTGCTTCACAAAGAGAATATAGAGGGCATAGGGCAGTGATGGTTAACCTTTTTGCCGTTGCGTGCCAAAGTGGGGGGGACCGCGGGAGGGTCGCGTGTGTGCATGCCCACACCCATAATTCAATGCGCCCTGCCCCCCGGTGCATGCATACATGATCCCCCGTGCTCCCCCCACTTTCGGTACGTGATAGCATGGTGGGCCCTGTAGGCCTGCTTTTTGCCCTCCCCAGGCTCCAGAGGCTTTCTAGGAGCCTGGAGAGGGTGAGCAGCCTTCCCCACACCCCCGGAGGCCCTCCAGAGGCCGGAAATGGCCTATTTCCTGACTTCTGGTGGGCCTGAAAGGCCCAAAAATCAGCTGGAGGGCGCATGCATGCGTGCTGGAGCTAAGCTAGGGCAACATTCGCATGCCAACAGATATGGCTCACCATCACAGGCATAGGGAATGGCTTTGAAAATGGTGGGACGAACTGCTTCCAAAGCAATGGTCAGATAAGAGAAGTGTGAGCCCTGTCCAAGAAAACAAGGTAAGTAAATATCCCAGACAAATACCATTCTTTTTCTTCCCACAAAGATAAAGTAAAGGAGGGAAAGCACATTCAGACTTGCAAGAGTCTGTTGCTATTGGCATTATAATAAAAGTAGTTGTGATCTATATGACTTTGGTTTCTTAGTTTACCTTGTAGGGCTGACATCAAGCCCTTGAAAAGATCTTGCTTCAAGGGTCCTGTAGAAGGCACTCTTATGGAGATGGGCCTTTCAGTAGATGGGTTATTCTCACAGATTTTACTAAATATACACATTTGTTTCAGAGTAAGTAATCCCGGAGATAATCAGGTTCTGGGTTTTGTAGGATTTTAAAAACTTTAAATTATTTTTAAATACTTGATTCTAATTATATAAAGGGATATATGGTCCTGTGGAAAACTGAGAAAATAAAAATTAAAAACTATACCCATATTGCTTAATAGAAGTGTGATATACTAGCTTTAGATTCTGGACTAGAATCAGAAGGGTAAAAGTTAAAATCTAACTCAGCTGTAATAGTTACCAGATATTTGTGGATATTGTAACCCAGACTTCCTCATGGGAATATTGTAACAGAAGATTCTCAACACTTTAGGGAAAAGTAAAGTAATTTGAATTAAGGCATTTAGGATTATTATCAGAATTTCCTCAGTATCACAGAAGTTGTGCTCTTTGTTTTGCAGTGCTTCCAGATGAAAAAGAATTTCAGCATGCTGCTAAAACTAATAATCTGGACACTATGGAAAGGTTATTTAGGAAAAAAGTTAATATTAATGCTGCAAATATTGTAAGTATAAAAGTATAGTGAATTTCTTTAACCAACAGATTCTATTTCTTCATTATTTAGGAAAAATAGTATTTATTCTTTAGTCTTTGGGACTTTTATTTGGCCTTCTCCCTGCACTAAAGATGTGCAATTCTGAGAATGGAGGCAAGCAGAAGGAAGCACAGTCTTGCTGTACTGGTCAATTGCTTCATTGAAACCTCAAAATTGGGCCCAACATTGGAAAAGAGACAACTGGGTGGACAATATGAGACTGGGGGACCAAATTTAGGGAATATGCAGCAATGGCAAAATGAACAGTATATATCCAGAACACAAGTTTGAAAAATTTAAGCAATAATGGCTCCTCTGTATATTATACGTTACATAAAAATATATGTTACACATACTTAGATATTTAAGACTCTGGTTTTTAAAGGAAAAGTAAGTGATGTAATGCAGGGGTGAAATGATACTGGTTCGGACCAGTTCGGGCGAACTGGTAGCGGACATTGGGGCTGGTTCGCCAAACCGGTAGCGACTGCTGACTGGCCACACCCCCAAACCGATCTGCAGCCCGCAATCCTGTCATGCTTCCCTGCCTTCCATGCAGCCTTCTTGGCATTCCCATGGCCAGCTTGTGAAGGTAGGCAAGCGGAAGGCCACGTGGAAGGCAGGCAAGCATGGCAGGGCTGCAGGGAAGGGAGCTAGCAACCTACTCCCTTCCCCGCAGGCCTGCCATGCTTGCCTGGATTCTTGGGCCGAGTTCCTGGAGTGGCGCCAGCGGTCAAAGAGAGCAGACAGGTGGCCAGGTGGGAATCCAGTGGGCTGCTTCGGAGGCACGGGTGGAAAGCACTGGCCTTTTCTGCAACATCCCCCTCTTTGGATCACCCTGCAAGGGGGGCTCTGCCTTTGCAGAAATGGGGTGGGATGTTTGTACAGAGGATTGGGGGGGGATGTGTGGCCCTCCAGGATGGAGAGCAGGGCAAGAAGGCTCTGAGGTTCGCTTGGGCAGTCAAGCCAGATGGCGGAGGGAAACTCAAAGCGTTGGGGGCTTCAGAATGGGAGAACGTGCTTCAGAATGTGCAGCTCCTGGCTCTAACAGTGAGTGACATATGTGATGTCAAGTTGGCCATGCCCACCCAGTCACATGACCACCAAGCCATGCCCACTAAGCCAAGCCCACAGAACTGGTAGCAACAATTTTTAGATTTCACCACTGATGTAAAAATAATAATTAGGAGCAGTTTGAATGTTTATAAAAGTTAAATGCAATCAATCACCTTTAGATGCAGTGGTAAAGGATATAGAACTTAATATTGTTTTGATGATTCTTGTTCATTTTATTAACTTGTTTTATTTATTCATTTTATCTTTCCCTTTTCTTTTCCTTTATATAGTTTGTTTCTGGAACATGACAAATAATGGCAATATCACCATTAATATTAATGTTTAAAGTTTTATAGAAATTTTTCTTAAGATAATATAATAAACCTACTTCTATACATTTAATTAATTAATGAAACAATGAATTTTGAATTTTATATAAAGGTAAATCATTTGTTTTACTGAAATTTTACTATGTCTTTTTCTATCTTCTATCTACATTTTAAAAATAAAACAGAAGCTTCACATTTTTCTGGGCTTATACTGTAGGTGTGGAGGCTTACAAAATGATAGGAAGGTGATGACCCATTAAACAGGATTACATATTAGCCATAGTTTAATTAACTCAATTTAAACGCTTCCTATGTCTAATTTTGCTCCTGATTTTCTGTGTTTATTCCCAATGATTTATTTCATGTTTTAGTTGAAGCGCACAGCCCTCCATTTTGCTGTTGCAGGAAATCATATATCTGCAGTTGACTTTCTTCTCCATCACAAAGCTAGAGTTGATATTGCAGATAAGGTATATGCAACTGATTTCTTACTGCTATGTTTATAATAGTTGAAATAGACTTAGAGGCTTTTTTATTAAAAAGAAGGAATCCACTAGTATCATTTTAGACTAACATATTTTCTTTCAAGGAATTTTAATAATATGTTTAGTCCAGCAGCTCCCAACCCTTTGGGTGCCAAGGACCAGTTCTGTGAAGAGAGGTTTTTCTGTGGGCAGGGGGTTTCACTTGTTTGTGTGGACCAGGTTCTGGCATGCTGTGGACCAGTGGCATGCCACAGACTGGGAGTAGGGGACCTCTTTGTTAGTTTAAAAAGAGGCTACCAGAGTCATTCTGATCTTTGGCTAGCATAGACTAAACATCTCTCCTCCTATAATACTTTTAATGAAAACATTAATTCTAATATCTCTGATTAATCACACCCAGGCTATTGGAAAAATTGAATTAATAATATGTCATTATTCTGTCAATAATATGTCATAGGTTTTCCTGCTAACTAGATAAGAAATAAAGTGATAAAGCCATTCTAAAGGTGGCTAAAGGCAAAATTGAAGTGATGTAAGATTTAATGGAGACACTGAAGATTTAGACAAGGGGATAGAAGGGAACTTATCAAATTTGCATACAACACCAAGCTGGCAGGAATAGCCAATACTCAAGATACAGAAGGATCTTGAGAGATTTGAACACTGGGCCCTATCTAACAAATAAAATTCAGTGATGAGAAATGTAAAGTTCTACATTTTGGCAAAAAACCCCAAATGCATAGATATAGAATAGGTGGTACCTGGCTCAATAGTAGGAACTGTGAGAGGGATCTTGCAGTTCTAGTGAACAATCACTTAAATATGAGCCAGCAGCGTGTTGCAGCTGCCAAAAAATCCAATGCAGTCATAGGCTGCATTAACAGAGGTATAGAATCAAGATCACACAAAGTGTTAATACCACTTTATAAAGCCTTGGTAAGACCACACATGGCATATTGCACCCAGTTTTAATCACCATGGTGTAAAAAAGATGTTGAGACTCTAGAAAGAGTGCAGAGAAGAGCAACAAAGATGATTAGGACGCTGGAGGCTAAGACAATTGCAGGAATTGGGTATGTCTAGTTTAATGAAAAGGACTAGGGATGATATGATAGCAGTGTTCTAGTATCTAAGAGGCTGCCACAAAGATGAGGGGGTCAACCTATTTTCCAATAAAACAAAGTTTTAGAAGACTAGTTTTGAATTTCATTGTGTCTTCGAAGTTTATATTTACTTATTTTACTTACTTTTGAAGCATGGCCTTACTGCAATTCATCTTGCTGCATGGTCCGGTAATTTGGAAATAATGCTGATGTTAATTAAAGCAGGAGCTGATCAAAAAGCAAAGAACCAGGTATGCTATCCCAAGATATAAACCAGCAACAACCATATATACAACAGAAGGATTTCTAATTCAGTTCTTTCTTTTTCTTAGGAAGGCATGAATGTCCTACATTTTGCTGCTAAGAACAATAGTGTCAGAATAGTGAATTATTTTATCCGAGATCTTCACCTAATGGAACTCAATAAACCTGATGAGGTATTATAAGTGCAAAGAATACTATAAGCAATTAGAAATGGATATTAGCAATGTTTCTCTGAATACTTTTATTTAAAATACTGTGCATGTTTATAAATATGGTTACCATTAATTTTTTTATCTGTATTTCATGAATATTGATAGAACAGACCTTTGTTTTATTCAGTGTTACTTACAGAGTGAGTCAAACCTGGCAAAGATGCTGGTGGGTGCAGCATCATTATGCAAGTCTCATGGTGTGTTAATATTACATGTACATTTATAACGCACACAATTGCATCACAATGCTATGGCCATCTTTTTTGCCATCTTAGATGCACACACACACACACACACAAGCCTATAGATATTGCTGGGATTGTGTATTTCTGGCTCCTCTTGATTAACCATACATTATGAATTACATTAACTGATCTGACATATATTCATAACGCCTATTTTCTGCAGTAATTCTGAGCATGCATCAAGATACCTGTCTGTTACTGGGCTAAATGCTGCATTTGGCCTGTAAATTTGGGGGCTACACTTCAAAAGTCTTCGCTCAAAAATATAAACTTTAAAATATAAATTTTAATTTAATTTTAATTTAATAAAAAAATAACATTCATTTAAAGGTAAAGGTTTCCCTCACACATATGTGTTAGTTGTTCCCGACTCTAGGGGGCGGTGCTCATCTCTGTTTCAAAGCCGAAGAGCCAGGGCTGTCCGAATACGTCTCCGTGGTCATGTGGCCGGCATGACTCAACGCCAAAAGGCGCACGGAACGCTGTTAACTTCCCACCAAAGGTGGTTCCTATTTTTCTACTTGCATTTTTTACGTGCTTTCGAACGTAAGCAACCTTTCAACCTTTCTGCTAGGTTGGCAGAAGCTGGGACAAGTAACGGGAGTTTACCCCATTACATGGCACTAGGGATTCAAACCGCTGAACTGCCAACCATTCAATTCACAAGCTCAGTGTCTTAGCCATTGAGCCACCACATCATATTAACATTCAGTTACTCCAATATAATTGATATGGTTGACTTCCATTTACTTTATGACTTTCTTCTTTTGTTTCTTTAAAGATTGCAAGCTGATAGCTACTTTTTGATGGGCTCTTACAAGCTTATAGGGGCTATGTGTGACCCTGAGGAATCTACTCTAAAAGATTATATATATACTGTGGGTCACATCACATATATAGTAATACAAGAAAATTAAAATTCTGATTTGAGCAGCATTCAGAAAATTCTCCATTAAAAAAAAAATACAGACCCAGTCTTCCTTTAGCACTTTAAAGAAGTTAGATCGGGAGTCCCCAACCGCTGGGCCACGGTCCACTACTGAGCTATGAGCTGTTCTGAACTGGACCATGGAAGTGTGCTCCATTTGCACAAGCAGTGGACATGTGGAGCTGTGTGCTGACATGCACTTGCTGGCTGCTCGTGTGGAACCATCCCCTCCCGCCCCCGCCAGTTTCCAAAACTGGAAAAGTTGGGGAAGTCTGAGTTAGATGATGGGACTGGAAGGCCATTGCTACATCCTGAGTCAGATTTGTTTAAGTAAAATACCCTTCTGGTGTGTCTTTTGTTCATATGGCACTTGTAGCGCTACCAGAAGACACTCAGGCAGAGTTTGAGCATCTTCTTGCTCAGCATTCTTGTAGATCACCTGTAGATAATTTTGTAGTTTGGCTGGGGACCACATGCAATCCAAAGGGACACATTACCTCCAACTGGGCGAAAACTTTGGGTAATTAATCTTTGAAGAATACCAATTTTCTTTCCTAGTGTCTTTTAACTTCACTTTTCTCACAGAAAGGGAGAAAGCCATTCTTCCTCGCAGCTGAAATGGGCCATGAAGAAATGATAAGTGAGTTGATTACCCTTAATTTATTCACCTCAGAAAAGGATAAGGTAAGCCTATTTATAAAGACGGTTCTTTGATTTTGTATGTCATATACTAAATTGTGAGAGAGGGTTCTTTTGGGAAATGGTGCAGACCACGAATAGACTACTGCTATTGTCCTTACATTTCTAGAGAGGTTTATTATATATTTTTAAAAACACTTATTTCTGAAATTTATCATTCATCACTAAACCTATAATATATGCTATGCCACACCTATTCCAAAGTCCATCTCATTTAAAGAGACTTACAAACATTTTTTTTTCTCTTTTGCTGAACTATGTTGAGCTAGACAGTTATCGTGTCTTTAGACCAGGGGTGAAATGCTCCCGGATCAGACCGGATCGCCTGATCTGGTAGTGATCTTGGCCGTGGTTCGGCGATATGGTAGCGATGGTGGAGCAAAGCTCCGCCCCTCCCCCAAGTGTCATTACTTCCTGGTTTTAACCAGGAAGTAATGTGTTTTTTACCTTCTGTGCATGCACAGGTTTTGTGCATGCACAGGTCTGCGCGTGCACGTGACATGCGAAATTTTGAGTAGTTTGGAGAACTGGCAAATGCCACCTTCAGCTGGCCCCAGAGTGGGGTGGGAATGGAGATTTTGCAGTATCCTTCCCCTGCCATGGCCCACCAAGCCATGTCCATCAAGCCACACCACACCCACCAAGCCACGCCCATAGAACAGGTAGTAAAAAAATTTGGATTTCACCACTGATGTACAGTATCCATCTAGAAGTTAGTTGGCTTCTGTTGCTATCAGCTGCTTTTATGAACTGCTGAAGTGGCTTTCGCACTGTGTTGGTGCGGGCGGGAACAGCTGCTATATGCTTGTAGGCTGTCAGTATCTTGGGCGGAGTGAACTAACTTCTGGCCTTTGCTTCCTCTTTCAGTTCCTGTGCTGTTGGCTTGCTGGAATCCATACCTGCTCCTTTTTCACACTTCCTTACTAAGCTACATTTTATCACAATATTCTCAACTGCAAATTCTCCCTCTGCTCTGTCACATGACGAGAATCTTTCTCCAACACACACACTGGGCCCTGAGTCCAATTCTTGTTTTAGTGCATATTAAGCATCTTGTTATCTTCCACTTAAGCACTTCCAGAGAAAGGGAATCCACCACTTCTTCAGTTATCATTTCACTGTCCTTACTTTTAAGATTGGTTTAACATTCACTTGAGATGTAGAAAAAAAATCTAAAATCAGCAGGTAGATTTTTTTTCAGGTGAAGTCACATTTTCTATTTATTGATGTCTAGTGAGTACCAAAGGACACTGATGCTAGAACAGGGGTCCCCCAACCCCTGGTCCATGGCCCACTACTGGTCTGTGAGCCATTTGGAATCGGGCCACAGAAGCTACATTGCTTTTTCACTGTCTTACATTTGTATTATGTCTATCAGAAGTCTGATTGCATTTTCTGTGAAAAAATCAGTAGAAAGTCATATTGGTGTTATATGGCAGTTTGCACTGAATGGGTGTGTCAATCCTGAGTGGCTCTGAGTGAGGGGGGGGGGCTTTGTGGACCACAAGGCTATTTACTCTCTGCTACTTTTACTCCCTCTCCCAGAATTTAATTAGCCAAATAATGAAATGATAATTTGTAAACATATTGAACAGGGTCTTAATAATATATATTTTAAAAGCATATGTTATTTGAAATGGCAGATTGCATTCTTATCAAAATACTAATGTACCAAACACCTGTATACATTCTTTTATTAAAGATAAATCTAGCATTCTGTTTATTATTCTTGGTTCAAGAATATTTGTTTTTAGTGACAATTCAAGCCTACATTCTTAGTTGTCTCTGTACATTTTTGTAGGAAGGAAACACTGCCTTGCATCTAGCAGCTAAAAATGGCCACAGTGATGTGGTAGAGATTCTTCTTCAGCAGTGGGAAGATATAAACGAATTCAATCAGGTAAAAAAACAAGAAATAGGCTGAAAGATGCATAAAGCAAAAATAAAAAATAAAAGGGGCATCTTTATTTTTGTAAATAAAAATGCAAGATGGCAACTCATGCTCAAAACTTAAGCAGGCTTTTACTATGTTACCTGGATGGGAAGAATGTAGAGGGGAGGTATGGTACTGTGACAGAGAAGGCCTGCTTCCTGGGTCCTAGAAGATGCCACAATCAATTGGACTCACAGCATGCCCATTCTGCCAAATTATACCAGACAGCCAGAAACAATTGAAGACAGATGGTCCCTCAAAAAATTAGGCCTTTCTGAACTCCACAATGTAAAACATTAAATTGAAAATGAATACAGCAATAGAGAGAGATGAAGGAATTGAAATGGAAGAGGAAAGAGAGAGAGGGATGGAAGAGTAGGGAGGAAGGAAGGGAAGGGAAAGCAGAGTAGGAGAGAAGGTAAGACGGGGAAAGAGGAGGAGAAGGGAAGGGGAAGTAGAGAAGAGAAGAAGGAGGTGGGGAAAGAAAGTTGGAAGGAGAAGAGGGAGAGGTTTGAGGAGAAAGATTGCTGTACAATAAAAAAAGATGAAGTGGAAGAAAGGCAGCTCTGAATAAACAAATATAAATATATTAAGAAAAAGAATGAATTGTTTAAGAATAAAAGAGGACAAATATGTATGAATAGTAAAGTTAGAATTTAGGGATAAATGAAGGTGTTTATGTATGCAAGTATAGAAATACTGAGGTATATTCAAAAAAAAAAAGAAAGGGGGGAAGACGATATTGACAAAAATTGTAATTGAGTAAAATGTATTTGAATTTGACTAATTGTATAAGAAACGACCAACATTCTGTTCAAAAAAAAAAAGAAAGAGGTGGGAGAGGAGAAAAGAAAAACCCCCAATAAAACTAGTTTTTTTTTTTAAAAAAAATTAGGCCTTTGTACCATGAATGGCTCTAAAGTAATACCTGGCGCCTTGAATTGTAATAAACCAATTGATAATCCATGCTGACTGCAGAGCAATGGGGTCACACAGGCATAACAAAGCATGCCCAACACCACCAACAGCACTGCATTTTGGACCAACCGTTTCTCTGGAGTAGTCTTCAAGGATAGCCCTATATGGAGTTCATTACTGTAATCCGTGTAATTATATCTGCTGTGGATGGTTTTGTTTATAGATGTTTTATTATTGACTGTTTGGTAAATTGTCATGAGTCTATATTGATTTGGTGATATACAAGTAAAATCAATCGTTGTGTATGATCGGTACTAGGGTTACCATTATTTATGAGATTTTTATCAATTATTAAACATGAACTCCCTATGAAAAAAAATAACTGCTGAAATGAAATGAAAAATACATATTTTGCAATCCCATATCAAAAGTTTCAATACAAAAATTACCTTTAATAATTCCTCCATTTTATAGAAATGATCTGAAAAAATGTTCTTACCTCCTATGAGCCAATATTGGGTATATAAGCAGTTGTATCTGACATTAATGGCATATTTCCTTTTTGTATTGTTCTTCAGAATGGCGAAACACCATTTTATATGGCTGTTGAAGGAGGCCACGAAAAATGTGCTGACCTCTTACTGGAAGCTGGAAGTGACATCAATATTTTGAACAAAGTATGTAGATACACATGGTGTTCTTTATTAATTTACTGAGATAATATTTCTTTGAATTTTCCTTCTTGTGAATTAAAAACCAGATAAATTGCTTTTGTGAAATTTGTATTAAAGTATAGTAGGGCTGCCAGATCTGGGCTGCAAAATCCAGATGATCACTAAATTTCAAGTTCTCTATATCATTTGATGGTATTCACCTGGATTTTTATAGTCCCAGTTAACTCATTTTCATCTCACTTTTGTGTCTTCTTTATTACTTATTTTTCTAATAAAAAGGATCTTGATGCGACATTAATATACAGGTTCAAGGAAATTGAAGGAAACAGTAATAAAATTATTGTTAATAGTATGCCTTAAGCATACCACTAATTCAAATTAACGATATGGAACAGCTATTAGGGAAATTGCAATAATGATTTTTTTAAAACTTCATTTTCTGCTTTCCATGTCATCCAGCAATAATCCAGTGCATATTTTCTGAGAAGTAATTTTGTTTACTATGAAGCAAATATACAAATGTAACTTTAGCCTGATACATTTAGCTAAGGTGACATGATTTTGATTTGGTAAACTATAATTTTTCTCCATTCTTAACCATTTTTCTCATTTCACACACCCACGTTCACAGAAAATATTGCGTCTTAAACAGTAGTGGGTTTCACTTACCTTCGCTACTGGTTTGGAACTGTGAGTGTGTGCATGTGTGTGCTTGCTTTGCTTGCATGTGACACTGCGCATGCAGAAGAGCGTCCATGATGATGTTCAGGTGAGTGGGTGGAGCCTCCCACCACCGCCACTACTGGTTCGCCGGAACTGGAGCAAACCGATAGAAACCCACCACTGATCTTAAATCATATTTCTTTTATTTGAGTAGCATTAGAAACAATGGCATAAGGCACCAGAGTTTCTCCATCAGAACTAAATACATAAGGAGATGAGGTAGAAGGGAATATAATGTATTTGACGTAGACTTTGATAAAACATGAAATAACTGTGGCAAAAGATAAGGAATTATTCTCCAAATGTGTTTTTGGAGATTGGCCTAATTAATTTTTCTGAAACAATTTTTGTTATTAGCATAATTGTACATATCTTCGAAAAACACAGCTTTGAATTACATTGTACTATTAACATTCAAAATTATTTCCCCTTCTTTTAAACATATTTCTTTCAGCACAATGCCAGTGCATTGCATGTTGCAACCCAAAATGGACACACACCTTTGGTCAAATTTCTTATCAGTCATAATATTGATCTGGATGCTCAGTCTCAGGTGATTTTTTTGTTATTGTTGTTTTCTCATATGTTATATCCCTAAGATGTCTTGACATTCTCTGAAAGCGGTGATAGCTACAGCTATGCATAATTCAAGACATAAAAGGGGAAGAACCACAGTCTGCCTAAATCAATTAAGCATTCTATTTTCAGTTTTGCTGAGTGAATATTAAAATATGCCTAACTCTGAAATAAATATAAGTAAAATAAATATAAGTAAAAATGTTCAGCTGGAGGAATTGTCCCTTAACATTTTTAGATATACAATATATCTACCACATACATTTGCTACGGTTGCAAGAGATTCCTTTGCAAATAAATTTGGGTGATGTCTTTGAAGTTGCTTTAGCAGTGCAACAAACATTAGAATCCAAGTGTTCATCCTCCTCATTCGAAAATCCATCACATAATTTAACTATAAAAAGGTACATAATGAAAGTTTTGTGCAAAAGCAGTAGCTGTGATTTGAAAAAAGTTGAATGAAATTACAGTTTTAAAAAACCTGGATTTGAAAAATTGGCAGGGCAAAATTCAGCAGAATTGCTTAATAAGAAGAAGTAAAAATTGTAAACAGTATGACAAACAGTCAATGTGTTTGTGTGACGAGATACAGCATATGCAAATAATTAAGATTATAATTATAATTTAACAAAATTGCAAAAAAAAATGATTGGTAATACTAGTCTTCTAACAAGAACATTAAAGAGAAGAAGACTGTTATCAATCTATATATTGCTCTTTATAATTAAATAATCTTAATTTATTTAGGACTGTAGCCAAACAGTCTGTATCAGAGCTGTCTACAAAGAGGGATCAAAGAAGTCAAGATAATGGCCAGTTATGATGGTCAGTTGCATAGTTGTGATCGCCATCTTGACTTCCTCTTGGAGGATAGCCTTGGTCCAGAGGTGAAATGCTCCCAGTTCTGACCGGATCACCCGATCAGGTAGCGATGGAGGCGGGTGGTTCGGAGAACTGGTAGTAAAAATCCCTGCCTCCCCCCATGCCCAGCTGAGCCGCGCGATCATCAGAGGCTTTTTTTCTTTTAAATGGCTCTGACGATCCCAGCTGAGTTGCCTGATTGTCAGAGGATTTTTTAAAAAACCCTCTGCTGATCAAGGCAACTCAGCTGAGATCGTCAGAGCCATTTAAAAGAAAAAAAGTTTTTTTTCTTTTAAATGCCTCTGACGATCCAAGCTCTGATGATCCCAGCTGAGTTGCCTGATCGGCAGAGGGTTTTTAAAAAATCCTCTGACGATCAGGCAACTCAGCTGGGATCGTCAGAGCCTTTTGAAAGCATTTTTTTTACAACCTCTTCGCCAAAGAGGTTGTAGAAAAAATGGTTTTAAAAGAAAAAAAAAATATTGGCCACGCCCACCCAGTCACATTACCACCACCACCACCAAGCCACGCCCACAGAACCGGTAATAACAAATTTTAGATTTCACCACTGCCTTGGTCTATGCTGTTATAAAACTCTACCACCAGCATGATAGACATACCATGGGAGAAGTTTGTTGAATTATATGAATTTGAAATATCTATGATCAAGAGAGAGGTATTTTAACATTCTAACATGTTTGAAATAAAACTCAAGTTTTGTAGTGGATGTAGTACTCATAAAGTTCAATGAAAGTAAATGCATTAGCTAGCCATCTGAATAGTGGCTTTTAGTGGAATAATGGAAATTTTGAATAACCTTATTGGAATAATATACTCAATTTGTTAATACAGGATTTCACCCTATTTTAAAACTTTTCAACCTGATCAAGCATGATTTCTTATGAATAAGAAATAGTTTCATGATGTTATTTCTCCTCTCTTTACAGAAAGATAATTCTCCTCTACATTTGGCTATCACAAAAAACAACTTATCAGTGATAAATAGTTTAATAAAGGCAAACCATAACATAAATTGCCTAAATAAGGTAAGAAATTCTTGTTAAAATCATGTAAGTTGAATATTGGACATAATATTTTTGTGTGTGTTTGTGTGTGTGTGTAAATATTATAATTTGATTTATGGCTTGGCTGCTCATTGTCCAGACTACTGCTTTTGACTTTCAAATTTCCATGAAACCAGCACAACCCTCTGAGACAAAATTACCAGGGAAATAACCCTTGAATTTTTAACAAAAATAGAGGAGAGAAAATCTCCATTTTAGAAGTTCAGCTTCTTAGCTCCCGAGACATCCAGCTACTTTTCCTAATTTCCACATAAATACATACAGAGAAGCAAACAACAACATTGCCATGTTTATTTTTATAAAAGTTTGAATAACTTGTTTACTCTGATTTTTAAAATATTCCAGAATATTTTAGGCAGAAATTAATATTTAAAACAATTATAATTAAAAAATACAGGTACAGTTTTGGATGGATACACATTTGGAATTAAATTGAATGGGAGAAAGGGGACTGCCATTGAGAAAGTGCACTGCCTGATCCATATCTCTATATTTGCAAGAAGAGGAAACTTGCAACAGGCCCTGAGCCAAACCTATTCATTGCCATTTTAATTCCATTCTTTGCATAATGCAAATATTAACTTCTTTGTTACATTTTTCTAATGCAAAAGATTTCTGAATAATATTGTCCTTTACATCTACAAGAGACATCAAACACCTTTACATCTGGCAGCAGACCTTGGAAATGTGGAAATAATAGAAACACTGCTAAAGGCAGGCTGTGACTTCAGCGTGGTAGATAAGGTATTCATAATTCTATTAAAATGCATTTCTCCTGCATGTTTTGGTTTGGTTTTCAGATTATCCCTTATTAAAATAGAATTCTTGACTTAGGTTATCCCTTAAAATTTGCAACAGGATTAATGGAATAAGACCTGTGGTGCCAGACATAAAATAACAGTATTTGTTCTTTGTATTTGTGACATAAAGTAGTACAGGTAATCCTCGAGTTATAACTGTAAGGGAGCCTGCCCATTGTGGTTGAAAGTTGGGAGGGCAGTTAAGTGAACCACCTATCTTAACGACTTCCCCATCTGTGCTCTCCCCAATGCCTTTGTTAAATGAACACATGGGCTGTTAAGTGGAAAAATCAGGCTTCTAAATCTAAGTAGTCGAATTCTATAGTTATAAGACTTCCCATTACAGGACACCATTCTTAACATTTTGGTACATTCACCCAGCATACTTAACTGGGATACCAAGTTGGTCCATTTCCTGGAATCACATACTACCTTAAGTATGAGCTAATCAAAGATGTCAGGTTTCATTACACCAAAACCAAGTCAAAGTTAAGATTACCAAATTTAATCATGTCCAGTGAGTGAAACCATTAGGTTTTGTTTACCCCGGTTAAAGGTGTTGTGTGAACACAGCCTTTGTGGATAATGAGGATGATGATAGAGGTGATGTAATAGTTATGTTTGCAGCCTTGATTTTCTTTACTTACCCAAGAGCAGATTTAATTCCAGCTTTGTTAATAACATTATTGCTGCCTAGATGAGATTGTCCACAGCAAAATGAATTAAACCCTGTGCAACTTTAGAAAGCAGGTCATTTATTAGATCTTTGTGAGGGATATCTTAAAGCAGTGCATCACAGCAGATAGTTTGTTGGGCTTTGACTAGGAAGATTTGAGTCCAAATCCTTGCTTCCACAATGAATTATCAATTAGCCAATGCTAGGCCATCAATTTCTTTGTAATGTTATGAAGCTCCTTTAACAACCAAAAGAGATGGGTAAATGGATAAATACATAACTTTTTAGGCTTTATTTGAATAGAATAGAATTGAATTGGATTAATCCAATATTAGTGTATGCTCCCAGCACAGTAATTTTACCATGAAGTCAGGGAACTACAATGAATCCAAAAATTCATTGGTAATTTGGCAGCTGCAAGATAGAGAGAAGATCCTAGAAATGAGATGGTTCCATTTCTCTATTCTCTTCTGCGGCTTCTGGGTTTTTGTTGTTGTTTTTCTTTGTATCAGAATGCATTCAATAAGAGGGACATTATTTTGAAAGTAAAATAGCTAGTCTAAATATTTTTCAGAGGTGTTTGCAGGGGGAATGTAAAAAAAAAAAAGACACAATGTAGGTCAAAGTAGCACAAAGTCTTTTTAGGGATGTGCAATGTCACACAGATATTAAGAAGGGGTGGAGGCGCTTTGATCTGCTGGATCCTGTGCTCCTGCTATCTGGTAACACTATTTGCAACAGAGGCCAATTATTGTGAAGCGACAGATGGATTTCCCTGATGGTGGAAAAAACAATCACTCATTTCTGTCTACCATGAGGTGAGGCTGAAACTGGGGAAGGAGCTAAATTTTAACAGTTGGCTATATCAGAGATTTATCTCTGTTTCAGAGCCTAATATCCACTCTTGCTTTACTAAGATTACCCACCCTGGATTACTGTACTCGCAGCACCTGATCCAAGACACTTCTAGAAAAATGAGAGACACTTTCCCCTCCTTTCACACCTCACTTGATTTGCCCACATACCTGCCACCATTCAATGCATAAATTGGTGGTAGTTAAAGCAGGAGGGCACTAATTCCAGTCTGGTGACATAATGCATGATCTTCTCACTTCAATATGTGTACCACAGTATGATGTGCCAGCAGCCATGTTGGTAATTTCGCTAGGCACTGCTCCTGCAGGACCACACACCACAACCATGCACACAATCTGCTAATGTGACTTGCAGGACACCATGCATGGAATCTTGGAGGGAAGTGTAAATGGGACGTCAGAGAGTCGTATCTTTCTGCTAGCAGACAGCTTGACTGTCAGCCACTACCCACTGAAAGTGACCAATATGTACTGGGTAGATTATTAGCTCAGTTATTACCGAAGCACTCATGTCATGTGTAAGGTTATCTATTGGGAGAAAATGGAAAACATCAATTTAAATTAGAAAAAAAAAATCAAAGTGCTTTTTGTTATGAGGATGGGAAGAAAGCTGTATCGTGAAGGCATCTTTCAAGAACTACTATCCAAACAGCATTGAACCAAAGTGGGGCATGTAAATGTACCTATAGCCACTAACTCATTTTTTAAAAAGTCATCTCAAAATTCTACAAATTTAATAGGTTGGAAATGCTTGTGCTTTTACATGGAATGGTAAAAAGCAATAGTTGGCTGGTTTGCAGGATTTTTAACTTTTTAAGAAGAAATAGAGAACCCATGGAAACATTTTACCTACTTAGATACAGAATTATATTTAGATGGCTATAAAAATTGCTTGTTGCTGGCCAAAATGACTTTTTAAAAATGTTTAAAAAACACTTCTCAAGATACATGGTGGTGAGATTAGAGTTTTGCAATAAATTCTATACCTCAGCACAGATTTTGTGTGTATGTTTAGTTTAATAACTGACAATGTTTACATTTTAGCAAGGAAAAACCGCACTTGCTGTAGCATCCAGAAGCAATCATGCCTTAGTTGTAGACATGATTATAAAAGCAGAGAGATATTACCTCTGGAAACAGGTAGGACACAACTTATTTAGCTTTTCTGGTCAAGCATGTTTCTCCATTCTATTGAATTTCATGAGCAAACTAACTTATTTTTAGTTCTGGAGTTTGAAGCTTCCTTGCAGAACTGGTAGAAAATCTTAGATCAGAAGTATCCCATTTCTTTCTTTTCCCTTTCCACTTTGCCCAGCAGCCCTTCCTCATGTCATCATGATAAGATATTAAGAAGTTGAATTCTTAGGTTGCTTTTTAACTTCTTCTATTTACTAACTTTACTTTCCAGTTTTTTTCTTAGCTGATAGTGTTAAAAACTGACAGAAGTAATCATTGTATTTATAGAAATTGGTAGTTTCCAAAGACAGTTTTCGTAAGTATAATCCAAAATGTGTCTGCTTAGATATGTTGGCTGCTGCCAGGCATGAAAGACCAGGTCCATATGTAAAGATATAATAAACTGGTTTATTGCAGCCTGTGCATAAGAATATTCCCAACTAACAGCACCTGCTTGAAATTAGATAAGGGTCCACAAAATTCAAGGTGGGTTGAACTTAGTCTGCTTGTGGCTACATAGGAATTCTAGGCTGATCTGACTTTTGACTCCACTCTCAGGTTCTGCCACTCTTCCTACATGTGCGTATTATAAAACAGAAAGCTAGATAAGGCAACAATCATGTACGTAGAATACCAAATACATTTAGTATCATCAGCCTACCTAATCTAGTTACTAATTACCTCCTTGAATTAAGGTGTCATCTGTGTTGATGCTAGTGCAAGATTTTGACAGCTTATTACTTGCACACACACCCTCCCACTTCTCCATGGCCATTGCATTTTCCCCATCCTGGTAATGTGGGACCCTGGACTTGTTCCATGTTCCAGCCCTAGATGTCTTTTTCCTTGACACTCCTGGGCGAAGGTCTGTAGAACAGGACCCATGGAAATATGGCAAATCTATTCAGCCTTTCACTGTATAAAGTTGTAAAACCTCTGTTTTTGCTGAAGAGAGGTTCTACTGTATGGCATTACTTTCTCCTGTTGAAAACAACTGAAGATAGAGGACAGAGTAGGAGTTGCAAATAAAATAGATTTAATTTGGTTTTCTTACCTGGCTTTCTTAATGCCATGTGATAATATTAACTACATGGATAGAGAAATATACATCTTCCCAGTTGTCTTATGTGTGAACCTGGTATGGATAAGATTTTTTTAGCAACTGTTTTGTGCCATAAGGGAATAGAAGGGCTTTGGAGGCTAGATAAATATATCTGCTAATCTTATTACAAACAAAGCAAAGGAGGAAAATGATATTCCATTACGAAGAGTGGCCAAAGAAAATAAGAACAAGTATTGATTTTTGAACAAAGAAACTGCCTCTCTATAAATGTTTGCTATAGGCAAACAAGGAGAGATCACTTCCACAATATTCCCTATGATGTTATAAGCTATTTCCTTATCAATGGAAAGGAGCTATGAAATAATTTCGTGCAGATATATACAGTAGATTGTATAAAAGAAGAAGGACAATTTGGGGGAAGTAGAGTATACTGCATGCATTTTTTTAAAAAGTCCCAAAGCATGATTTGTGAGCAGATTTCAGCATTGTCAAGCCTCAATTAATACTCCAAGATGCATCAGCCAGAACTTGGTGAACAAGGCATATGAAAATGAAGAACTGAATACCTCTGAAGGATTTGACATTCAGTACCTAGCGAGCCAGTTTGATGTAATGGTTAAAACTTCAGGCTGCAAGCTGAGTTCTAGTCCTGCCTTTGGCACTTGGGCCACTTACTTTCTCAGTCCTGGGAAGGATGCAATGGTAAACTGTTTCCAAAAAACCTTGTTGGACATAATTCAAGGAAAGAAAAACATGTATCCGACATGATTAACATTTCTAAAATATGTAGAATAATATCCAAAGATTATAGTTGAGAGTGAAAGCAAATTAGTTGAAGAACACATGATTTAATCTCTGAAATTTCTTTTTCAGGAGCATCACTGTAATGATGTGTCAAATATTAATCTATCTTTTAAACAAGATCACAACCTGCAGACAAAACAGATCCGTGCGTCTCTTTGGAATCTAGCATATAATGGATTAAAAATGCGAGACTGGGTAAAACTGGCACAGTTTTGGAAGTTTACAGGTGAACAAATCAAAACAATAGAAGAACAGTGGACAGGTAACTTGATGATTTAAAAAAACAACCACCAGTGTTTCCATTCCAAATACAGGAAACTTAACTAAAATCCAAAATATTATTTCTGAGTGATATAGACTTCTTTCTTTATAAATGTCAATCCTGCCAGTGAGAATTGTCACTGCCAGTCAGAATAAAATAACTATTGGATATTCTTGCAAATGTTGTTTCTAAGGTAACATAGAAAAATGTATATGTGATTGTGTGCTTAAAGAAAAACAAAGCACAATTTCATTACAGTATGTTGAATGTGTTAGAGAATAGGACTTAAGATCATAAAAAATCCTTCCAATCAGTTTTAATGAGACTGTAGCTTTCATTTTGTGAAGTTTTTTAAATGTTAAAGGAGTATATTGCCACATAGGCCAGTCAAAATTCAAGACACTAAAAAAAAAAGGATTTACAGACTACCTTTATGAACTTCATCACTATCCAAGCTGCAGTTTTCAGTATTTATCAGGTGTCTATTTCAATATTTACACTTCTTCAGAATAGATTAAGTAAAAAGCATTTTGGAAATTGATAATTCTTCTAGTTCTTGCTGTAAACAAGACAGGACTACATTATAGACAGAAGATAGGTAGTGTCATATTCCTCCCACTCTATTGAGGGAGGGCTGTTCAATTCTAACATAGATGGACTCTTTTACCCCTCTTTCAAACCACCTATCTCCTATCTACAATGGAGTCCTTTCAGCAATTCCAAGAAGATTCCACAACCATTTGTACTCTGATTCAGGTGACCCCCAAGTGGCCTAAAAGGCTCTCCCAGAGAGTGCCAACAATCAGATGACTGCAAAGAAATACAATCCTTCCACCACCACCCCACCATCCTGTCAGAACCTGTCCTTTCATCCTCCCACCATTTAGTGTCAACTGTCAATACTCATCGTTCCATCCCCCAACCATCCAGTCACAACTGAAGAAGCTTCTACTTCTTCCTCAAAAAGCAGTCTAGTTGCCTTATGAGCATCTTTGAGACAACTATGACCTGGATGACTGAGAATCTCCCTAGACAATTATATTCATTCATCAAGATTTCATAAACATCCTATTAGTATATATGAAATAGGAGCCTCATTCCATTACATTCTGAAAAACTATTTTTTCTGCTTGATTACTCTTCAACTACAGGGTTGGACTAGGCATATAAATACTATAGAAGACCATTCCTCCCTTACTGTTGAACATCTAGGAACCTCCACTGATAAAAACAGATAGACAAAGCATCTTTATCCCTTCATTAAAAACAAACATAGAAACTTTTCCCCTTGACTATGGTCTAAAATAAGCTACTTTGCATCCCAACTGATTTTCCTTTCAGCACCTATATTTATTGATTCCCCATACCAGCTTAAATCTGCAATGTTTTATTTATATCTTAAGAGGAGGCCTTTCTCCAAATGCTTTGGTAAGATAAATGCATTAGGAAGAGGTGCTTTCTATGGCATAAACATACTCTGAGCTTTCAAAGGAGATTCAATTTTTAACAAAAGAATAAAATGTTTTGATTGCCCCAGGATTTTGTTTATATGTTGATGTCCTTTGTACATCTTTCAGCTGTTGAATTCTGTCCTATTTAATATTGTGGCACAGCTTAGATGCTTATTATTTTATATTGTTGACATTTTAAACTTTAGCTACTGCCCAGGAGCATACTTTCTGATATGAAAAATAACTATTTTTGTTTTGTTTCCATAGAGCACTAAAATACCTAACTATGAGGAGACAGGCAATAGAAACCTTTCCAAATGAATATCCAGCTGTAGATGGGAACACCAAAGCTGTTTAATTCTTTCTGTTCCTGTTATTATTTTCTCAAAAATCATACTTGCCAAAGTCACTGTCTCACCCACAGAAAGATACAGAATTCCCATAACTTTCATCCTAGATAACAAAAACAATTTAGGAAATAACATTTTGACTGCTAATGTGGTGAGGTGGAGGTGGAGAATAACCGTCTCCTACAGCTTTTTAATATAAAAAAAGACTAATGTCATCAGTTTTTTTAATGTCTCATTTGTGTAATATCGTCAACATTTCTGTCATTGCAATCTCTATAGTGGTAGATCTCTTCATATTTCCCCTCAAGAATTAGTGGAGGGAACAAAAGGTTAATAGGCCTGATCTTCATTATGCTGTATCCCTACTAGTCTCGTCCACCTTCCCTTTCCAACAAAAAAGTTTAAGAATCTAGGTAAACTCTTGAAACAAATCTTTGCAGCCAAAAATTGACAGAGAAGCATTTCTCCAAACAGTAAGCTAACATGTTGTATATTATCCTCTAGGGGGAAAGAGCTACAAGGAACATGGACACAGAATGCTTCTTATCTGGTTACACGGTGTTCTGATGGCTGGCCAGAATCCTATTAAACATTTATATGAGGATCTGATAAGCCTGGGATTTCAACAACTGGCTGGTGAGCAACTGTTGTAAGAGCATCACACTTAGAGCCTGTTAGAGTAGTTCACCTTTCCCTTTTGGAAAAGATTAAGGACAAACACAGTTAGATTACAGAGAGCTGATTTACAGACATGCTCTTACCTGAAAGAGTCTTCAAACAATATTTCCTAGTGAGCAGCCCCTTAAAAACACTTGAAGCAGCTTCTTTCCAAATGACATTATTCACCTAGTTCAGGGGTCAGCAACCTGTGGCTCTGGAGCCGTAAGTGGCTCTTTCACCCCTCTCCTTCACTCAAAATATGCATCACAACCATCAATGTGCGACACCTGCTGGCATGTGATTTATTGAGCTTTTCAACCCCGGTAAGCCAACCATGGATAAATCCAAGAAAAGAAAAATTTCAGAAGAAAACAGAACATTTAATTCAACTACATATGCTAGTTTTGTGGCCACTCAAGAAATAGTCAGGCAACCGAAGGGTTTGTGTTTTCTTTTCTGTGGGAAATGGGTCCAAATGGCTCTTTGAGTGTTTAGGGTCACAGACCCCAGACCTAGTTCTTATTATCCAGTCTTGCTCCAGCAGAATAGCTTGCTACGGTAAAAGCCAGGAGGTTCCATATTTCAAACAGGGAGAGTCTCTAGACCAGTGTTTCCCAGCCTTAGCCGTTTTAAGACACGTGGATTTCAATTTTCAGAATTTCCCAGCCTGACTAGGTGACTTGGGACCACTCAAGTTTCTCAGTCCAATCTACCGCACAGGGGGTTTGTTATGGAAGAAAATAGGAGGAGAGAGAATACTGGGTATGCTGCTGAAAGAAAGGGGGATATAAATCAAATACAAAAATGGAGAGGTAATGCAGAGAGGGAGAACATGCTCTTTTAAGCAAAAAGAAAAAAAAAAGCGGCAACATAAGTATGCTGGACGGGCAGAAGTATAATCAAAATTTCTAACAAATAAAACAAGAGGCTGCAAATAGAGGTAGTCCTTGACTTACAACCACAATTGAGCCCAGAATTTATGTTGCCAAGTGAGAAATTTGTTAAGTGAGTTTTGCCCCATTTTACGACTTTTCTTGCCACATTTGTTAAGTGAACATTGCAGTCGTTAACTTAGTAACACCGTTGTTAAGTGAATCTGCCTCCCCCATTGACTTTGCTTGTCCAAAGGTCACAAAAGATGGTCGCATGACTCTGGGACTCTGCAACCGTCATGAATATGAATCAGCTATCAAGCATCCGAATGTGACCATGGGGAGGCTGCAACGGTCATAAGTGAAAAATGGCCATAAGTCACTTTTTTCAGTATCGTTGTAACTTCAAACGGTCACTAAATGAATTGTTGTAAGTCAAGGACCACCTGTATAATTATGGATGCATGAATATATTTCTAGGCAAAACCCACGCTCAGTGTGCTTGATAGATTTTAGGTAAGCACAGAATTGCAACTGAAAAGCCTGTTGACTTTGCAAGCATATAAGAAACAAGGTAGCAGTAAGCTTGTCAATATATCCATTTTCTTAGTACAATAAAAGCAAAGACGCCAGTTTTATTTTGAGAAGGATTTCTTTCAGCTTCATAAATCTGTAATAATTTTAGTTTTAATTTTAAATAACTACATATGTATTTTGTGTAAAATTGCAGCAGATGGTTTTGAGTGGCTACTAAACTTTGTATAGTATGCCTGAACCTATTCACACCTCAAAAAGATTAAAGGCATATTTGTGTTTTCTGAATTCTAACAAGAATATTTCTTCTTGCAGTAAAGTTCAGAGCAGAAAATAATGCTGGCACAGAATCCAAGAAATGTTCGGTTTCATGAAATTCAAGGGAATCTGAAGCAATGAAATAGGATAATAAATGAGTATTAAAATATTATTTATAAACAAATTCTCCAATGTTTCTCTATAAAGAACGCTTATCTTCTCACCATTTCTCTAATATCTCCCACCCCATCAACTTCCCATTCCCATGCTAATTAGGACTTCTCCACCTCCATCGGCTCTTTCCAATCCCACTTCACCATTCAGAAATCTCCAGCTTTCCGATTCATTTTTTAAAAATATTGAGTGGCTGTACCCCACTCAGCATGAGTGACCTATATTTGGAGGTGGAAAAAGAATATGGGCTTATGTGACTTCTTGGGTTCCAAAAGCAGTGGGGAAATGAACGTGGCAGTGGCTGAAGAGCTGCTTGAAAATAATTTCAGTCAATTATAGATTATTATTTTTTCTCCTGTGTATGGCTGACAACTCCTGTAGGAATCCACTTGCACCTGAGGGCATATTAGCAACTCTGCCATGCAATCTGTACATAATACTGTTTCAGTTAATTTTTTCCAGAATGAAACATTTCTTGAGGTGATAGTCATATTGCTTCCACAAATATACTCTAAAAATCTTTGATATTTTAAATAAAGTATTTTCTAAGAAGACTCGTGTGAAAACAGTAGCACATTATATTATGAACAAAACAAATGAAATAGGATTTAAAGGATGAGACAAACTCTGTCTTCAAACACCATCATCTCATAATCAAACTGACTTTGTGTTTGAGACTCTTTGAGTAGAAATCTGTACAGGGAAATATGGCGGACTGCCATACCAAGCAAAAAAAGTGCATCCTTGAATGTAAGGTAATAATTATAAGATATTTAAATTGCAGTCCTAGGCATGTTGTTTTGGTAATAAAGTTATATGCATGAACAGAAAATTAGAAAACAAAAAGCCGAAGAATTCTGGTTGGATGATGTTGATGAGATCCTGAAGTTTAATGGCAGTATGACTTGATGGATGGGTGTGGTGGAAGATGAAACTGATATGCAAGGATAAAATATGGGAAAACATAGATTTTTCACTATGTTCTGCCTCAAACTTATTTTGCTTATTATTTATTTTGAGCCTTGGCTTACCCCAAATGAGAATATCATATGTGTGAGTGAGTGTGTATGTATGAATGAAATAGGTAATGGGAAAATACTTCATGCTATTGTCATGGATGTGTCCATGTGGTAATCAGGAGCCAAGCTCAACCTGAGGCAGACCTTATAGTCTTATAATATACTGTACCTTATATTAGGAATCTGAGGCAAATAAACAGTGTTTAGCATTCCTAGTGTAAATTTAAAGCAATTTGCCCCTTATCAACAACTATTGCTTCTCAGTAAATATAGTTTGGTCTTGAACATACACACCTATGATACAGCTGAAGCCATTCAGATTTGAAGGAGAAAAAGTGATTTGAGTGCACAGGACTGTTCATGTAATAACTTCAGCTATATTACTTGTCTGATCCCTTTCAATACCCCTGCTTCAGTGGTGGGTTGCCTCCGGTTCAGACCGGTTCTATAGAACCGGTAGTAAAACCATCGGGAGGCTCCACCCACCAACTCCGACATCATCAGCAAGCTTCTGTGCAGAAGCGCGTGTGCAGCCCCATTGCAAACCAGTAGTAAAGGTAAGTAGAACCCACCCCTGCTCTGCTTTATTACTTAAGCTCCTGTATCCATTTTACAAACCCAGATTACCTCCTCATGCTGCAGTTAGCCATTTAGTAGTAGCTGTACAAGTGAGGTATACTTAAGAATTACCATAGAGAGAAGCAAGTTGATGTAGCAGGTTGTTTTCCCCTATTGGGGCACCTATTTGATCACTAAAGTGGGCAATGTGACTGGAAGAATACTGGCAATTACTCTCAGATTGCAAGATCTTAGTGCAGCACCATTAGCACACCACAGTCACCACTTTCTTCATTGCTGCTTCTTTGTCTTCTTCTAAACACTGACATCAATTCCCACATTCCACTGTGCTTACTCCTAACTGAGGTCTCCTTAGCATAAGAGATAGCAAGAATGGAGCAATATTTGGAGCTAAAAGATAAAATCCATGAACATAAAATTGCAAATCTTCATTGCTCCCACTGCAAATTGCAATGGGAAAAATTATTCCCAGTATGGAGAACACTCACAGCACTGCTATTTTACATAAATGTTGGTGTTTATTTATTCATCTGGATTTTAGGGTATTACGGTATCTAATGTCACATTCCTTTTCTCTCCCCCCCCCCCAAGGGCTTTTTTTGTATATTCTTAAAAGCTACACTGGAGGAATCTGTAGAACAATTGGTGAAAGTACAGATGAGGTTGAGATGTCAGTGAATATTATTAATGGAAACACACACTGGATTCCCACCATAGTAAACAGCCACAGCAATAAATGCTTAGATTTATATACTGCTCCCTAGTGGAGTAAGAGTAATAAACCAATTTTATTTTACACAAAGTAAAATTCTCTGTACTTTACCTGTTCTATGAATGGCTGAAGATAAAATATAGCAGAACCAAAAAATTTCTGGATATCAAGTCTGATTACTATATGGACAATTTAGATAGCAATTCAGACAAAATGATCTATGCTCTTGTTCACATATAAAGCAGAAATACCTTTTAGAATATACAAGTTCAATGCTTCAATTTTATTAAAAACATTAAATAAGCATATATAATAAATTTAAGAAAGTAAAAATTTCAAGTATACCTTATTTGCAGTTACACAGAACTACATTGTGCCATCTTCAGTGGCACATTTTTTACACGTCAAAATATCTCTATATGTACAATATTATTGAGATGACAAACATGATGCATCTTGGGTTATTATTCCATTAATCTGCCAACACCAGGGAGCACATTTTAAACAATAACCTGGAAAATGTTCTCCATGTGCTTAAAATAAAGTACAGGCGTTTCAACTGGCTAACCTACTCCACCACCTTTATTGACTGGATGTTGTTGTGACTCTGGGCAGGAGTTTTCCCATTGTGTCCTAGATGTCTCACGCCAATAGCATTAGAAGACTGGTGCAGAGTTCGAGGATATTTAGCAGCAACAGCTTGAGATATAGTTTGCTGAAATATATAAGCATATCCAATCCCATAAGGTAAAATAATTTTAACAATATATTAAAAAATTGAAGACAAAGGGCAAACATGGCCAGGGCTTGCCAGAAGTTGTTCTATAACTCAGGCAATACCCTCAGATTTTGCTAAGCCACTCCAAGCTTTTTTAATAAACCAGTTAAACCTGTCTAGTCAAACAATATCGCCGAACAGGTTCCAGCACTCCTAAATAAACTATAGCCTAGTCTGTCTGAGAATTCAGCTTTTCTCAAGATATTCTTGAAAGAAAAAGAAACAACCACCACAAAAAATCAAAAGTCCTCTGTACGGAAATCACCCAGCAGCCCACTTGCCTTAACAGTACAATTTTTTGTCCATATGAGCCATTTTAGATGTGGGTTATTGTGGCTGCAGCTATAGGAAGAAGGAATTATCTCTAGCACTTAGTTATGCAATGAAGTAAATATACCATGCTTTTATTTGGAAATGGAATGGTAGTAAATCTATTGTAGCCATTCCCAGACTTCCATGTCAGCCCACAGAAATGCAAAATTTTCAGCCTTTTCACATAGCTGCAGCTCTTGTAGAGAATCTACAAATGAGCATAGGATTCTTCTCAAACGCAAAACATCAGCCCTCATCTACTAATAAATCTCATATCTTGTTGGATCTATTAATAAAAGTTGTGTACTGTACATGTTTCAAATGCTTTGCTGAGTTGCTATGGGAACATAGTAGAGGAAGGAATTTCTTCTGGTCTTTGCAAATACAGTCAGGTTTCCAAAGATCACTGGGAGTTCACATCCAGTCTCCCAATAGAAACATCACAGCAAGGAGAAAAGCAAACATGGGGCCATCCTACAACCAGCATCGTCTAGCCCAGGGGTGTCAAACTCAAGGCCTGGGAGCCGGATCTGTCCCACGGGGTGCTTAGATCTGGCTCATGGGGCTGCCCTGGAAACAGCAAAGGACCGGCCCATGGTTCCTCAGCCAGCAAAAACGGAGCTCCATTTTCACTGGCAGAGGGTTGCAGGACGCTGTCGCAGCCGAAAACGGAGTTTGCAGAGCACTTGGACCACCACAGGCGCTCCCAGTATGAGTGACGTTGAGCTGGCCACGCCCCCTGCCCCCCCCAAGTCAAACACAACCCTGATGCAGCCCTCAATGAAATCGAGTTTGACACCCTTGGTCTAGCCAGAGAAATGAGGGCAGCTAGCCCTGTTGTACTGAACTCAATCCATCAACAGCAAGAACATTAACAAGGCAAAATTTGCCTGGTCCCAGATGGTAGAAGTAATGCTAGTTTATAACCTGTCAGAAAGCAATGCCCACATGTGTTTATTTAAAATGAACTGAAGAGATATTGCTTTCAAAAGCTTTCTCTGACTTCCTTTTTTCCTTTACAGCATCATTTTAAAAGAAACTGAATTAACATGCAAATCTGTGAATATATCCAAATGTGAGGAGAGCAAAAAGATAGATACCACCCATCAAAGAAGCTAAAAAATTCTGTTTAGCTTGTGATGAAGAATTGGCCAAGTATTAATTATATATTGCCACTTAGGTGGTGCTTGTACTCTGGCGTACCATTATACAATAAACAGGTACGTAAGATTTAGTTGGGATTCAGTGCTGAATTCTAATTAAGATCTAGAAAGCAGCAGTATCTAGCCTGTTGGCTTCCACAAGTTCCATTCATTTTCTTTAGCCTTGCCCCTCTTGGGAGACATTTCTCCTTAGTTTTCAACTGTTTCCTTAATACCAGTTGTCGAACAAGGGCAAATTCATGAGGTGGGGTGGGCTTTCTTCCCTATCTCCCTCCAGCAATTGCTGCTCAACTCTTCCATTTAAAATATCTAAATGGCAAGAACAGTGTAGGAAGACTGCATCAGCAGTTTCCTATGTTCTCATCTGAGTTTGAGACACTACTCTTTCTTAATATACATCATGGAAATCAAACTGAAAATAAAGAGAAATGGAAGTATATGTTACTCTGGAAGCAGAGCAACTATTCCCATCAATGTTTCTCTCATACTAAACCAGACACTTGGTTCCTCCGTAGTCTCCTTAATACCTGGAAACATTCCAGACCAGCATTTTTTTTTCTAACCCCATTTGAAAACTAATTTGGCACTTTCCGTATGTTCCTATTTCCATATTCCCGTTAACACAACAGTCTCTTTAGGGTGCTATGGAGCACTAAGATACATTCCATCCGGTCTCCTGTTTCTTGCTTCCAACTGACATTCCAAAATCAAAATTCCTCAGTGATCACACAAGCTATTTGGGGTCCCTTCCTATTTATTTTTATGAATCTTGAAATTTACAAAACATATACTTTTGAATATCAAGAAATACAAAATATATACCAAGACCAAATACAGATAATGCTGATTTATTTCCAAATTAGAATAGAATAGAAGAATAGAATAACAGAGTTGGAAGGGGCCTTGGAGGTCTTCTTGTGCAATCCCCTGCTCAGGCAGGAAACCCTACACCACTTCAGACAAATGGTTCTCCAACATCTTCTTAAAAACTTCCAGTGTTGTAGCACTCACAACTTCTGGAGGCAATTTGTTCCACTGATTAATTGTTCTAACTGTCAGGAAATTTCTCCTTAGTTCTAAGTTGCTTCTCTCCTTGATTAGTTTCCACCCATTGCTTCTTGTTCTACCCTCAGGTGTTTTGGAGAATAGCTTGATTCCCTCTTCTTTGTGGCAGCCCCTGAGATACTGGAACACTGCTATCATGTCTCTCCTAGTCCTTCTTTTCATTAAACTAGACATACCCAGTTCCTACAACTGTTCTTCATATGTTTTAGCCTCCAGTCTCCTAATCATCTTGTTGCTCTTCTCTGTACTCTTTCTAGAGTGTCAACATCTTTTTTACATCGTGGTGACCAAAACGGGATGCAGTATTCCAAGTGTGGCCTTACCAGGGCATTATAAAGTGGTATTAACACTTCACGTGATCTTGATTCTGTCCCTCTGTTTATGCAATCTAGAACTGTAATGGTTTTTTTGGCAGCTGCTGCACACTGCTGGCTCACATTTAAATGGTTGTCCACTAAGATCCCTCTTACAGTTACTACTATTGAGCAAGGTGCCACATATACTGTACCTGTGCATTTTGTTCTTCTTGCCTAAATGTAGAACCTTACTTTTTTCACCACTGAATTTCATTTTGTTAGATAGCGCCCAATGTTCAAGTCTGTCAAGATCCTTCTGTATCTTAAGCCTATCTTCTGGAGTTCATAAATTCGTAAATCCCTTGAGCTTCAGACATATGTTGAAGAAGACTGACCAGTTCTACCTGGTATTAGGAAGCAGGTGTGGTATAGTTTAAGGTGAGGTTGCAGCTATGTGAACAGTGTTTTCTAGTTTCTAACTTTTTTGCTTTTCATATATACTTAAATTCCTTTTTCACCCTGTGGATGGTAGTGTTTTCTTCAATCTTGGACCGTTTACCAAAGGCCTGGAGTTTGATGATTCTGTGAAGTATCTTAACTGTTTCTCGCACTGCACTCTTTTGGGCAGAAAGTTCTGAATGCTGATTCTGGAATCTGTTGGAGCCATTCGCCTAGCTTAGGAGCCCCAGTCCAAATGCTCATACCAATACAGAGATCATTTTGGTCTCTTCTTTCCACATGCTCTCTAATTCCTCCTTCAGATCCTGGTACTTTTCATTCTGCTGCTGTCACTTGGCCCTGCTACCTCTATCGCTACCACCATCTTCTGCTCCTTATCTACTATCACAATGTTTTGGTTTCATCCAACGAAATAGTACATATAGAATTCCATCACATGCTAGACAAAATATAGTAACCCAAAGCGTAGACAAATTAATTCAGTAAGCATTTTTAATCTGAACTTCCACAATAATTCTGATAAGAATCCTAAAGCAAGAGTCACCGATCAAAAGGAGACATAAAATGCATAAGTTATACATAGAACTCATTATTACCTGAGTGACAGGATGATGTTTCTCCACCACAACAGAATTCATGGGGGGCGAAACACCCAAGACATCTAAGTTACTGCAAATACGATTCTTTGCTGAAAAATCTGAACGACCAGTAATTTTCGCAGTGACTGTCCTTCCAGGCTTTTGTTGAGCTGATGTTACCACCCTAGTCGTGGGCTGTGGCAAACCAAATAAAAATCCTAATTATATAAGAAACACATAGCACTTCTCAAAGCAGTATTAAGTAATACGCTAGATTTTCCCTATCTTTGGCTAGGAAAAACTGAATATATAAGTTTTGGGTTCCTAACAGCATATTCTTATAACAATGGGGGAACATTCTTTCTATAGCAGGGGTGTCAAACTGGCGGCCCATGGGCCAGATGTGTCACGCACAGGCCACATCCACCCTAGCTCTGTGAAGGGGAAAACCGGCGTGAAATGTCATGTGACGGCAACATGATGCCGTAAGTTTGACCCCAGGGTTCTAGTCTTGATAATTGGAAATACAGTAGATTATGGTTTTGTATCATGACATGAGCATTTCTTCACAAAAATGCAACTAGAAGATTCCATTGTAGCCCACAAGCTTTACTTCTATGTAAACAAAAACCCTTAATTATTAGTGCTGCAGAAGTGTTGTTTTTGAAAATTGTTGAGCTAGAAAGGAAACCCTGAGGACAATAGCCTTATGAAAGCTTCTGGTGCGCTCTTCACCAAAAATAAATATTTCAGAGACATTCACTCCTTCAAGGTCCTTTTCCTTATCATTCTTTGCAGCAGTTCATTGATCTCGTTTCTTGTCTAGAATTTCACTTTTGAGAGATTCCAAATATTTCATAGAAAGGATAGCATTAAATCATTTCATAATCACTGATTACCTGATAATACAAGGAAACTCTTATCGAGTCAACACCAGGGATTCAAAAACAGGCATTTTTTTGTCTCCCCCTATTGCAAGAATTGACTGACTGAGGAAAACGGACACTCTATAGGTTATCCTTCACCTATGATCACTCATTCAGACTGAAGTTAAGATGGCGCTGAGCAAATGGTGGTTAGTTCCAGCAATCCCAGCACCCCTCCATGGTCATGTGACCGCAATTTGGAGCTTAGCGACTGATTTGGACTTACAGCCAGTTGCAGTGAATCGCAATCACATAATCATTATTTGCAACCTTCTCTGCCGGCAAGCTGGCAAGGAAAGTCACAAGTTCCTAGAGTAAGTCTTCTCCACCTGTACATTCTCTTCTTCTATTCTCTGCTTTCATGCTGCACTGGCCATTCACACACACCCCACAACCATTCCCTGACCTGTGCTGCACTTTCCCCAAACCATGCCACACCTTTGTGTAACCTTGATTTGTTCCACAATCTCATGCATCCTTCCCAACCAACACCACACCCTGGCACATTCTCCCCACACCTCATGTTTGCTTTCTCCATCTGGCAGCAGCCATGAACATGCCTATCTTGGATTTGCAACTTCCTGCTGGCTTCCCCAATGACTTTGGTTGTGGAAAGCCGACAGGAAGTTGCCTTGCCTGACAACCATGGCATTCAGTTAACAACAACCAGGACTGCAGAGATTGCTGTAGCTTAGAGATGCAGTTGCTCATTATGACTGCATTGCTCAGCAATGGAAATTCCGGTCCCAATTGCTATCATATGCCAAGGACCACAGGAATGGTCACTTAGTATTTTCACACACTTGAATTTATCCTCAACTTTGACTGAAAAATAAAAATGAATTATTACATTTTAATTAAACTTGTAGCTTCCAGATACAATTATATATATATTGAAGTTCCAGTTCCAATGACTTCTATAGAAAAATTTCCCATTAATCATGCGGAGAACAAAATAGTTTTTAAAAAATTAAAGTAATGTTGATGTTTTTTTTTGTTTACCAGTTTTGAAATGCAGATTGTGCCTGATCCTGTTGCAGCACCGCAGGCAGTTAATGCAGCAGCAGAGTCTAATCTGGTTTGAGATGTTACTGCATGGCCTTGGTGAGAAGAAAACTGCAAAACAGCAGGGAAAAAATTGCAATAGTCTGATTTAGATTAAATACATACCACCTATTTCCTAATTCAAAATATTAATATAAACATATTGTATTGATTTTCAGACCCAATAGCTCTGTAATGTTGATTATCTGTAATGTTGATAAACTTATCCTCATTTATTAAACTGTCTTAAGATTCAGTTCAATGGAATTCAAATCTGCTACTGATCAAGGCTGTGTTAAATGACAGCTTACCAGGTCTTCTGCAGCAGCAGACCCTGCTGTTGTCGGAGCAAAATGGGGTGGTGGTTGTGGTAGTGAGGATGTAGATGGCATAGGCTGAAATGAAGAAAATTTTGCTGTAGGTCCACCAGTGCCAGCACCAGATTCTGCTCTTTTTTCTGGTAGATCAACTACTATAAACAAATTAACAAACATTCAGAACTTAACAAAATAACAAAGAGATAAATATTGCTAATATTTAGATAGTATATATCTATTTTTGTTATATAACTATATTTCCAAAACTGGAAAGTGCAGAGTTGTATAAACTTTTAAAAGGCTGTATAATTTTTACTTCCCGATACAGAGACTTACAGAAATTATCAGCCCTATCTGTTGCCATCTTAATTTAAAAATAGCCCTACAATATTTACTCAGTATGGTGTGGTGGCTGTCTGTCTTAAAATTATCTATTACCTTTGTACATGATAGTTTATTCAGATAAGTTCTAAGGTTTAATAGGTAACCTTACTAGGTCTTTGCCAACAAAGACCATAATCTAAATTCAATATAGGGGAATAAGAGATATAATAAGAGTTACCCTGTGGTAAGGTGGTAAGATTGGGTGGTCTGTAAATTTTAAAATAAATAAATAAATAGGCAGAATATATATATATTAATTATTCCCTGATCCAGTATATATATATATTTTATTCCCTGATCCAGTATAGTTGGAAGCTAATCAAGTCCAAATAGTTTTTAAATGTATACTGCTCAAAAAAATAAAGGGAACACAAGCAGAAGACATCCGAGATCTGAATGAATGAAATAGCCTTATTAAATACTTTGTTGGTTACATACAGTAGTTTTGTGTTCCCTTTAGTTGTCTGAGCAGTGTATAAACTACTGTATGTAAAGAACAAAGTATTTAATAAGGCTATTTCATTCATTCAGATCTCGGATGTCTTCTGCTTGTGTTCCCTTTATTTTTTTGAGCAGTGTATATTTAAGTTGAAAAACTCATTTTCCTACCATCTATGTTGAGGGGTTTGGGCACAAATTATAAAGACATTTTAATTTACCCTGTAGACTGGATGTTAGAGAAAACAAAACAATATCTGTGTGTATTTGTGATGCATTTCCCCCTCCCTTTTGTCATTATGTTTTTAATTTTGTCATTTTTGACGCACAATGTGTTCTTCACATACACAAATATACACAATTTTAAAGGAGCAGCTGTTGGGGCAGGAGGGAACTGATTTGGCCTAAAGGTAAGAGACAGGTTTTGTTTCATGGAGAAGTAGATAAGATTTAAGGTTCAACACAACATCTTTCCAGGCGAGATAAATTTAAGATTAAAAAGAAAGAATGGCTATTCCTAAGAGTGGAAAACTATTATGTAGGAAGGACTGTAAAGACATAAATCACATACATGTTTTATAAAGATGTTATCCAACTTATTGCAGTACAGGTAATCCTTGATTTATGACCACAATTGAGCCCAAAATTTATGTTAAGCGATACATTTATTAAGTGAGTTTTGCCCCGTTTTACAATCTTTCTTGCCACAGTTGTTAAGTAAATCACTGCAGTTGTTCAGTTAATAACTGAAGTTTGTTAAATGAATCTGGCTTCCCCATTGACTTTGCTTGTCAGAAGGTTGCAAAAGTTGAGCACACTTATGACACTGCAACTGTTATACGTACAAACCAGTTGCCAAGCATCCGAATTTTGATCACATGACCATTGGATGCTGCAATGGTCAGAACTGTGACAAACGATCAGAAGTCACTTTTTTCAGTGCCATTCTAACTTTGGATACTAAATGGACTGTTGTAAATCAAGGATTATCTGTAATAAGACACTTAAAGACTATCAGACCCAAGTAAATTCAAAAGACAGAGTGGCTTATAGCATTGCCAAATTAATATTAGCAAACATTAACATTGCAAAATTACAATGTGTAATGTTGTAAGCCAGCCAGAGCTGTGTATGAATTGGGCAGCCATATAAATCTGTTCAATAAATTAATAAATAAATAATAAAATAAGATTAAGGACAAAATTTGAGGAGCCTGGTGTCGCAGGAGACTAAAGCACTGTTATTAACATCAAGCTGTCTGCAATTACTGTAAATTCAAATCTCACCAGGCTCAAGGTTGACTCAGCCTTCCATCCTTTCTAAGGTAGGTAAAATGAGGACCCATAAGCTGACTTTGTATAAATATACAAAAGTATGAAGGCTATTGCTTAACGCATTGTAAGCTGCCCTGAGTCTATGGAGAAGGGTGGCATATAAATCAATTTTTTTTAAAAAAAATACATAGTCTGATCTTAATGGTTCATGCAAATCAGCCAAGCTTCCAGAGGATTATTTCCTCAAAAGCTTTATTTTACTCCATGCTCCAACAATTAGAAATCCAGGGTTAAACTATATGTAGCAAATATTAGCATTTCAGTCCCATAGGGTTCTTTGAAATTTATGGAGAGGAAGATAATCTCTTCAAGTTCTGTCTACAAAATGTTGTTTCCTCACAAGTAGGATGTCTGGTGGGAACAGCTGCCTCTCTTAAGGTATTTCTTAATTTTTCTGGCATCAATTATGGCATATGTACAAAGACACAGTGAAGTATGGGGCTGCTATCATTAATGAACAGCCTTGAGGCACAGACTTAATGAAAGCAGGAGTATCCATGTTCACAAACCTATACAAGTAGTCCTCGGCTTGTGACTGTTTGTTTAACAGTGGTTTGAAGCAGTGGTGAAATCCAAATTTTTTTACTACCGGTTCTGTGGGTGTGGTTTGGTGGGCGTGGTGTGGCTTGGTGGGTGTGGCAGAGAAAGGATACTGCAAAATCCCAATTCCCTCCCCACTCTGGGGCCAGCCAGAGATGGTATTTGCCGGTTCTCCGAACTACTCAAACTTTTTGCTACTGGTTCTCCAGAACTTGTCAGAACCTGCTGGATTTCATCCCTGATTTGAAGTCATGATGGCCTCGGAAAAAGTGACTTATGACCTGTCTTCAAAATTGCAACCCTATGACAATCTTGTGATGCTTGGCAAACAGCTTGTATTTCTGAGGGCTGCAATGTCTTATGTGACTGTGAATTGACAAGCAAATCAATTGGGGGAGCGGGATTTGTTCAACAAGTGTGTGATCCACTTAATGACCATGTGATTCCGGTCACGTGGTGATTTGTTTAACTATCACATAGCTTAGTGACAAAAATTCAGTCCCAGTTGTGGTCTTTAAATTGAAGACTACCTATATACATCTGCGGGATTCTTGCCATTGAATGTTATGAAGTATTAGAGTGCCACTTTGTGGTCAATTAATTATTTCAGGTTTTAGAAAAAGCCTTCCCTTAGGAAGAGAAATAATAAAAGAAAAGCACTGATTCACATTATGGGCTCCAATATAAGCCATTCTGAGCTTGATCCCACCCAGTTCCAAGCCTGGGGCTGGGTGGGATCAAGCTCAGGGAGGGAAGTGACTGCCTCCAAATTCCCCATCTGCCTATTGCCACTCCCAGCTCTGCCTCTTTGGTCAACCTGCATTCTGCCTTGCAGGCAGCAACTCCCAAGCTATGTGGCTCTGGGGCTGCTTGCCACACCCCTCAGGAAGCTGCAGCTGTCTTATTTATTTATTTGTCATATTTCTATGCCGCCCACTCTCCGAGGACTCTGGGCGGCTTACACCAAAGACAGTATACTAAATAGCATATTGCCCCCAACAATCTGGGTCCTCATTTTACCCACCTCGGAAGGATGGAAGGCTGAGTCAACCTTGAGCCAATCTCAGCGGAAGGCTGAGTCAACCTTCCGCTGATCTGCTGAACTAGCAGTCAGCTGAAGTAGCTGCAGTACTGCACTCTCACCACTGCGCCACCTCGGCTCTCTTAGCTCAGTCCCAGTTACCCTGGCCACCCCTATACTCTAGACCCCTGCATTCCACCAGCCCAGCTGACCTTTACCATCTTCTTGCTCCTGCTGCTGACGAAACATGTTCGATCTGGCTGATGGGCCAGGCTGAAGCTGACTTCGCACTGCAAAAAAGAGAAGCTAAAAGCAGCCCGAGCCTCAGTGCTTTTTTGCCACCCTACACTTTTAAGACCCCTGCAGCCCTGCGTTCCATCGGCCCAGCTGACCTTCACCGTCTACTGGCTCCTGCTGCTGCTGAAATATGCTTGATCTAACTGATGGGACAGGCTGAAGCTGATTTCGCGCTGCAAAAAATAAAATAAAAGCTAAAACCAGCCTAGGAGCTTCAGTGCACCAAAAGACATTTTTGCCACCAAGATCCCTGCAGCCCTGCGTTCCATCAACCTAGCTGACCTTCACCGTTTACTTGCTCCTGTTGCTGACGAAACATGTTTGGTCTGGTTGATGGGACAGGATGAAGCGGATTTCTCACTGCAAAAAAGAAAAGAAAAGCAGCCTATGAGCCTCAGGGCACCAAATCACTTTTTTGCCACCCTTCACTCCAAGACCCCTGCAGCCTTGCGTCCCATCAATCCAGCTGACCTTCCCCATCTTCTTGCTCCTGCTGCTGACGAAACACGATCGATCTGTTTGATGGGACAGGATGAAGCTGATTTCGCGCTGCAGAAAAGAAAAGCAAGGCGAAAAGCAGCCCATGAACCTCAGTGCACCAAAACACTTTTTTGGTCACCCTACGATCCAAGATCCCTGCAGTCCTGGTTTCATCAGCCCAGCTGACCTTCACCGTCTACTACTTGCTCCTGCTGCTGCTGCTGAAATATGCTTGATCTAACTGATGGGCCAGGCTGAAGCTGATTTCGCGCTGCAAAAAATAAAATAAAAGCTAAAACCAGCATTAGGAGCTTCAGTGCACCAAAACACCTTTTTGCCACCCTACACTCAAGACCCCTGCAGCCTTGTGTTCCATCAAGCTAGCTGACCTTCACCATTTTCTTGCTCCTGCTGCTGATGAAACATGCTCGGTCTGTTTGATGGGCCAGGATGAAGCGGATTTCTCACTGTAAAAAGTAAAAGAAAAACTAAAACTAACCTAGGAGCCTGATTTATACTAAAATACTTTTTTTTTTTTGCTATCCTACACTCCAAGACCTCTGCAGCCCTGAGTTCCATCAGCCCAGCTGACCTTCACCATTTACTTGCTCCTGCTGCTGACGAAACATGCTTGATCTGGTTGATGGGCCTGGATGAAGCGGATTTCTCACTGCAAACAAGAAAAAAAAAAGTGTGAGCCTCAGTGCACCAAAGTGCTTTTTTTGCCACTTTGCACTTGAAGACCCCTGTGTTCCATCAGCCCAGCTGACCGTCATCGTTTAATTGCTCCTGCTGCTGACGAAACATGCTTGATCTGGTTGACAGGCCAGGCTGACTTCGCACTACAAAAATAAAAATAAAAAATAGGCTAAAAACAGCCCCTGAGCCTCAGTGCACCAAAGCGGTTTTTTTGCCATCCTATACTTTAACATCCCTGCAGCCCTTCATTCCATCAGTCCAGCTGACCTTCACTGTTTACTTGCTCCTGCTGCTGACGAAATATGCTTGATCTAACTGATGGGCCAGGCTGAAGCTGGCTTCGCACTGCAAAAAAAGAAAAGAAAAGCTAAAAGCAGCCCCTGAGCCTCAGTGCACCAAAACACTCTTTTACACCATGCTGGGCCTGGCTGCTGGGCCAGGTGGGCGTTGGTTTTACATTTCAAAATAGGAAAGGGGGGGCGGGGAAAGCTAAAAGCACCCCTAAGCCACAATGCGCCAAGTGTTCAGTTCTTGAAGGAGAAAGTCAGAAAGTATTTAGAATTATGCTGACAGCATAATAAACTCAGTCGCAAATCTATGAAAAAAATTCAATATACTTGAAAAGAATGTAATTCCTCTGAAACTGAGGGAAACACTTTTTTTTCTTTCAAGGAAGCGAAAGGTGATAAAATGGTTGAAAAAAGGGGACAAAGTATTGATTTGGTCTCTCATTATTATTTGTGGAAGTTATAATTCTCTACAGATATATCCCATGAAAATTTTAAAATCCATTTATTTCTAGCACAAAAGTGAAACTTAGAATATACCTTATATATTTCTATTTCTTTCACTGGCCCTCTTAACCCTAAGACATCACTGTTAATCCTCCATAAAAGTACAGTACTTTTATGGTTAGAAAACCTGAAAAATTTACATCAGTTCAGTCTTTCCAACTTGCTGAGGAATTCTGGGACACTGTTGGGTTAGAACATTGTTGTCCTATCACAGTGATGATTAACCTTTTCGGCACCGAGTGCTGAAACTGGAGCGCACGCACCAGAGCGCCAGAACTCGGAAGAGAGCAGCTGGTCAGTGCGCATGCGTGCTGGACCAGCTGTCCGGCGCGTATGCACGTGATAGAACCAGGAAGAGCAGCTGGCCACACATGCCCACAGAGAGGGCTCTGTGTGCCACCTTTGGCAGGCGTACCATAGGTTCACCATCATGGTCCTATCACATCTGAAGTGCATCACATTAGAGAAATCAGCAAAGATTACTCGTTGACATAAGACCAGCATGCTAACAATCTTTCATTCTCCTCATAATACTAACCCTGGTCAAGTTTGAAATCTTTGCCCTGAAACATGCTCATTGCCTCTAAATTCAGTGCACAGACACCCCGCATGAAAGCCTTCTTCATGGCATCTTCATAATCTTGTCTTTGGTTCTGCAGTTCAATAATTTCAGATCTGGCTTCCTCAAGTGCACTATTTACCTAAACCAAGAAATAAAAAAAATTAATTAATGACAATCACAGAATCTATTTGATAAAAGATTGAGGTGAGGGAAAATTGCAGTTAATTGGGGCTCCTTTAAATAAAAGAAAGAAGTAAAATGGAATCAGTACTGAGTTACAATAAATGTTTGTTTCTTGACTGCTGTAAGGGAAGGGTACAATATTCAATGTTTTAAAAAAAGATGAGACACTCTGTATATTACAGAAATGGTGTGACTACAATGGTAAATGGGATGAGTTCAAGCAGAATGTCTCCTTCCCAAAACAGTATACACTTTCCCACTTGGGGATGAGGCTCAGTCTTGCACTCAAAAGGAAACCAGAAGTTTGGGCTGCTTACTGTTTCCTTGTCCTTTTGCTGTACTTTATGAAGCAGATAATCAGAATGTCACCTTTGCCTACAATAACCCTATTTAAATTTTCCTGGAAGAAAATCCTATGGGTCCTTTCTCCTAAAGTGAAATATTGTCAAAACCCATTTTTGTCTAATTTAGATAACACCCTTGAGTGCTATCATATCAGACTTTTTTCCTCAAGGCTAAACATTCTCAAATATTCCAAACTCCTTACCGTTTGAAGTTTGGCTTCATACTCATTGGTGAGCGTGGCACGCATAGATTCCACACTTGTCTGAACAGCCTTTTCCATGATTTCTTTCCATTTTGCATTAAAGCGGGATCGCCAAATCGCCCAGGCTTTCCTCAACAAGCCTAATTTATACAGCCGATCAGCCAGTTTATTTGCGTACAACTGGAAAGGAATGTCAGCAAAGCAGGTCTGAGTATCACTACACTTTATTTAACTCTTCCCAAAACAGGACTCTACCTATGCCTGGTTGTACCATACCAGAATTTGATGAAGAAGATAAAAAGTATTAGGTATGTACTGCAGTATCTGTAAAGCACTTTTATACTGTATAAACTATAATACAATTATAAAAAAACCCTAACTTTCAGCATGAAATCAAACAAAAACTTGAATTGACATTGGACATGTTAAAATTCAGATCGTATGCTTTGTTGGCATTACAAACCAGAAAGGATGAATAATGTAACATTTTTTATGTTCATGGGATGATTGTAACATAATTCTAAACAGCCATAACATGATCCTAAAGTGCAAAACATCATTTTTAGACTGAATGCAAATGCAGTTTACTGTGACAGATTATTTATAGAAAAGAGGATGAAGGATTCCACATAGAACTGTTAATTTGATCAGTTTTTTTAAAATAAAGTTTTTCAAATGGGATTTAAAAAAAAATCTTGATTAACATGAGCAAATCCATATATACCTCTTCTCTGGCCTTTTGTTTGCCCAAAAAATGCTGAAGTCGCCATTTTGTGAATTTTTTCATTAACTCTATCCTGTCCTTTTGTTTCTCAATTGCATGTGTTAGATTTGCAATTACCTGAACAAAAAGAAATTAGAAAATGCATAAAGAACATTAACTATGCAATTAATTCATTTGAACTTGGTCATTAAAATTAAACAAATAGACAAGGGATGGAGAAATATTGCTCTCCAAACAATGATTTGCTGCAAAGGCAATTCTTAACAGCAACCAATAAGGAAAATGAAGACCATGTGAAAAATTCATCCTGTAAATTAGAACTTGTTACCTCATCCTTTCTCCCTAAGGAAATCTCGTATGTATGTAGCAATTCCTTCAAGTTCTCCATCTGATTAGTCAATTGTCTCACATCGGCTGCATGCTTTTCTCTTTCTTGTCTCATCTCTAAGGTATGATGTTCAATAAAATGAAGTTTCCATTTCCTCAGCTCAGTCAAAACATTAGTCTTAAAAGAAGTGAAGGAGTTGTTTAGTAGAGAAATAAAGATCAGACTGAGTTTTCAAAGGCTGTCTGAGCTTTTAAAGGCTAAGGACACTAGTGGTTTTTTTTTTTAGTAAAACATAGAACTGTTTAAAGTGTTACACTTGAAATTTTGAGAAACTTTCCAAAACAGATATTAATGATCAATGGTATCCTAAGGAATATGCAAGAAACAAAAAAAGTATATAGTACTTTGCCTTCCTCTGGCAACTGGTTTGTGAGGAAAGTATTCAAATAAAATATTTAGATCCCAAAACAAGATGAATGACAATTAAGTAGCAACATTCTTTAAAATAATACTTTTGCATAATTGTCTGCTGCTTTAGTTAAAAAAAAAGAATAGCCTGAAAAATCTGATAGGTTAAATAAAATATCCTTTTCTGAAAATAGAAAGTAATTGTTTTTAAGCAAGATGCAGCTAGGGTTTAGATGGGAATATTATACACAGCAATAAATTAATAAAGTATTTTGGGATTTTCTTCAAGGATGGAAATATCCACTTTAAAAAGTTGAGATTATTTTTAAAAATTCTAGTACAAAAACATGTTATTTGAAAACTTGTCATATCCTATGTATATATTTGTTATAGTAGAAGGGAGATTTCGAATTCTCATTCAATGGCATTTTTCTAATACCTGCAAAATAAAGATATTAAAACCATTTTATCTCCTAGAACAAAGTTATAAACCACATCCAAAATTAAAACTTTTTAGCAACTGGCCTAGAGATTGGCTTCTCTGAGATGGAAATTCCTTCACTACCCTGTTTCCCCTAAAATAAGACATCCCCTGATAATAAGCCCAATTGGGCTTTTGAGCGCATGCACTAAAATAAGCCCCCCCCGAAAATAAGCCCTCCCCAAAAATATTTAAACATATGCGCAGTTGGTCCCAGCCATTTCCTCTGGTTAGGTTTAGGGAGACAGAGCTGGAAATCAGGTCAGATGGCAAGAGGAGCCCCATCTTACTCCATGTACCGCAAAATAATAAGACATCCCCGAAAATAAGGCCAAGCGCTTATTTCTGGGTTCAAAAGAATATAAGACCGCATCTTATTTTCGGGAAAACATGGTAGTTACCTCTGGCCAAAGTTAATTGAAAGGAACTACTCTTCTAAATTAAAAAAAAAGTTTGAACTTTGGCATAAAAAACGTATGGCAAAAATTTGAAATGCAATAATTTTATTATAGGGGAGTACATACAAAGTACATACGAAGAGCCAGTTTGGTATAGTGGTTAAGGCATGAGATTAAAAACCAGGAGACTCTGAGTTTTAGTTTTGCCTTAAACACAAAGCCAGTTGTGTGACCTTGGGCGAGTCACTCTCTCTCAGCCCCAGAAGAAATGGCAAACTATTTTTAAAAATTTGCCAAGAAACTCAGGCAGTTGCCAGAATTCAACACTGATTCAGGGATGTATACACACACAAAGTACAAATAAGTCAGTTCCAAGAAGATAGGCCTCTGAAGTCTTATGTTTGGAATGACCAACAGCTGCATTGAGTTAGGGAAGTGTTTGTTAATAGATAGCAGGATCGCTGTCTGAAATAATATATCTTGACTCAAAGCAGTTTTCAAAGTTATCCATAACCTAATTAGCAAGCTAAATTAAAATCAACTGGATGAAATAACTAGCAACTACATTTCTGGCTCAAAAATCATGTTCAAAGAGTGCATTATTTATTTTATCAACCGAAATATAAGTGAATGTCATCACTGGAAGTAATAGTGTGCTTTCATGAAATCCCACTTCAAGTATTATGACTGGTTCCAGGCACTGCACTTTTTAAAGGAGAGAGAAATTGGAAAGGTATAGAGTAACTGTAGCAGGGTAATATATTTTATGAAAAAAGATTGAGGGGCCTAGTATGTTTAGCCTTGGAATAAAGCAGCTGTAGGGAGATACAACTGCACTCTTTAAATATCTGAAAGAAAGCAGGTGGAAAAGAAAATAAATACACGTTCTGTCTTATTCCAGAATCCTGGGCACAAGTTATGAATTTAAATTATGGGAAGAAAGGTTCCAAGTTACAAAATACTTCTTTACAGTAAGAATAGTAACCACTATGTGCTTTCTATTTCATAGTTGCTACACATTACTATATCAAATTCAAAGCAAGGTGAAATTCAATTTATTAGAAGAAAGATATTTTATGTTTAAAGTACGGATTCACTGTACATATTTATTTAAATTTATGTTATCTTCTGTAGAGATTCAGATCGTATATGTAATAAAGTTACTTTAAGTTACTTTAATGTAACTTAAAATGAAAGCATTTTAAGCCATTTGAATTCCAAAAGTAACAAGGAAGGGCACAGGGCCTTTTTAGCCACCTGACATCCAAGCTGTTTAAGAACAGCTTAGATAAGTGATGGCTAACCTTTTCCGGACCAAGTGTCAAAGCACGTGACTACGCACACGAACACCCAAAATGCAATGCACGTGCGCCCCCATGCATGCGCCTTGCATGCGTGCACCCCCTGCATGCACCCTGCTCCCTGTCAATGCGTGCGCCCCCTGCATGCGCCCCACCCACTCCGCATATGAGCCCTGCCCCCCGCACATGCGTGGCAGAGACCTGAAAACTAGCTAGCTGGCAGGAGGCGAGCGCGTATGCGCAACGGAGCTCACTGGGGCGACTGCTCACATGCCCACAGAGAGGGTGCTGCGTGCCACTTCTGGCACGCGTGCCATAGGTTCACCATCATGGGCTTAGAATCAACGATTTTGCACACAACTGCAATGGATGGAGAAATGGTATGTTGCTTCTCCCTCCTTGTTCTATTCCTTGTACAGCTTGAATTATTATTTTGCTGTTTTTTAAAAAAAGAATCAGATTGTGATCAATATGAGATCTCAGCTACATTTATACCCATGTCCTTTTTTCGCTAGCTTTAAATTTAAACATAATTATATTAACTTTGATTTTTTAAAGATTTATTTTTATATATACACACAATGGCATAGTCACATAGTCAAAGGAGACTTCTTTGAGGGTATAATATTCCAGAACAAAGACTAAGGAAAATAAGATACAATGAACCAGGTTATCCATAGCAGAATTTAACATATAGTACACAAATTACCTACTTTAAGGCTGCCACTCCACAGATCAAGAATGCTCTCTATGTGGGTCACTCTATCATCTGAAAGGCTCATGTCAGTTACGTATGTCCCTTGAAGATCTCTTTGACTAGATGAGGACCCTGGTGAACAAGTTTCTTCTGAACGGATTGGGCAAAGTCCTTCCATGTCCATATGAGCTGACTCCTTTACTGCCGCTGAAACTTTAAAAACAGAAAACCAACTATGTCACTAATATTGTATTACTGTACTAGATTTTGCTGAATTTGCAGAGTATCAATTGAAAACAAAAGTATGTAGAAAATTCAATGCTTCTGCAAAAGCCCAATGCTATCTTGTGGCTTCTTACTGACTTAAGCTACAACAAATTTGCTAATCTTTAATGGTCTAAAAATATCCTTTTTGCTATAACAGACTTTAACACAAATTTTAAATTACTCTTTTTTAAAAAAGTAATACATTTTAACATCTGGCAGTTTTGATACACATCTTTTTTGTTTTATGTTCTCTCTTTAAATATATGATTTGTGTTGGGTAAGAGAAATATCTTTTAAATTCTACCATAAAGGTAAGCAACAATAATATGTGTATATTTATCTAATATCAATATCTAAGGGGCTGCCACAAAGAAGAGGGGGTCAACCTATTCTCCAAAGCATCTGAAGGCAGGACAAGAAGCAATAGATGGAAACTAATCAAGGAGAGAACATACCTAGAATTAAGGAGAAATTTCCATACAGTTAGAACAATTAATCAGTAGAACAACTTGCCTCCAGAAGCTGTGTGTGCTCCAATACTGGAGGTTTTTAAGAACAGATTGGACAACCATTTATCTGAAATGGTATGGGGCAATGATGGCAAACCTTTTTGCTGTTGCGTGCCAAAAGCGGGGAGAGGTTGCATGCATGGGTGCCCACACCCATAATTCAATGGGCACCCCCCCGCATGCGACCCCCCCCACTCCCTACACTTTTGGCAAGCGATGGCACGGTGGGCCCAGTAGGCCCGTTTTTCGGTCTCCTCAGGCTCCAGAGGCTTTCTAGAAGTCAGGGGAGGGCAAAAACGGCCTTCCCCACCCTTCCGGAGGCCTTCCAGAGGCTGGAAATGGCCTGTTTGCCGACTTCTGGTGGGACCAGAAGTCGGGAAACAGGATGTTTCCGGCCACAGGAGAACCTCCGGGAGTGGGAAGGCTGTTTTCGTCCTCCCCAGACTTCTAGAAAGCCTCTAGAGCCTGGGGAGACCAAAAACCAAGCCTTCCCCACCCCCACCCCCCGGAGGCCCTCCAGAGGCCGGAAACAGCCTGTTTCCCAACTTTCGGTGGGCCCAGAAGGCCTGAAAATCAGCTGGCCGGCGTGCACATGCGTGCCGGAACTGAGCTAGGGCAACACTCACGTGCCCACCGATATGGCTCCGCGTGCCACCTATGGCATGCGTGCCATAGGTTCGCCATCACGGGTATAGGGTTTCCTGCCTGAACAGGGGATTGGACTAGAAGCTCTTCAAGGTCCTTTCTAACTCTTTCTGTTATTTACATGTGTGTTATGGAATAGAAAAGCTATATATGTAATAAGCTTCTTTAGTGTTACTTTTCCTTTCTTTCAAAAAGGGGAAGGAAATAAAATATTCTACTTATTTTTAAAAAGTAGCGGCAGCTTCATATTCATTAGAGAAGCTACTTTTGAATAAAAAGGGTTCCATATAATTAACTTAATAACTAGATAATAATTGTACATATTTACAAGTAAATACACTTGAAGACCATAGTGACTTGATTTAAGTGAGACAGTATGGTATAAGAGACATTCAGGTGTATATGGATACAAGCAGGTTATAACTATGGGGATTTATGTGTAAAAACCAAAAGAAATCACCACCAGATTAGGCTTATATATTAAGCTAACGTAACTCTAAGGCTATCCTCCTTCTCATCCTAGTACTTATACCTTCTATTCTTGTTGTTCGACTAGATGCTGCAAGTTCTGGGGTTCTTCCATGGCACCTCCATTTCACTCCTGCTCTTTCATGCCTGTAGCCACTCATTCCTGGACTCTTTCCTATTTCAGATAAAAAAGACTGGCTATATTTAGACAGGCAGAATCAAATACACAGCTCTGCACTGTTCACACCACTGATCCGAAGTCTTCTATTTTAATATTAGTGATAGCAATTGGTAATACCTAACTGGACTATGCCACCTATCAATAGGTTAAAAAAATAAAAAAGAGAAGAGAAGCTAGCTATAAAAGAAATTCAATTCTAGGGAAACAGACGCACAGACTTTTATTACTTGCAGTCGGAGAGAAATACAGGCATGACTAGAAGCAAGACGTAGCAAGATTGCAATCAGGAAGCAATACTTCCATGAGGAAAGTGTCCCTTATTTTATCTACTACGTTTATATGAAATGGGTATACAAGATTATGTGATACATTTCTCATATGATTACTCTAAATCAACTAGTCTTTCCTGAATGGAGAATCTTTCTAATAGTATTTTGCAGTTTTAAAAAAGCCATTTGAAAGTGTGCCAGTTTATAGATAATAGTACTATCACAAGTTTGATAAAGTACTTCAGAAGAAGATCAAGCTTTAGGGCATATTCACTCAAACACAAGTGCTCCTTACTGGAATATCATCACCTTGCTAAGAAGCAATACAAAACAGACATACATGTGCCAGTGCTCCAATGTAGCTGCTGTAACCTTACAAATTTTGAGATTTGGTTAACTACGTTAATTAACACAGAGCAGGAAATTAAATTTCAGTGCTAAAACATTCAAATGCAAGATTTAACATTATGGCATACTTTATTCTGATTTTCCCCCATCAAGAAACAAAATTTGTTTTAAATATAATTATCCTTAAATCTAAATTCAAAGGAAGGTTTTTGATTAGTAACTAGAGCCACCTGTCAAAATGCACTGCATCTAATCCATAGACTGTTGTTTTATTCAATTTAATTTTTTTTGCAGATATCAACTTCTCTACGTGCTCAATCAACTAGAAGGTCCGCAATTTATGATTTACCTCATAAAATGAATAGTACCAGAGAAAATCAGGCAGCAAAACATGATGACATCACAATTTTCCAAGCCATTTTTAAAGGTAAAAACACCCTGAGATGTAAGGGCTTCCTAAAATTAAAAATATAGTTAGTTATAATGCAATCTACTTACCTAGCTGGGATCTTTTCAAAACTACCATTTTCTACTTTCATTCTTCTTTCAACCTGTCTACATTCCTCCTTTCTATTCTTAAAGCTTTTAATGGCCCTTCCTGTGCATACATTTGTGTGGGAGCACAAATGACATTTTATATTATAAATGCCTGATAAGGGAATATGGCTTTCCTTCTTAGGAACCTAATCTATCACTGATGGATAACACTATGCCATCCAGAATCATTCAAAAACATAAGAGACACCAAAATCAACAAGAGAATATCCTGTATGTCTGAATGTAACAACATACTTGGCCAATGCATTTTATGGTAAGCTATTTTGCATTCAAGCCTATCATTTCCAAAAACAAATACCCCAACTCCTATAATAAACACACATAGCAAACATGATAAATATAATGATTTTCTAGAGTTGGTCCTCTCAAAATATCCATTTTATTACTAAGACTTTCTGCCTTCCATTCACCATAGGCTACACAGCTTCATCTGCACTTAAGAGGGTTCAGTCCAAACTTCTCTGGACAAATATTTAACCAACAAAGACTGTGCTCAACCAAGAGAATGTTAATTAGTCCTCAACATCACCATTAAAGCAGAAAAGTATTGTTACCTCTAGTACTTGACAACTCTGCAGCTACCTCTCCAGAATACTTCAGGGAAGAGGAAATAGAGAAATTTTTGGCAGTATTTTGTCATAATAGGTTAGGATTTAAATATGAAGCTGATCAGTGCTAGCCTTGCAAAATACTGTTTTTCTCATTAGTGTCAAGACATCTTGACACTGTTCTTAGAATACTAAGAATTCTAGAATCTTCCCATTATTTGAATCTTAGCAGTTTCTGCAACATGCTATTAAGAAGCTGCATTTCAACAGCTATGTTAGTTCCCCATTCAGCACTCTATTCCTACAGTTTTTATATATGCAGTTATGTGGAACATTATTGTTAACTTGACATAATCTTAAGAGTTCTTTTCAAAAAAATGCAAATTTTTCTATTTTACTCATAATCATATTTTATATTAAGCACCAAATAAATGTGAGATTTCTGCAGACTCAATATGTAAAGGGGAGAAGAACTGGGAACAGTGAAAAATTTGGTACAATCTAGGAACTAGGTTTGTGTGGTCTGGCAAAAGATAGATTTCAATACCCCATTCAGTCATGAAAAGTTACAGGGTAACTTTGGGCCATCTGCCTTTTGTCATCCTAGACTCCCCATGGTTTTTTGCTTGGGTGGGATAAATGGTATCAAAAATTAAATTCCTTGAACAGAAAATGGGATAAAATATAATATACAATAATGTAAGAAAAAGCAACTACTTAGGTATAAGGGGGATTAAGGAGGACTAAGAGTTTGAGCTGGCCAAAATTTGTGGCAGCTATGTCCTTTCCCTTCCTACTTAATACAATCCTTTTATATACAGTATATTTAGACATGAATTCCCTTGTTCAAAGAACATTTGCTTCCATTAGATATGTAAATGAATGGATCCCTTTGTCACTAATTTCATACTGTGTCTCTACAGTCAGTCATAACCAATTCTTTGCTTTCCTTTTTAGCTTCAGATTAGGGGACTTGTTTTGGGTGCAGGCTGTGATTCCCTAATTATAAATGAACATCTGTAATCACCTTCCTACTATTTTACTAGTGGGAAAAACAATATTATTGCCAAGTCAAGACTTGTTTTCATAACAGATATATATGGCACTTAGAGTATAACAGCCAAAAAAGCTAACCTTCTGTGGATAAAAGACAGTTTCATAGTTCCAGAGAATTATGTTGGCACTAGTTGTGAGATGCCACAATCATTTTTAAATTGGGGATGTTTCACATTTTTAAAGTTTTTATCTAGATTTTTGTCAACCACCTAGAATGATTTAAGATGGGCAGCTGTATAAATCTGCAGAATAAGTAAATAACCATGCACGTAAATGTTTTTACAGAGGATAGGTTCCTTGGAGGAAGAGTTTTTCGTTAAGCTTAGTTTTTGTTACCTGGACAAACAAATAGGTTTTCTTTTTATGTAAATCTAAATTGTGAACCAAGAGCAGAAATTTGAATTCCAACCAGGGTCCAGGGCTACCATTATGCAGCTGGGTCAAACTGATGTTAAACATTATGTCCATTTGAAGTATATAGCAGATGTTACACAACCATATATGTGGAACAAACATTTTATTAAGGCCTACTGCATCTTAGATTCTATGCCAGTATGGACACTGAAAACTATTCTAACTTTGCCTTTTCTTTGCAAAATTGATAAAAAAAAAACTGGTGTTATTTTAAACAAAGAGCGCCTACAAACATTAGAACTATAATGATGTAACATATTTTGAATGTCTTTAGATGAATTAAAGTAGTATTTAACATTTGAGAAAAGTAGATATTCATAGAACTGATACTTTTAGAAATGCCTCAAAAATGATTTGCTCGCTAAAAAACCATTGATTTATGCAAGTTACTAAATATCTATCTTTCATGTCAGTAAACTATTACATACGCACTATGATTCAATATGAAGACTTCTATATCTAGCTTAGCCAACAATACTTCATCTAGGATATTTGAAAAAAATTCAGGACGTACACAAGCTGTCAAACTATGCCACAAAACCTCTTTGAGGTAAATTTTACTATAAATTAACAAAGCATCTTAATTTGGATGTCTTAGTAAAGGAAAATTACAAATAATTGTATAGGGATCATAGAAATTGTGAGTATATTTCTATTGGAAAACAACGCTGCAATTAAGTTACAGAAAGGACTTACCTATAGTTGGGTGATAAAATAAAAAATATTTCAGAATAAATACCAGGACTCATCAAATTCCAATTTTCTGGTCTCGCCAAATCCTGAAGACCTTCAGTCAATCATCACAGATGAGACTGAACCAGATGAACCCAGGGCTTGATTTTGTTTAAGTTAACTTTCTATAGTTTTTTGCAGGTTTCACTAGTGGATAGATAGTTCAGGGTAATGGCTAGCTCAAAAGCATACATATAACTCTCAAGCAATAAACTACATAGTATAATCCACATACCAAAATAAATAAATAAATAAATGCCTTCAGCCTATTCAACTAGAAACCCTATTTTTGCCATGGATTTCCAATGTCTATGGAGATTCTCAGTCATCCAGATCATGGTTGTCCCAAAGGTGCTTTTTCAAGAGGCAACTGTACTTTCTGGTCTTTCTCATCCAAGAAGCTTCTTCAGCTCTGGATGAGAAGCAAAACGTTTTCAAAGAAAAACCAGAAAGTCCAGTTGTTTCTTGAAAAAGCACCTTTGGGACATGGATTCTCAAATTTCAGCCTGGGTGGCCTTGCACCTTTGTTTATGAATAAGCCGGCCTTTATGCTTTGAAGAAAGCTCAGCTTCAAATATGTTACCTGCAGGTATCTGATGAACCTCCATGTGATCTGATTGTCGTAATCCACTTGGCTCAAATTTAGGGGTAACTACTGCATAACGAAGCAACTCTTCATATTCATCCTATAATAAAAAGATAAAAATATTTGTTGCTAAGTGAAAGTAAACATTTACCACATGAATGCATAACTCTTTACAGGTAGTTCTCAACTTATAATAAAACAATAATGTGATTTATTTATTCTAGGCTTAACCTTGTACAACCTACCATTACCTGTACTTTATCCTTTAGGTTGAATTCAGCTTTGGACTACAATTCTAGTCAATATTTATGCAGTTTTATTCAGCTTCAATTAAGATTAGGGAACACTTAAGGAGATTCCCCAGCATGAAAATGTAGTTTTCATGAATTTCACTACATGAATGCTTTATTGTTATTTTTCCATGCTAAAATTCATGACAAAATAAGATCTCATCTCTTTCATCTTTTTGCTAACATAAAAACAGGTGTAGTCATGGATTCCATCATGATAGGTACATAGGAAAATGTACCTTACAGAAACACATACTCACAGTCAGGATATACCGTAGTAGTATATGCATATACACAAATATGTAATAAGATAGCTCATGCATATGTGCTTTGCTCCCATCTGAGAACTGAACATGAACAGAAGGAAAAATACACAAGCTACATTGTTGCTATATTATTTCACCATTATTACTGTTTAAATAGAAAGAGGCAGGAATGTTAGCAAGTCAACAATAAGCAGAACTAGCCTCAACAAAAAAAAAAGAAAAGAAAGAAAAAGCCATATGAAAAGCTTCCAAGGCAACACTTGTTGACCAACTAGGCATTGCTAGGCCAAGCCTGAAATTTAGCTTCAGTTGTTATTCTTGGCTGAAAATCTAGAAGCAAACAAGATGAAAAGACAAACCCTAAAAGCTCTTTTTAATTTTCATTTGGCTTGTATCCACACCTAGTAGGAGCTATGATAGTAGCAGTACAGAGAAAAATAGATGGAATGCAAGCTAGGTTTCCCAGTTGGTGATAATTCATCCTGACAACAACCCTGTGTGAAGACTGATTGTGAACTCAAGTAGGCAGCAGGAACCATCCAGCAACTAAAGTCTAAGTTCAGCCAGTAGAGAAAAAACAGAAGATACACCCTTTTTTTCAACTCTTTCCTTACAGTACTCATTGTCTTCACTCATGGCACTAAGAATATGGGTTTTTAAACTATGATGTATAATTAGCATGTTATGCTAATGCAACTGTGAATTTAAAATCCACGGTCTATTAAGAATTTGATTATCTAATATCTTATTTTTTATATATTTCTTCGATACTGTTGCATTTGCAAGTTAATTGGATTTATACAAAAGTCATTGTGATATAAAAATAGCAGCTTCTCACAAAATAATTTTTAAGACCGGCATTTACAAGATATTGTACAAACTACAAATAAACAAGAAAAGAAAAACATTCATTTTTGGACCTACCTGAAGATCAGAAGAGACAGAACTGCCTCGATCAGAATCTTTTGGTAGAACAGGACTTGCGCTTTTCTCTTCAGATGATGACATCTTGCATTAAAGTACTTCCTGTAAAAAGTTCCAGAAATTGAACTTTACTTGCAATCAGTAACTGGGGTGTTTGGCTTGTGTTTTCTAAATCAAGCCAAGGAAAAGGAACTCAATTGTTTTCTGAATCTGGTTTGCTAGTGAAGAATAAGCCCTTGTTCTTAATTTATACACCAGAGTAACCAAACTACAGAAAAAAGTTTTTATGGCTAAGCCAGAAACCTGCTGATACTACAAAAACTGCTAGTTATCTGTAAATTAGAAATCTGGAGAATTCTATTTAGCTGTTCTTTGTAGCTCTATCACTGCAAAGTGTGTCTTCTAAACCCCAGGAGAAAAATCTGCAGACTTTAGCTAAACAAATGACTAACTCACTGATTTTAAGGAAGCCCTAATCAAATGCAAGAATAATTAGTAGCCTACAAAAGCAGATTCCATAGCTTTTCTCTCTCTCATTTAAACTTTAGCCTAATCATTAAGATGGATATAAACAAGTATAGAAAATGAGAAAGGGTATCATACATGGCATAGGACCTGGGTATTTGCAGGACCGCCTTCTGCCGCCGATAGCCTCCCATCGACCAGTATGCGCCCACAGAGAGGGACTCCTCAGGGTGCCGTCAGCCAGGCAATGTCAGCTGGCGACCCCCAGGGGGAGGGCCTTCTCTGTGGCAGCTCCTGCCCTCTGGAACGATTTGCCCCCGTAGATACGAAGGATATCGGATCTCCGGGTCTTTCGCCGTGCCCTGAAAATTTTTCTTTTCCATCAAGCAGGGCTGGCGTGAACCCCCTCCCCCCTTTTTAGTCTTTTTTAGTTTTAAATTGTCATTGGGTTTTAATTGAATTGTTTTAAATTGGGCCAGTTATGTAATTCTTTTAACAATTTTAAATTTTGTATTGGCATGTGTTTTAGTTCTGGCTGTTCACCGCCCTGAGTCCACTAGGAGAAGGGCGGTATACAAATTGAAATAAATAAAATAAAATAAATAATACAAAACATTTTATATAGCACTTAAAAAACAGAAACAAATCCAGAATGTTAATAGCAACCCTGTAAACTTTTAGCATTTTTTTCAGGCTTCAGATGAGTAACCAAAAAGAAACGGTTAATTCAATTAACAATTTAAAAAATGTTTTATATTAAAATGGGTCTTTGTCCTTGTGATTTTTGTGATGCATCATTTCACTATAGCATTCATTTTATGTTACCTGTTGTTAAATGTTGATGCTTATCTGAAATAAAATTTGAATCAGACTTATTTGACAACCTTACTAGGCTAAATGAATGTCCATAATACTTCTCTCAAAGAAGGACAGTTGAGAAGAGGGAAAATCGTGTTTGAGTAAGATATGTCACTTTAGGAACTGTCTCAACAGGTGAAACAAAGTCATGATTTTACAAAGGCATTCTGGCCATGAATCAATACATTATCAAACAGCATATTTTGTCTGAGAATTTGAAATCCCTAAGCAAACAATACAGTCATATGTCTGACTATATTCTTGTGACAAACTTGCACTATACAGTATTTTCTTGTTGTGTTTTGAGAATAACAATTTCGATGAAGTGGATTCCTAGTGTTACTCATATATCAAGAGAACGATATGTTTATGAATAGCTGGACTACATCATTTTTTTGTCTTTCGCTGTGCCAGTTGGTACTATAGGTAGTCCTCAACTTATGACCACAATTGAGCCAAAAATTTCCATTGCTAAGTTGTTGAGTTTTGCCCCATTTTACAACATTTCTTGCCACAGTTGTTAAGTGAATCACTGCAAGATAGTAGCATGGCTGTCAAATGAATCTGGTTTCCCCATTGACTCTGCTTATCAGAAGGGTGCAAAAGATGGTCACATGACTCTGAGACTCTGCAACTGAATGTAAATCACAGAGTCTTGGTGGCGCAGCAGACTAAAGTGCTGTTAAGTAACACCAGCTGCCTGAAATTATTGCAAGTTCAAATCTCACCAGGCTCAAGGTTGACTCAGCCTTCCATCCTTTCGAGGTAGGTAAAATGAGGCCCCGGTTTGTGGGGGCAATAAGCTGACTTTGTATAAAAAAGAACACCGCTTGGGGGGGCCGAAAGCCCTACTAAGCAGGTATATACAAAAGTATGAAGGCTATTGCTTAACACATTGTAAGCCGCCCTGAATTTCCGGAGAAGGACGGCATATAAATTGAACCAATAAATAAATAAATAAATAAATAACACTGCAACAATCATAGGTACAAGCCAGTTGCCAAACTTTCGAATTTTGACCACATGACCATGGGGGATGTTACAATGATCATTAAGTGTGAAAACCATTCATAAGTAATTTTTTCAGTGCCGTGTTGTAACGTCAAACCCCCAGTCACTAAACGAATGGGTGTTAAGTTGAGGACTACCTGTAATAGGAACTGGTTGGTGCTCAGGGTCTGGAAAACCATGGCTTTGTTATACTTGGCTCTTATAGATTGGCTTACATCTAGGAAGAAAAGTTGACCTGATGAGGAAATCATCCTTCCCAGCCTGATGCCTCCCACCCGTAATTGTAGTTGTGGGTCAGCACATTTATAACGGCGCCCTTTGGTTCGAAGCAATCTAAACAATTCCACGAGTGAACTCCGCCTGCGAGGAAGTACAAGAAGAAAAAAACTGAAAAAAGATTCCAGGTTTAGGAAGATACATGCTAAATGCAGGAAAGTCTAGAAGTGAGAAGAGGATCCCTCGCCCTACCTTCTGCACCCCAGTTACGTTTTCTTTCCTACGCCTCATCCGGGCTTCCTACCGCCCCAACGTCGCAACCAGACGCCCCCCCCGGCTCACCTGAAGAGCAGCCGCCGCTCTTCCCCAGCAAAAGCCTGGCAGTTTCAAACTGACTGCACCGAAAGAGAGAGCTACCGCGATTGGTCCCAGTCCTTTTGTTAAAGGCCAACTGACAGGACAAAGCTTTCCAGCCGCTCACTTACCAATCGACAAGCCGGCAAGAAACTAGGAGGCAGGGCTTCGCCGATGACGGCAGCCAATGAAAAACCACAGAACGCCCCAACTGCAGACTGGGATATTTCAAGGAGTCCCGGACAAAGATGAAGCCGTAATAGAATTTGTTCTAGCGCCGTGCTGATTGGTCCGTTGATTGGTAGCCCGGGCTCAAGAGGCGGGTAGCGAAGAGACAGTTTAGTGGATGTCACGTGATAACGGCAGAGACTGGGTCGACAGAACTGGGGTGGGATGGGCGACTTGTTTGGGTCATTTGGGACTGTTGAAATTATTGTGAAGGAGGTAGCTGAAATATAATGATGATTGATGATGATGATAATAATAATAACAACAACAATAATAATTAATAATAACTGCTGTTTTATTAGAACAACCTTTCACGCTATCCTCTTTCTTGAAGAAAAAAAAAAAACCCACCAGGCGCCTCCAGAAACAACGTGGCGTAAAAAAGCTGAGAAACTCTTTATTTTTTTATTTTCTTCTCAGTTGATTATCAGCAAAGCAAGTCCAAACTGTTTTGTTTGGGTGTATGTGTGGATATGTGAAAACCAGCAAGGCATTTTGGCAGAGAACAGACTCGTTACACTCACTTTTGTAATAAGCCTTTAGTTAAGAAACTGGCTTTGGGTAGCATATAATTCAAATCAGAAACTAACAATAAACCAGTTTACTTATTTGAAAAACATAGGCCACTGTAGTTGACGTTGTTAAACTGCATATAAATATACCAAATAACAGAATATTACTTAAAAATGAAAAGGAATTTGTTTTCTATATAACTGCCAGACAGCTCCTGAATAAACTGAACAACTTGTATGATTGTTGTATTTTTCTTTTTTGCCAGGAATTTACATCATTTCTACAGCAGGTGGCAACACATCATAATGTAAGGCACCAGCAAAATGATGGATGATCACATGGAGCAAATAAAGTGATTGAAATGCATAACAAATCTTGAGAAAAAGCAATTGTAAACTGAGGGTTACTAAAGCAGTGTTGATAAAGATTTTGTATCACTATCAAATAGGTTTTGTTCTTGTAATAAATGCAAGTGTGAGGTTCCAGAAGATAATAAAGAACAGGAGCAAATGAATAACAATAAAAGATACACAGCTCTATATAATGCCAGTGAGACTATACACAATTACAATAAATATAAATCACTTCTCCTTTGAGAAGTTTGTAACCAGATAAATACGTCATAGTATATTTTTTTCTTCATTCCTCCAATATGGATGTGTTGTATTTTTAATGTTTAAATCTACTGTACAGAAATGTTATTTGTTCCTAATGAATAGGAATTAATGCATTGATATACTTGTAATAGAAAAAGATCCACTAATAAAATATGCTTTCTTAAATGACTATCAAATCATCAAGATGGAGTTTCGGTAAGGTTATAAGCTGCAAACCAGGAAAACTGGGAGAAAATGTAGGTCTGAATTTTTCTGCCTTGTACTCCTCTTGGTTCTGTCATCTTCTGCAGTGTCCTGTGGTCATTTGATTGCAATTTGTGACTTTCCCTACTAGCTTCCCACAAGCAAAGTCAATGGGGAAGATGGTAGGAAGTTGCAGTTGCTCACATTCCCACTGTTTCTCCTTAGGACCCCACCTCTCCAGGTGAGCAGGCATATGTCCAGCCCCACTCACATTGGACTGTAGTGCTCACCTACAATTCCCACCCTTGTGGCTGCCTGCACTCTGTAGCACTCACTTGCCTGCTGCTGGCCTGCTTGTGAACCACCTAAGAAAAGGCTTGTGACCAGGATTTGCAACTTCCTGTTGGCTTCCCAATTGATTTTGCTTGTTGAAACCTGGCAGGAAATTGCAAGGTGTGATCATGTGAGGTCCTCCTTTAGTGAACCAAGATCCTCACTTAAGTATGGCAAGAGGGACTGTGAGGACTACCTGAATACTACGACAGTAGCAAGTGCTATTGATTGTGCTAAATTTCTTTCCCAAATAAGTGCATTTGAGAGAAATAAATTCTTAAAGAATCACTAAAGGTTCAGCAGCAGTGGTATCACACTGCAGTGCCATAATTTCAGTCGAGGGAAAGTGCCTTGGTGGGTTTGTCTCTCATAGCCACTATTGGGGATAGGCCATCTATTGGGGATGGCCTATATAAATAGGCCATCTAAATATTAGTGGCCAGAAAATAATGGCATTAGAACATTCTGATTGGTGTTCTTAATTTACGATGTTTTTGTTACGGTATTTTGTGTGTGCGTGCATGTGTGTGCACTGCCCAGTTGCACTCTGTGAGATGAATAGCTATATAAATAGAATAAATACCTTCCCTGTAAAGTATTAAGCCTGAGGCAACTGTCTTTTTAATTAGGGTTTTTTTTCAGTTCAGTTTAAACAACCTGGAACTAGTTCCTGGATTCACACAATTTGCTAAATCAAAAACCTAGGTTATCAAAACCTGGCTGATGCTGTTTTCATAGAGCATGCAATACTCAATCCATTTTTAAATGTGATGGCTTGGTTCCAGCAATACAGTGATACAATGGCTAGATTCCCACAATACACTGAACAGCCCCCCAATGCCATTGTACCCTAGCATAGTTTGTTGTGCAAATCTAGCCTGTCTGACTTGCAGCGTTACAGATGAAAGGAGCAATGGACTGTAACTTACATACTAATTGTAAATGTGGCAAATGGGAACACGAATGTTCCCTTTGTCCCCTCCTGATTTTCCCTTGCTTCTTCAGAATCATTTACTCCAAAAATTTGATTTTGCTGCTATCATTTACTCTTTCAAATTACAATGCAGATAATGTAATAACTACAGATTATGACTTACTTAGGCTTCACTGTTGTTAATTAGCAGCTTTTTCTGGGCATGGTCATTGATGTATACACACTAATTCTATTACAGATGCATAATGTACTTTACAATTGGACTGGCAAGTAATGATGATTAGGCAGTGCGGCATTCTGGCTGTACCTTGTAGGCTGCCATCCTTTCTTTCTGAGACTGCAGTTCTCTTTCTCCGGTCTGATTCATTCTGAGTCATACGCAACATCTTGTTGAAATGGAGCGCTCATCAAAGGGGACTGTCGTGCCTGTTCTGCACCATTAGGTAATTGTATTTCTTCAAGAAATGTCTCTTGGGCTAGAATGGGGGAAGAAGTCTAAAGAAGAGTAGCCATTAGTAAGGGAGACTGCAGGCTGAAGTAAAAAAGAAAATAGACCCCTGGAACAGAGAAAACCTCAACGTGACTAGGAATATGACAAATGCAATCATTTGGGTTGTCATGTTTTATTAGCACAAAAAATTCTTGAGAAATCTCAGTCTTGTACGGGAAGGGAAGGAAGGACTTAAAAAAAAAAGCCATTTGATATATTATCATACAATAATAGCAACTCAATTTTTCAAGTGCTGGTTGTATTATGCCTAAACAATACCATTCATGTCTGGGATAGATGTATTCGCAAACTTGAAAGAACTTCAAGATATCTCGAAGGGTCATAAATAGAAAAGGAAAGACCTATATTCTGCCATGGGTAGATTTACACAACACACAAAACCTGAATTAATAAAACAAAAGCTACATTTATATAAGGTGCTATGCCCAAACACATATGGCTCATTGTGATGCCTGATTCACATAACATGAATAACCGCAAACAACTGAAATCTATTTTAGCCTAGTCTATCATCCCCTGCAAACTCCAGGAGAATTGTTCAGTGTCTATGGAGTACTGGATCATTTCAGGGGGGAGTGGGTGCCAAAAAAGATAGAAAATGGAACACAATTTCTTGGAAGAGAGCAGGATCAGCTGCCTGGCATCCTTAACAATAGCATTCTTCATGGCAACTTTATGCTGCAGGAACGATTTGTTTTTATGTATCATCAATATGGATTATTTGTAGTAAAGGACATCAGGTTTATAACCAGAATTGGGCCCAGAATCATGGTAATTAAGCAAAGCAGTTAAGTGTGATATCACATGACCACTTTGTTCAATGAATGCAATCCTGGCTCCCTTAATTGCAGTAGTTAAGTGGAGCATGGGGTACTTAGGGCTGAGGGAAGCCTGGTGGCCCTAAATGCCTTCAGGTTGCTAACTACCAAGCCAGTTGCCATGCATGGGAGCCTTCAGACAGTTCAGGTATATCAGCATGCACAAAGCTGCTGAAGCCCTGGAGGCCTTCTGCCTGCTCCCTCTCGAATCACATGTAAGTGCCCTTGGTCAGCTCCAAGGTCCAGTAGCATGCAACCTTTCAATTTTTCTGTAACTTCTGATGGATACACGCAGCTGATGCAAGGTGCAGCCTTTCTACAGACATTACCTTGTTCCATTCTGCAAGTGGGCACTATTTTTGTGATCCTGTAGACCCTTTTAAAGCAACTACCTTTTTGGAGGCATTACCATTTATATCATAAATGAAACCAGGTTGCCAATCACCCAAAATATGGTCACATGACCATTGGGAGCAGTGCAATGTTTTACAGCTTCTGGAAGTGCTTTATGGGCTGTAAAGCATCCTTTCCGAGATCATTGTAAGTACAACCAATCGCTAAGCAACTGGTCATAAATTAAGCACTACCTGTACAGTAAGAAAAGAATATCTCAGTAGGAAACAGTATCTGGCTGACCTTATCAGGACTGGAAAGTTAAGCAGGACCAGGTCTTGGTTAGTACCAACAAGTACCAGGGCTTAAAGTTAGATGAGGAAATAGAAAAACATCACAGAAAAAGAAAATGGCAAATTATCTTCATTCCATTGCCAAACAAACCATGGATATAGCCTTGAAGTCACTTGAAGTCAAGTTTGATTCAAAAGTCAAACCTGCTCTAAATCCAAATATGATAAGAAAATGCCCCTGGCACTGGGCAGACAAAAAATTGAAGTAAAGGGGGAGAATTCACCAACAATATATTTAATTCACATTAAATGTATATAATTATATATACATATATATATATATCTTCTTAAGATGACTTTTTTAGAAAAAAATTAAATATATTATATGAATGCAAAATGAGCTTATTTTTCTGTTGAAGAATTACAGCTGAAAGTCTGTAATTATACTGCAAGTTTATCCATATCTACACAAATATAAACTATTAATGAACTTCTATTACATAAATGTTTATGCAGTGTCAGTCATAACTTATTTAATGTGGCTATCAACATAGGCTGCATCTGCTGCCATCATGTAAACATTATTAATAGACACAGCTAGCCAAAACAGAGAACTGATTCCTAGTAATTATCCTGAACCAGATGGGTTAAATTCATCAATCCACTCATGAATGCAATTGGATTGCTTCCCACAAAATGGTTTGCCACAAGCCATTTTTTCTTGATAAGATAACACTACAGGGATAACACTACAGGGATACAATATCAATTTATTAGGCAATATTCTTCAGTTTTAGTAACTGGCTAAAACCAGATGGTTACTCAGGATCTGTAAAAGGTCTTTGCTGTCTGTTTTGGTTCTATAACAGACAGTTGGAGAAATAATGACACAATGAGCAAAAATATAGAGATTATTTCTTAATTGGATATTTGGTACATATTATCCTTTGTTTTGACTCTCTTAGTAAAACAGAGTTCAGGGTACAAATAGATAGTGAAGTCTGTCTCAAAGATGGAGTACCTGCCAAATCCAGGAAAACTGATCCAGAGATATCCAAAAGTGTTTGATTGTAAGGAAATATTTTGCAGAAAGAACTATTTCAGAGCAAGCCCCTGTTCCCACCTAAGCTATTAATTTTTAGGTGTTGATGAACATTAGTATATCGCTAAAGGAAGATGCATAAATGTCTTACTGTGAAACCAAAACATGGAATGCTGAAATAATGGCCATTTCACCACCAGTGAATTGACTTTAGCAGCATCTAGCCATTCTAAGATAATATAAGATCTATTCTGCTTACTGTTATTTTGGTACAAGAAATGCTCCAGAAGATGCTAAAAACCACTATTGGGATCTTGTCAATAACTATATCAGCCAAATTGTTACATTCTCTGCTCCTGTTGCCTAGCTCCTGATCTTGGGCCTCATTCTAGTTAGACTAGAGGTTGTCCTCACTTAATGACTGGTCACTTAATGACTGTTCGAAGTTACACCAGACCTCCCCAGAGTTACTTACAATCCGTTTTTAAAGTTCCAATGGCCACCACCAACACCCATACTCATGTAATTGTATTTTGAGCATTTGACAAAAGGCTGGCATTTATGGCTATTTTTGGTGGGTTTTTACTTCCCATTTCTAGCAAAAAAAAAAAAAGCCCACTGAGGAAAACAGGTTTGCTTAACAACCACGGTGTTCATTTAATTACCACTGCAAAAAGGTTGTAAAATTGGTGACCTGCTTAACAACTGCCAAGACTTACAAC